TAAACGGCATGGGAGGTAGTAATACAGCTGGCGCCGACTTTATATATAAACCTGTTCGTAAAACCATCACTTTTTCTTCTCAAAATAATATCTGTCGCACAAGTTCTCAATTCTAAAAGTTTTGTCACTGGAGGTGGACACGGCAGCCTTTAAGGCGATAGGCATAACCCCATCCATAACTCCCAGCAGACGCTATTCCCATTATAACTATAAAGTCACGCTTCCCTCATCTGTTGAAGTCCAGATTCCGCTTAGGAGCCTTTGCCTCAGTGACCTTCAAGTGCCTTCCCCTCTATAAACAACAAAAATTGCCCCAGTATAAACCCTTCCACCCCTGGTTGATAGTAAGACCACAGGCCATAAATGTAAGAAGCAGATTTTAAACGCCCCGGGTAGGTTCTCGTTCCATAATTTGCGAGGAGTTAAGGTTGATGGCGACATGAAAATCCCCTCCAGTGCTCAATCGAATCAATTTTTATTCTTATTAAGATATACGCTGCATTAAAATCTGCAAATACTAGGGCGGACGTGGAGAGGGTGCCCCAGAAGTGTTTGGGTTTATATATCTTCAGAAGAATAGTGTATCGTCAGTATTCCTCCTGGGAATCATGCCCGACGCAGACATTTCTCTTGAAATATGCCTTGTAAATGATTGAATCCAGCCTAGGGATAGCAATATAGGGGCTGCATAATAGGTTAAGAGGCTTTTGGCTATTAAAGCTGGTTCTAAGAATGTTAATACGTAGTAGCCCGTATGCTGTGTGGAAACATCAGGGTAGGATCAAATGAATCAATCATCAAACCAATAATTTAAATTTGTTTCGGAAGCCATAAGATACGATGGTGATGGTTATGGTGCTTGTAAATGGAATCTGAAGTTTATGTGGTATCATTTTAGCATGCTAAACACGGAATGTTACTAAAAGCTGCTGTGGTCGACTGGAGACTCTCGATTTAAAGTAGAAACACTAAGTAGCTACTTAGGATGAGATCGAACCATGCATTTACTAGGGAGACGAAGAAGAGGGTGATCTGCTTCTTAGGCCTTTAGCCCATATGACCATGCCCAGCTCTGCAACACGACACTATCATTGTCCTACAACGGATCAACTTGCGAGTCAACAGAGCTGGATAAGGCCGAGCGGATGAATTTACAACTGTGGAAGTATGAAACGGGGTCATAATTATTAAGTCTAATTTGGTAGTGGCCCAGCAGTAGCCCGTAGCTTGATAGTGAGCCGCAGTCCGAAGACTGAGGTCAACGGCAACCATCTTATCAAATGGCTCGACTGCATTGCCATGTGCCGCCTGGAGGAATTATCATGCTGTGATGCTGTAGCTTGTTATACCAAACTATATAGCCATATTGGAATGTCATATGAACGGATGTCCCAGAACTGTATTTAATCCTCATTGAAGCATATATGATTTCCCTTCTTCTCAGTAGACTCAGGGAAAGCACAAACTGACCAGCCTCCGGGCATATCCTGTGATCTGATCACGTTATCCAACTATGCAGTCTGGCTGCAAGCTCTATGCCCCGTCACCGGAGCAAATGCTACCATGGTAGAGCCGCCACACAAATTGAAGATCGACACGCTTGGGGAAAAATTGTGGCAAATGATGAGAGCCGTCGCAACCATACGCTTAGGGAATAAAAACCTTTTTTCCTGTTGGCCGTGAAAATCTCGAGAGGCACATTAATAACGTTTGTTGTAGTGGTTGCACTTGAATAAGTACAACATACGCAATCATGACGTTCGCCTCCCTGATCGCCCGGCTGTTCGCTGTTTGCTCATTGCCGTCAGACGGGGGAAGCGGTAGTTCAATTGAGTCATGGAAGGAATGTCGACATTGAGCTATTAGCTAAGGGCGGCCTGAAGTGGCCATAGTACAAGCCACTTTAGACAAAGGGGGAAGACTCTCGAAGGAAGTGGAACCCATGACCACGTGCCTGGCAATTCACATATTTGTGATGAGACAAAGGCATGCAAGGTGGCTGGCCACACGTGGAAATGACTGACTGGAGGGTCTTGAAGGTCAGGATAACGATTGTCAGCTGCTGATGGAGTAGACTTCGACCGAGGGCGTTTTGAAATGACAGCTTATGCATGCAGTGATTTGATTCCTTTGTGTGTCGCCATCGGATCAGACAAAGCGACTTTCCCGCTTGGCTATGCCGTAATATCCAAGAAGAGGCGATTTGATCTCTTTAGTGCGGATCATGCTTTCACAGTGAAGATTCTAGCATAAAGGCTCTTTCAACTTCGCCTTCTCAAGAATTTAGAGACTAAATGACGCTTATAGATCCTATTTTGCATATCCTGACGTCGACACTTGTCTGAGACACGGCTAGGGAAGGGGGTGGGTTGAAAGCAACACATGCCCCTGCTTAGATAATGAGGAATGCGGAAATTTTATTTCCACAACAATACCATAGTAGTAGAATCCAAATTTTGTAACATGGGATAGCAAGAAACACCTTGGAATCAAATTAGCCACCTCAGTTCAAGTATGAGGTGTGAGTATGAGGACTCTTAAGGCCTTGAAGGTTCCAGCCTAGTGGAACCCAGATTTGACAGGGAAAAAGAAAAAAAATGCGAATTGAGATGATTAAAGACCGTAGTCGCAATTGTGTAAAGGGATGGACGGAGTTAATCAATTGGGTAATTGATAAAACGGAATCGCCGACGAATCGACAGAGTTCTGAGCTGTCACGTATCACAGATTTTGGTAACCTGAACTGAAACTTGTGGGAGGACAACACATGAAATTAAATATATTGTTTCGACCACCACAATCACCACGATTAAGGCTCAAGAGGGCAATGCCCCCCCAATAATTAGCGGCGCGGTGGATACATGTGATATGAATCCCCATGGAGAAGTGCCCCCATGCTTCGGTGTAGTGACGATTGTAGATGGAGCTTTCGCGGAGATCTGTACTACAGACAGCAGGCATCTTCCACGGCGGCCTTCTCTAGCTGTACCGCTCTGCGGGACTCGGCATGAACACAACCTTTTTGATGACGCGTGGTAGGCTTTCCGGCAGCACGAGTATCACAGAGCCACCTCATGTCATCAAAGCACAGAAGCCGACCCGAGGACCGCGCAACTTTGTGCTCTGAAGCTTTGGTGATTATGCTACGGAGTCCGTGTGTAGTACTGATTCAGAAGCTTATACTTGTGAAACAACCACCGCGATTTTGCAAATGGACAGAGGGAGCCAGATGAACTTGACCGTGATTGGATCAGAACGACGGAACAACAGAGGACTCTGTAATAGGTCGGGTTCTGGAGCTATTGGATGGGGGGCGTTCACTCGGTACTCAGGTCTCGAGGACTACGTAAGGACTGCGGCGGAATAATATCGAGCCAATATCACCCGGGAGCCGAGCAGACTCTTCGTTGTCGAACCTGGACTTTTCGCTGGCTGAAACTGGGGTCGGGGGACTGAGAACCTGCTCCCGTACGTCCAGTCCGGCCGACTCCCCGAGTCTCGATCAATTCTCAACCAAGGATGATGGTGGTTCACCCCTTCGCAGGGCGGACGCTGACTCTCCACTCATTCTAGGCTTTCGGCCCCCCGGGGCTCCCTTGGCTTGCGGCCCATTCGTCTCTTGTTTTCTGTTTCTCCTGGGGAAGAGTTATTTAGTGAACGTGGCAAACAAAGATGGGTTTTTGTCCTACATGAAGCTAGACGAGGATGATAACTTGAAGATGCGATTATTAAGGAAGGCACAGTACTGTAGCCAGTCCAGCCCGGCTTCTGATGCACATGGGGAGACGCGTAGTATATTTGACTTTTCCGTTTGCTCCGCTTTGCCGCAATTCACAAAATCTTCAGAGTACTTCGCACTGCGCGCACGGCGAGGTACTCCATACCGAGTCGAAACAACACATTTCCGCCACAGCAGCTGCTTCCTTGGGCAGATTTCCCCTGAGACGGATCCAAACAATCGGGGGCTGAATCCTACTGTACGTACCTTCGTACGTACCGGTAAATATTCCGATTCAGGGGTGCAGATACGGGATCCGGGCCAGGCACCGCGCCAGGAACAACCGGCCAGGCACCGCTCAGGAAAACCAACACATGGATGGGGTCAGCAAATTGCCCACGAATTGCGGTGATGGGGGCTGCAGAAGCGGATGCAGATGATGCAATGATGTGTTGCGGTAGTGAGCAGGTGTGGTGGGTTTTGCGGATGCTGGTGATGTGATGTGTACTGCGTTGAACGTTGAACGTTGAACACGACCGATGCTCGAGTACGAGTAATGTTGCAGTACGACGGGAGCACCGCATACGCGCACAAGAGTCAGCTGTCAAAGCCTGTCAAAGGGCTGTCAAAGGACTGACGCTGCCCCGTCACACCGGCTACAGTGGGTGGGCGACAGTGGGTTACAGTGTGGTTACAGTGGGCTACAGTGGGCTACAGTGGGCTCCAGCGGGCTCCAGGCGGTTCTCTAGGGGCCCCTAGCCCCTAAAACTGGATCCAAAGGCCCGCCTCCACCGCTACGCTCCAGCACTATCCAGCACTATCCGTCGCCCCTCCAACAAAACTCCGGAGTGTCTCCACCACTGTCGCTGCCACTGCCACCACCATCGCAGCGCGCTATCGCCGCCACCCAGCGTCCAGCCCCAGCACCATCCAGCACCATCCACGATTCACACGCAGCGCCCAGCGCAAACTCCCGGGAGGGACTGCAGGTACCGCGTAGGGCCTGTCCTATATTTAAAGACCCCCCCGTCCATCCCCATCTCTTTTTTCTTGCTTTCCTCCGACAAACACATTCTCTTTTTGCGACATATCGACAGCATTCAGTCTGTCATTCATTCCCTCGCATCACCACATTCACTTTGAGATATCGCTTCTCACCACCGTCTTTTCACCAAAAGCAAACCATTTCCATAGTCGCCAGCCGATTCAACCACCCCGTTCAACTTCAACTTCAACCACCAACGATCCGTTGATCCGCGACGACTTACCACACTCACTCACTATGCATACCACCAGCATCATGAAGTCTTCCATCCTCACCTTTGCCCTCCTGGCTTCCACTGCTGTCGCTCAGCCTCATCGCTCGCATAAGCACATGGCCAAGCATGCCAAGCGGGCCGATCAACCGGTCGTCTGGGTCACCGACATTGTCTCGGAAACGGAGATCGTCGACTACACCACGACTATCTGGGTTTCCGAAGGATATGTTGCGCCCACCGCCGCTCCCGCCCCAGCCTCCGTTGAGGCGACGTCCAGCGCGGCCCCAGTGGCATCAGCAGCACCATCATCCGCCGCGGCGTCGCAGGTTCCCGCTCAATTCTTCGAGCCAGCTTCGCCCGCGCCTGTGCCTGAGCCAACATCCACATCGTCGTCCGCATATGTTGCGCCGACTCCCCCAGCTCCGGTCGAGACTCCCGTCGCAACTCCCGCGGTAGTTGCCCCTACTACTTCTTCCGTCGCACAAGCTCCCGCTCCCTCATCCTCATCATCCTCAGGTACCTCAACCGGATCTCCTGATGGCCAATGCTCAGAGGGAAGCCCCTGCCAAGGAGATGCCACATTTTATGACACCGACGGTATCGGAGCCTGTGGTTTCGAGGGAGTGGATGGACTGTCCGAGTCCGTGGTCGCGTTACCAGTTGGCCTGATGGGTGACAAGTCCAACGGCAACCCCTTCTGCGACAAGATGATTACCGTCAAGTTCCCAAATGGCGCCACCACCAAGGCGAGAGTCGTCGACAAGTGCATGGGCTGCCAGGGCCGGGCGATCGATCTTTCCCGCGCAGGTTTCTCTGCTTTGCAAAACCAGGACGTTGGTCGCCAGGCCGGAGCTACTTGGTGGTTCAACTAGAGCGTTGCTTATGGCCCTTGATGCATGCATGCTTTGAAGAGTGGATCTCTCAGCAGATAAAATAGTCGCAAGTCGACGTATACGAGTTTCATTTGGCTAGGTCACTTAAGGTACAATAAACGGGAAATGCCATCAAAGCATAGGGCGTCAAAAAACCTTCAGTCTCAAATCACGGGACGATGAGTTAGGGTGCCTGGAGCACAAATTGGGAAGGCCTCATTTAGACATTTTAGAACTTCTTGTAAATATTTGAACTTTGTGGTGATTGCACTACACAATACACTACCATTACATTCGTTTCATAACAGCGATCCAAATTTGCCGTTGATGTGAAATGTGACAGATTCGAGATTGCTTTTTGCATGTGACTAACTCTCTTGTGTATATCACCGCTCATGCTAGGATACGACCCCAGAAGGTCACACCAAATACTGCTGCGATAATGAATAGCCAAGACTCGCTATGGTAGTTGACATAAGCTAACCGCAGCAGCATCAGTAGGTATGATAACATATACAAAGGGATGATGCTCTAATTGGAAGGTGAACTATTCGCCTTTGAGAATTCACTTAGGAATGTATTGCTGAGGAAAAGTATACACGGCTATCACCTGCTTCGTAACAGAACAAAGCAACAAAGAAAGGACCTGGTATAACTTCCTTTCTCATCACATCCATTTTTAATACAGCAACCTCTGCAAGTATATTCACATATTGGAAAGCTTAAAAATGACACAAGGCGTAATCTTCAAAACCAAAGGCCTGTTCTCCGGCCGTCAAAACTGGCAGCAATTAGAACCACTTCAACCACAGTCGAGGAAATTTACCAAACGCAGAGCGAGGAAATTCCCTGGTGATGCATTTCTGGGTATCCTCTGGTATGGACTTCTTCCCTTGACCCTCAAAGGATGCGAATCGATAAATGGCGATATACCTTGCTGGGTGAGCTAACAAAATAACAGGACCCACGACACTGATATAAGCAATCAGAGAGTCTCACTGGCGCAGCGATCAAGCCTCACTTTCCAAACCCCACAGAAGCTGAATATCGATGGCCCCTCTAAGCTTGGGGCGGCACTCTCTTCTCAAAATGGAAGTTCATTTGATGAGCGGGATTTTGAGGATGAGGTGCAGACTTTGATTGAAACTGCGATGCGGAGTGGACTTTTTGCGAGTGGGCAGATTCGGTAGGGCTAAGTCTAGAGCAACTTTGCTCTGTCTAGACCAAGTTGAAGAAACTCAAGCTAATGGAACGTGTTGTAGTTCGATTTCTATGAGGCATCCTGCCGAAGGATATAGAACTACCGTTCACGTCCAAGAGAAACCCAATATTGGATGTCCGGTGTTTTGTAAAATGGAGATTCTGGCTGTTTGTGTCACGGTTTCGGCGCTGAGCGGAGGGAAGGACAAAAAGGAAGTTGTGGGGCTTCCGCTTGTTTTCGGGTGTGCGAAGGTGGTGGTTCTGAAGATTGGGGGCTTGGGCTTGAAGTGGGTTGTTGATCTGAGGCCAGATGGGACGGCTAAGCCGAGGTGGACCTTTAAGGGATTGATTGGGGTGAAGAGAAGCGTTGACTTCAGGTATAATGAAAAGGTTGAGAGGGCCGGGGGAATTAAGAGATTTCTTGGCCGGAGGAGCATGGCGAAAAAGGAAATGGGATCTGATGAGGAGAAGCCTTTGCTCTCGTAAAAGGCGAACGTGGCGTTGCATGGTTTAGTATGGCCTTAAATCGTTTATAGATGAGATTTTTATTAACTTACCCGGCTCTTATACACTGGCATATATCGTTCTGGAATAATACACTTGATCTTACACATGTGATTCTAGAGAGCCCCGTTGTTGATACATAGAAGGTCCAAAGCTTATGGCGAAGCTTCGGCCGCCTCTGCCTCAGCAGGAACCAACACCTTCTTCTCCTCTAGTAGCTTAGCTAGTTCTCCATTCTGATGCATAGCCATCAATATATCGCATCCGCCAACAAACTCCTTATCGACATAAAGTTGGGGTATCGTTGGCCACTCTGAGAATTCCTTGATCCCTGGTATTTATTAGCCAACCCGCTCATCACCATAATTGGGATATTGTGGCATTACCTTGTCTTAAATCATCATCCTCCAAAACATTAAATGCTGAGAACTTCTTGGGGTCAACGCCCTGGAGCCCTAAGATCTGAATGCTCGCTCTTGAGAATCCACATTGTGGGGTTTCGGGTGTGCCTTTCATGAACAGAACGACAGGTGTGGATCCGACGGCTTTATCAATTGCTTGCCGGGTTTCTTGGGAGAGGTATCGTACAAATGGGGAGAAGGACGTTCGGGTGTTGGTGAACTTGGAGGCGAATGCGAAGGTTGGAGCTGGTCGAGCGGCTTGTCGGAACGCCTGGGTTTCTGTGTTAGAGAAGGATCTTATGATACATAGGAGCATGAGTGCAAAGATTTTGAACCTACCGACGATAAGACCGGTCTTGTGAACATCTTTTCGTGTGGTGTAGCGCTATGGATTGGTGGTGAAGTTTAATGTTTAATTCATGACGGCGATCGGACGATGATCCGAAGCTGCCACCCCGCTGACCAATCAACGATGAATAATTACCCAGAACTTATCCAAACCAACATCCGCCCAATACAATGGTCTTCAATAACTTATGAAAGTGCAGAAGATGGCCTCAACAGAGCATAATGACCACACACAAACACAATCGTTGAGCTATCCCGCACCCTCAGTAGCAGCAGACGCCAACGATGATAACAAAATACACCTCCTCCTCGCAGCCAGCGGCTCTGTAGCAACGATAAAAATCCCCAATATCCTCCACGCCCTCTCCCACCATCCCAATCTTGCCATCCGCCTAATCCTTACCAAATCCGCAACCAACTTCCTCGGGGGCCAAAGTGCAGAACAACCCCACTTCGAGTCTCTATCCAAGATTAAGAACGTGGAAGGCATTTTCCTCGATGAGGATGAGTGGGGGGTTCCTTGGAAGCGTGGCCACGATATCCTACATATTTCCCTGAGGCGATGGGCGCATATATTGGTTATTTGTCCGCTGAGCGCTAATACTTTGGCGAAAATTACTGGGGGGTTTAGTGATAATTTATTGACGAGCGTGGTCCGGGCTTGGGATACAACCGGCGAGGTAGGAGATAGAAAGAAGAGGATTGTTGTTGCGCCTGCTATGAATACTGCCATGTGGAACCACCGTATCACCAACAAGCAAATTTCTGTCTTGGAGCAGGAATGGGGCATTCGTGAGAATGTTAAAGAAAATGAATCTCAAGGTTGGTTCGAGGTCCTGAGGCCGATGGAGAAAGAGTTGGCGTGTGGTGATGTTGGAGATGGGGCGATGAAGGATTGGAAGGAGATTGTTGGTGTTATTGAAGAAAGACTAGGACTTGGACAGCCACGCTGACATGCTGCGTATACTGGCTAAGAGACGAATCACGAAGGAAGAGACATGGGTAATCATGGTAAGGGTTTGGGGTCCGCATAGCGAGGCGTAAGGAAAGGAAATCCCATGTGGTGATTTTACCTAGAGCATTAAAATAGGGAAACTGGATTAGTTCTGGGCCACATGTCAGACATTGCTTAAGTTTAATGCAATTAGTTGCTATATTTCTTTTTAGTACATCTATTTCCTTTCAACTAAAGGTGGCAGATGAGGATACCCGCTGTGTACAATCTGACATAGTAGCTGGTAAAATTGGCCATGGGCTAGGACGCTAATTGAAAATCGTACTTGTAGGGTACGGAAAATTGCAATCTGCTGCTTTTTGTGTTTTAACTTTTCTTTTCTTTATCCTTATTGAAGTCGGGACATTTTGTTGAGGTTGGTCTCGACTGGTAGATGCTAAGTTTCCTATTTCGGCCACCAAACACCTCACCTCCACAGAACACCGATTTATTTTCACGAGGAAATACTCCCACAACTCTTTCAAATACCAAGGGACTGGTACCAAGGGACTGGCCTATCCAAAGAGTCAAAGTTAAAATGAGGACTCGGACTGCTCAAGCAGTCGTGCCAATTGCCTTAGCCGCACGACAGGTCAAGCTGTCTTCACCCAAACAGAGGCTCCCAAACAAGACTCATGATGTAGAATATAAGGCTGCGGCGAAAACCCAACGGCAAGCCCGAGAGCCGATGAAGAGCAATTACGTTGATCGAGTCCCAAAAACAAGACCCACCATCTCAGCCGCCGGCGTCTTGAAGAAGAAGAAGAACAGCGACACTACGCGTGGAAAGAAGTCCCACAGACGCAGAAAGGGGTCACCCGAATCAGATTTGTTTATCAGTTACAAAGGTAAGTAGCTCTCCTAAAGCTACGAATATCTCCATTCACATTGCCAACTACCTATTTCTAGATGGCATCGAAACCGCGCGCGATGCCATCCTCTCCAACACCGAAGCAACCTTTGACTCCGTACACAAAGGTTTCATGGAACAACTTTCTAAATCCAAAGCCGGCGACGAAGCTATCCTCTCGGAAGTCTCGGCCACTCTCGCCATCCTCTCCGCGCCTGTGGCCGAAGAGCAAATCGAGATAGTTACCCGTCAAGGCAGCAAACGCGTAACGGAAATCGTGAAAATCGGCAACCGCATCGCTCATTTCAAGGACGTTGTCGAGGCCGAAGAAGCAAAACTGGCCGAGTATTGGAAGCAATGGGATGAGTTGCAGAACGAGTATCTGGAGCTTGGTGTTGAGGTATTTGGCGCGAAACCCTTTGGCGAGGACGCGAAAGAGGTGGTGGGTAATGGTATTGGGAAGGGGTATAGGAAGGAGATGGAGTTGCTTGATTTGAAGCTTAAGACCCAGGCTGAGGAGTGGGAGGAGAAGGTTCAAGAACTTCGTGTTAAGACGCTGCAGAAGATGAAGGCTTCCGAGAAGGTATCCTAGGCTTGTATTAGTGTCGTTGAGGGCGAGTTGCTGACTTGAACCGAATAGGAGCAGGATGCGTTGACGAAGAAAGAGCAGGCTAAGTTGCTTCAGGCTTTGCTTCAAGAGTGAGGAGCTGCCGTTGGGTCGGTATAAGAGTAAATCAACCGTGACATTTTAACACCTCTGCTAATCTATTTACAGATAAATCGATGAGAGATATTGCTCGCTCTGAAATGAAAGCAAGCAGGAATGTAATTGCTTTGAGTGCTATGTATACGACCAATTGAGGTAAGCATTGCAGGCTACCTTGAATCTAAATTATGCTGAAGAATTTATAGGGAAATGCAATATAAAGTACAAATTAGCTATCTAATTTGCTCCAGGTTAATAAATCTTGCTCAAAATACGCTTGTCTCGCGCTCTTAAAATGTACCTACACACTTATTTCAAAATATGTAGCATGGGTGTCTAAACAAACCCTACAACAACGTTTTCTCTTGAGGCTTTTGTGACAATGTACAAGGACTTCTAAACGCCTTGATGTCAGTTGAATTGATGGCTCTGACAATATGAGGGCAGCTTAAGAAACACTAGCCAGACTGTATTGGTAGTATAAGGCGATCTATTATGCGGCTTCGCAATCTTGGAAACCGGGGCCTTGGCTTTTGCTGCTAGATCATGGCCCGGGCTTGGAAACGCTACTGCCACCTGCAAGGGTAACGGCCAACGAAGGATATAACCGTGGATTTTATTATACTATATACAGTTATCTAATAAAGACTCTCGCCGCCAACGCCCGCCCCCATCAAACGCCAGACTATGCCCCACTCAAAACTCCTCTTTCTCATCTATAACCACACCCCAAGGGTGGTCTACCTTGCCATACATGATATCTACAAGCCAGCTCTTGATCAAACCTGCATATTCGCCAGTTTCTCCACGAACCATGGGGATGGGTAGGTCTTCGTCCTTATAACTGATTACTGTGACGGGGCAGACAAAGAACTACATAACCGTCAATATGGAGATTGCGGGGAAGGGAGAAGTTACGAAAAACTTACAGCAGTACCAGCAGCAAAAGCCTCGATCATGCGCCCCTCACGAACGGCTTCCACAACATCCTCCATGGTAAATTTCCGTTCTACAATCTCAACAGGCTCTAGCCCAGAAGCTGAGCCATCCGTGAGCCTCTCACGGACCAGTTGCAAGATGCTCCTCCGCGTGACACCATCGAGGATAATCTTCTCGCCAAGGGGAGCGGTTACTAGTTGGACCTTCCCCTCCTTTGAGCGCCAGACTACGAAGAAGTTGCTTGCGCCGGCTTCGGTAACAACTCCATCTAGGAGCCAGAGGACTTGGTCGTATCCCCGGGTTACCGCTTCTTGGTTTGCCATTAGGGTAGGTCCGTAGTTGGCTCCGACTTTAGCGAAGCCGAACCCTCCTGGCCATGCTCTAACACCATTTTGAGAGGCGAGTAATCTCATTCCCTTGGGTCCGCCGAGCGTTGGCATCTATTGGGCATTAGTATAATGTGATCGGAAGGGTTATTAAGTATGGACTTACGAAGGTCGAGATGACAAAAAGAGTGGCTTCTTTGGGAGTCGCAACGCCGAGGGCTCCAGCTGAACCGATCATAGTGGGTCTTTGGATGGCTGTTAATATGACATCCTAAAGGAAAGAATGTAGAATATCATGACTTACCTGAGGTACAGGAAAGTCCCTGGCCTGGACTTTGGGAGCCACTTTGGGCCATCAACAGCAATCATAGCAATGATCAACTTCTCCAGCTCCTTGGGATCAAAGCCCGGCAATGCAATACGTGTTGAGGAAACCAACTACTTAATCATTAGCCGATTATCCTTCTTTGAAAATTAACAAAAACTGTGGAACATACCATACGCCTGCAATTTGCATCGGGTCGGAATAGTCTCAATTTTCCATCAAAGCCTCTGTACATCTTCATCCCCTCAAAGCACTCGGTTGCATAATGTAGTGCAGATGCCGTAGGAGGAAGAGATAAGTTTCCATAGGGTTTCAATTCCGGTGCATCCCATCCAGTTCCCGCACGCCACACTGCGGTTATCATGTGGTCTGTACATTGTGACGAAGTATTGATGATTGGATCTCCTGGCTCGGGAACGGACATAGGAGTCTTCGTCTTCGTGAAGATTAGCTTTGAGGCATCAAGTGGCTGGAGAGCAGCCTCCCCGCCATTAGGTTGTGGCCCTGTGGAAGTTTGGGTGATCTTTTTGGCGACGGCAGCGGCCGTGAGCTCAGAAGTCTTTTGGACGCCATGCGGCGGAGTGATTGCGGTTGGTGCCATTGAGTCTCGAGTATTAGACAAAGGTTCTTGAAATATCTTTTCTGGAAACTGCGGGGAAAGTAGAATGGTAATACAGGAATAAGGTTTAAGGTTATGGCTGATTGGAAAATGCGAATGTGGAAACTATGCGTAGGGAGCAGAGCTTGCGGCAAGCCAGAGGGAGTGATTGTAGAACAAGAGGAGGAGGATAAGCCAGCAGGTGTGCAGACTTGTACGTGGTATAGAGTTTGGCTTCCTTTATGTTTAGGTAAGAAGAAGTCGAGGACTTAAGGGGCTGGGGTTTGTTGGGGAATATAAAGGAAAGAAGGCAAAGAGAAGGAGTCAGGAAGGTGGAAACCGAAGCAGTTCCAAGCGGGAGCTAATGGCTTAGCTCACCGGATCGGAGACCAAGGCAGAGCAGTGTCCGGCAGAGTTTTTGCAGATGCAGGTAAGGGTTTTACCAGTACTTAGTAACTAGACTCTCGAGATTGGGGCTTTCTACACATACCGGTCCCTACCTGGTGGCCACCTGCGCCCCCTAATGCCGATTAAGCCTCCAAGAGCCAACCCACTCCCGGCCCGAGCGGTTAGATTGGGGGGAATCCGAGAGAGGCAGTATCCAAGTTGGCTCTGGACTAATAAAGCGAAGTGTGTCATGTGCTGTGCAATTGCCAGTCCCCCAATTCGGCTGTTTACATACCTAGGAATGTCTGTCGAGGGGCTGATGCTGCTGATAAGAAAGTCTGACTCCTCCAACCAACGCAACTAGAGAGCGAAGCTGCAAGTCAATTGCATACGGCAGGCTCTCACCGCTATTTGCCAATTGCCAATGCTGCTGTCAATGTCAACAACTGTGCTGCCCTTCCGATAATCGATGGATCAAACGGCAGCGATACTGAGTAAGGAGCCATTTACTGGCGATGATCAAATCCGCGCTGTTGATGAAGTTTCGACGTTGATTCCGCCCCTCGCTTCCCCGCAAAAGCCGGTGCTAGCCGGCGCCCCCTATTGTGGCCGAGCATCGCCAGCCACCTGACTTCGAAGGGAACCGCGCCAACATTCTTTGTCTGCGCTGTGGTTGGGTGTTGCACGATTGTCCTCGTAACTCGGTACGTACCTACTATAGGGCGTATCTAGGATCTACCTAGCATTTAGGCCTAGGTCATGATCGTCATCACTCCTTGATTGTCTGGGGTGTACTGTACATGTACGTAACACAGCACATGTATGTTTCTTGGTGAGTTCCATTCAATGTTATGATGCACAATTGGCAATGCTCTATTGGGTATTCCTCGCACGTGTTGAACGCCGGACAATGCCCAAAGTGTGAACTGGGAACGGCCCATTCACGGGCAAAATCTATGAAGCTGCTGCACTGCCTGTCTTGCTCTTTGTAAGAGCTCTATCATGCGGCGCTCTCCTTCAGCTTCTGCTCATGTTCCATCTGCTCTCGTTTCTTTTGAGCGTCCTCGCCGATGCCTTTCACCCCCTTTACCCGTTGTCTCTCCTCATACATATCTCGACTCTTCATGATCCTCTGGACGATTTGCCCGGCATTGACTGCCGAAAATTGATGCGGCCCAATCTCCTTGTAGATGCCCATTTCTTTAGGCGCCGTGTATGGGTCGTAGGTCAACGGCATGAAGCTCGTAGGACCATGGTAGACCGCATCAGGAGTTCCCCAGGGAGTTGAAGTGAGATAAGCTCGAGTGGGCATAAACGGTGCTCCAAATACCACGGAATTGACGTACTAGATAGGATTAGATAGGGCTGAAAATGTAGCTATGTGGACCTAGAGCCTTACCTTGCATTGCAGGACGCAAAGGCCCCGCTCGTAGATGTTCATTATAGGGTAGTTAACCCCTTTCCAGCGGTTAATCACCTCATCATCATGAACACCAGCAACAACGAAGACAGGTCCATAATCAGAACCCTTGCCAACGCGCTCTTGTACAGCTTGCTCACTGTACCACCCTTCGTCCTCGCCAATCTTCTCCTCCGCCTTGATCACTTGTGTAAGGAATTCGATATGACCAGAGGAGAAAAGATCGAATCCTCCGTCGACATAAACGACCCGTTGCCCTGGCTTAGGCTGGGTGCCCTTACAAAGCTGGGAGAATACGCCCTTCTCTTCTTCGGTGCTACCTACTCTCGCCTCAATGGAAGCCGTCCAAAACCACACGCTGGAGCCAGGGTGAAGGCCAGTTTCGTCCGTGGCATACATTTGCATTCTTTCTGTCATCGCAGCCCCCTGGACTCTTCGTTCCTCCTCTGTTCCGGAGCCTTCTTCACCCGCGAGGAGGTTGGTGAGTGATTTGATGAAATGTGTCCGCGTACAGAGCAGCATCCTGCCAACAAGGTCTGTTGTCGAGATACTGGGCGTGCGTTTGACCACCTTGAACCGACCAGCAGCCTTCACATATCGATAGCAATCCTCCCCGCTGCTGTCCGACGTAATATCATCTCCATGAACGACGTATTTGCACCCGAAGTGCGAGATCCATGGTAGGGAGGTAACATATGGCGCATAGGGTACCGATTGGGTAACCCATCGACATGCATCCACGGCGGCGATTCTTGGAGAAAAGAATCAGCGACGGATCCTCACCGAGGGCGGACCGTGGTGTTTTACCGTTCATTCAAAGTCATCACCGTCGGCCCCTTATTCTCGAGGATCGCCTCATCGGAATGGATGCCGACGACGAGCTCCGTTCCCAGTTGGCGTGCTTGCAGCATTGCGCCAGCATGGCCTGACGGTTGCCACCGAATTAGCATAATACTCTGGGGCAAAGGATGGGAAGGATCTCCTTCGCTTTCGAAGGATGCGCGACGACTAACCGTGGTGGAAAAAGTCCCAGCACCCATCGACCCAGATTCGGCCGTCTAGAATCTCAGGGGCTGGCTCCCCGACGGGAAGCTCTTCCTCTAATTTGTGGTCGGCGCTCATGTTGTGGTTTTTCGTTGATAGCACAGGGTGGATGGTGACGGGTGAATGTTGGAGGTTTTCCCCACCTCTCAACGACCTGCCACCGTCACTGCTAAAAAGCTGGTGGGGTTCACACCGGCACTGGGGATTCGCCTATCCAAACAGGTCGGTGTATTAAGCTCGAGGATCAACGATTTACACAAGTTCAACTGCGAATCCAGGGGCCGCATACGGATATCCGCGACACCATCGCTGAGCCCTGATGGCTGTGTGTCTCTGTAACAGCATATCTGACGGATTACGGAGCCTCCGGGCGAGGTGTAGAGAACAGGACAGGACGGCATACGTGCTATTAACCTTAGTAATAAGACAATTAGACAGCATAAGCACATGTCTGTACTTCGTAGGTATTTAACAACTGGACTGCCCACCACTACGTAGGTGGCTCGTCCTGAGCATACTTCCTTTTGATAGTCCGTACTTCATACTGGAGTCTGGTTGGCACTCGAGTACCCCCGTCCTCAAGTACCATTGGTACGCACTGAACGGTTTGCTTTTGGGCCGCGCGCTTGTCGCAACACTGAGTGCGACAGGCTGAGAGCAAACCATATAGGTTTGATGTCCTCTGGGCCTTTCGAGGAATCTGCGCACGACGACCACGGTACTTGTACAGCTTTATATCTATAGAAGCCTGTGTTCAGCCTTTCCCAAGCCTTGTGGTGGGGGATCTCCGTCGGTGGAGACGAAGTCGACACAAGTAAGATTGGGGATCCAGAGCCGAGATGCAGCCCACCAACTTCTCCAGCGGCGGCGGAGGTCTGTTCTCCACCAGATCAGGGGCCAGCAGGACGCCAACATCGACGAGGCCCAGCACGAGCAGCGGTTTTCATTATCGCGCACCGTCCTTCAGGCGCAAGAATTCCCTATCCTCAAAGTTCCCTCTCAATTTCTCTGCGGTCCCTTACAGAGGCATCAATTCGTCCGAGGCCGATCAAGAGCTAGAACGAGACCTCCAGCAAAGCTCCTTCGGCAGCAACAAGCGGTTTACCACGGATGGTGTGCCATCTCCTACCGATTCACATATATCTATAGCGCCCTATGTCAATATGCTGGCCAGACCTGGGACCGCACATCAGGGGATGACCGTCCCCGTTAACTTTCAACCTATATTAACGCCTAGCCCGACCTTGGAGAATATTACATATCAGCATATACAGGAGACATCCTCGAAAAGGATATCTACATTGGACTATCTGAGAAAAGCGTAAGATTTCCTGGGAAGCCCCTTTCTCTTCCAATCTAATAGCGTTATAGTCATGAAGGACGAGTCTACTGGTTCAATACACTATTATTCAACAAATCCGATTTACAACGCATGCCATATTTCGACACCCGCAAACTGGCACGGCGCGCAACGAATTACCTCCTTCTCGGCCTCTCACTACCCACCATCCTCGACCTCAATTCTTCCAATTGCCATGAATTCCTAAAGACCTTGAATGCCCTCCTAGCCGAATTCGAGACCTACCAACAAATACATCCACCCGATGGATCGACTTCCATGTCCCGCGGCCGCTTTCCGCAGATGTTTAAACGGGCCACAACTTCTGCCGGTAAGGGCCGACGGACAAGCTCGGCGGCAGAGATAGGACTTCCAATGGGCAACGACTCCTCTGATTCGAAGGCGGCCAATGGAAACGCTGCTGGGGGAGGAACAAGTTCTGCTACATCATTCGCTCTTGGGGAGACCGACCTCCTACCCGGAGAGGAATATACATATTTATTAACGCCATCACTGCCGTTTGATCCTGATTTTTACGAGACTTTTGCGACGCTGTGCGATGTTTTGATCGACTGTTATACGAAGCTGATGGGCTTGGTGGGTTCCCCAAGGGAATGCAATCCCGCCATGGCAGAATTATTCACGAAAGCGGATGCTAGGGTTAGGAAGATTATTGTACAAGGGGTGGTGAAGGACTTCGAAGACAGCAGCAGGGCTGGTGTTAAGAGCGAAATCGCGGGCGTGGGTCGAGTCGTTCTTGGCGGTTTGATGTGAAGAGTTGTACACCATTGGGGGATTGGCGTCAGGTTTGGGATGGGATATACCGGCATGAATTAATGGCATGAATGACGCATGAGGGGCTGAAAGCCATATATGTAAGTTAAGATATACCTAACCAGCTCAGAGCTCGGAAGGAGTTGTGCCATACCCAACATAGAAATTACGTTTCTCAGGAAGCAAATCATATACCGAATTTTATTCTCGACTGTTTCAGAGACCCTGATTTACCCTTGCGATTACGGAATGTGATCAAGATATCGGAGGAGCTTACGAAGTAGGCTCATTCTGGTTGGATCTTCAAAAGAGTAGATGTTTCGTAAAGTTAAGTCATCGCGAGGGGTTGTACATATTAGAGCTCCGATAGCGTCCAAGGCCTTGGTACTTGAGTACTGCGTACCTTAGGTACGTAGTATATGTCTACCCAAGTGGATATGATCGTGGTCAAGCTTTAGTGACAGCTGGTAGAGTGATAGGCACTCCTGCTAAGCGTCACAGCCCAACTCCATCCGCCCACACACCGTCCACCTTGAATTTGACAAAAAGGAAGTAAAAATGAAGAATTTGACACTGTAGATCAGATACCATAACGCATTGTTGGTCATCACGATATGCCCGCTTTTTACACGGGCACATTTCAGTGCTTGACTCTATTTGGATAATCATCATGTAAAACAGTGTCGAGTCCAGCTCTTTCGACGGAGCTTCTGAGACGACGTACCTATGCCAGACAAGTATCTTTCCATGAGGAAAGACATAGAGTGTTGAGTCTAGCATCGGCAGTCGTCTCCGCTTTTCCATAAGCTATAGACCCAAAAGTGGTGGATCCTCTCGCACCAAGAATAAGCCCCATCGAGTTACTCGTCATACCCATTGAAATGAGAAGACAAGCAATCGCATAACTATCGATCTCGACGAAAAGCCTCCAATACCAGAACATCTCTGCTATTCCAAGAACAGACCAGGCACCTCCTGCAAGCCCACTTCCTCCAGTCACATTAAACATCGCAGTAAGAAGCTCGGACTCATATCTTCATCCATGTGGTCTTCTCAATTCAGAATAATGGTTCCAGGATCGGCGAGAATGCAGTACAGACGGTGAGAGGGTGGAGGAGAAAGCAGGGAATTGGTAGAGGAGAAGCCGCAGTGTGCTTCTATGGCGGCGCGTTTCCGCAATCCTTCTGAAAGAAGGGTGTCCGGGGACTTTCTCCCAAAGCGTAACATAGCGATAGAATAGCTGAGAGACCCTACAGTGTAGGATCTCTCTGTTTGTGTGCTTCGAATGCGATTCTTTGAGCGAGAGAGATGGAGGAAAGAGAAGGAGGAGAATTCAAAATGTGAAGAAAAGATAAAGAAACTCGACTAGCACTAGCTTGAGGCACTAGCCTGTTATCGGTTAGCTGCTGATTAGCGCCAGCTACGGACGCGATTCCGTATCCGGTCATCAACTATCGCGACGTGAATGAATTTCGAGGACAAGGCAGCGCTCTTGAAAGCAAAGGGTCTTCACGAACACCTGTGCGCTCGCTCAACTTTCATCCTGAACATCAACCTCCACGATCAAAGCTATTCAACTAAATCTTTTTCTGGCGCGCAGCCTCTATCTCCTGCAAGATGGCCGGGCTCTTCGGATCCAGCAGCACTGCGAGCCAGGCGAATACCCTCGGTGACTTGTCGAAGGATGTAGCTCTCAATAACCCACCGTCCGACAGCATCTCCGATCTTAGCTTCTCACCTCAGGCCGATTATCTTGCTGTGGCGTCGTGGGATAACAAGGTCTCGATCTACCAGATCACCGCAAATGGAGGCAGTGAGGGGAAGGCCCAAATCGCCCACGAGGCCCCAGCCTTGAGTTGCGCCTGGTCATCTGTATGTGCAATTATTTGGTAGCTTAGAAGCACCTTGAAACTTAAATACTGACTACGTTTTAGGATGGCACAAAAGTTGTAGGAGCAGGTGCAGACAAGGCCGCTCGGATGATCGATCTCAACTCTGGAGCTGTACAGCAAGTTGCCGCACACACACAACCTATCCGCTGTGCAAGATTCTTCAATGTTCCGGCATCGGGTGCGCAGATGTTGGTCACTGGATCATGGGACAAGACAGTCAAGTATTGGGATTTGCGGCAGTCAACCGCGGTTGCTTCGTTGGATGTTCAGGACCGAGTCTATACTCTGGATACGAAGGGGCCTCTCTTGGTTGTTGGAACAGCTGATCGATATATCAATATCATCAATCTGAACGAGCCAACTAAGTTCTACAAGACAATGCAGAGCCCGCTGAAGTGGCAGACTCGAGTTGTGAGCTGCTTTGGGGACTCGAGCGGCTTTGCTGTGGGCAGTATCGAGGGCAGATGCGCTATTCAGTATGTCGAGGAGAAGGATGCAAGGTAAGAAACTCCCGCCAATGTCAATAACGACACATCTGCTAACATGAATTTATTAGCTCCAACTTCTCCTTCAAGTGCCATCGTGACCCACCACAGAACAACATCACGAATGTTTACTCAGTGAATGCCATCTCGTTCCACCCACAACACGGCACTTTCAGCACTGCTGGTTCTGATGGTACATTCCACTTCTGGGACGGAGTAGCTAAGCACAGACTTAAGGGTTATCCATCAGTTGGAGGCACCATCCCCGCAACTGCTTTCAACAAGGACGGCAATATTTTCGCATACGCTGTTAGTTATGACTGGAGCAAAGGATACGCAAACAACACACCACAATATCCGAACAAGGTCATGATGCATCCCGTAACTCCCGAGGAGTGCAAGCCTCGGCCGAGTGTGAAGAAGCGGTAGACGGGAGCGGTAGAAAGTCTACAGCGGTTTCACTATATTGGAATTAGCGGTAGACAGGAACGGTTATGGTGAATGGACGAAAAGTTACGATGGTCGTGGGGAATCAACGGCCATCGTCAATGTATCTGGTACTTTTACTGCGGCGATTGCGGATAGTACGACATGGCGCTCCATACGATGGCGTTTGGGATTGAGACATAATACCATGGCATGCAACGGAGACTCTACATAGAAATAAAAGTCAACTTTCGTTGCAACTTTTCCATTTCCGTGATCAATAATAGGTTCAGACAAGAAGATGCTACTGGCAGCGTAAATCCATTATCATGCTTTCTAAACGCCTAGCTATCAAACTCCCCTTGGTAATAATCTGTTACAAATATCGTCATCGTTGCTCCGCGCTCTTCCCATTAGCTTGGCCATTTCCATGCTTCTCCGACCTCCCATCCTCTTCTTCATCACTATCATGTCCCACGCCGTATCTCTCTTGATCTATTCCCTCCGTAGTAGGAGTCTGCACGTGCAGATCATCTAACTCGCTCTCGTCAAAATCTGCAGCCTCCACATCCCTAGTAGCCCTTTTATGCCTGAGATTCTCAAGACCGGCACGGCCCCGTTCGCGAATACCACTAAGCGAAAGCGATGAGTCGCCACCGAGAACGCCCTTGTATCCGGAACGTCGACGACGGTCTCTCCAGATGTAATAGCCCCATGCTGCGGCAGCTATGATGACTATGACAAGGACAATCTCGCCGGACTTGTAGTAAGCCGACCATTTGGCTGCTTCGACCTTGGCCTTTGCTTCCTCCTTAGCAGCGGTGCTGTTGGGGTGGCCACCAACTGATGTCTGAATGCCTTTCTCACCGTCAATGCGGCTGTCGGTCGGCGTCCCACCGATACTTGCAATATCCACTTTCATGAAGCGATCAAGCATATCCCGGGTTCGTCTCGGGTAATCGAATGGAACCATGTGGGAGGAATTGTAGAATAGGATGTATGTCAAATTCCGAGCTTCTTGGTAGAAGCCTGCTGGCTGGCCCTCAAACTCCCAGGCCCGTCGAGGTGCCCATGTACCGGGCGAGAGCTCGAAGCCCTTCCCTCCGTTCCATTCCATATTGCTGATAAGGTCTTCTGTGCCGATGTGATTGCAAATAAGGTCCTCAGCTCCAGAAAATAACACGGTAGGGACTTCCTCGAGGAGATGTGGTAGAAGATGGATGGATGGCTTTGAGTTGCTTGCCCTGAACGCACCTCCTACAGCGCCGTTACATTCAGTCCAGCCAGTGCGCTTGTCTGGATCAATATTAAGAGCTTCCAGAACATCTTGTCGGCGAAGATAGGGCGTCATATCCTTTAGGTCAGGTGGCCAGTTCATGCCACAGCTAGGATAGCTGTCCTTCAGCCGGATATCGTACATATTATAACACTGCATACTGCCGTCCGAAGCCTGCGTTCCCGTCTCTTTGAGGATTTCCTGGAGCACCGCCTCACACTCACCTAAATCCACACGGTCACTGGCTCCATTCTGACTCAGCGCGTTCATGCAGATGGCTTGTTGCGATTCCAATCGTTTTGACAATTCGCTGCCGCGCTCAACCAGTCCCTTCTCATATGAAAATGTCAGGTAGGATTTGTACTGCTCTGCGGGTGAGATCCACCCATTTCCAATCAACATTCCCTTGAGTTCCCAAGGACTTTTCGCGGCCTTATTCCTTTTGAGAATCGCATCCGCAATGTAGGGGATATGTTGGCCAGCATAGGACTCGCCAGCCAAGTACAACTGTAAAGTGTCAGCGATAGAACTACTAGAGGTGTCAAGGAAACTTACATCGTCATGTTCGTACTGTGGGAAGAGTTTGAACCACTTCTCTAGAAATATGACAAATTGGTCTGCCATGTCGGGAAGTTCCCGCACATAGCTGTCCGTATCCACGAAACTGTAGCCAGTTCCAACTGGGTTGTCGACGAACATGATATTCGCGAATTCGTCCCATGATCCTGGGTTATATTCGAGGTTTGGTCCTTTTGATCCGTCCCTGACTCGATACGGCCCAACTTCCATCAAAGCACCGTCCTCGGAACTACAGCCTGGTCCGCCGTTCAGCCATATCACCGTTCGTTGTCTGTTCGCGATGTGCCTGTTTTGGTAATGCCAGAAGAATATGTTGCCATTATGCTCGGGGGTAACTTCGACGTGCCTACACCAGCTCTTGTCAGTAGAGTACAATGTTAAGCAATGGGCAAACATACCCAGCATGCATCTTTAGCAGTGGGCCCTCAGGAGCCCCTGGCAGCGAATGCACAAAGTAGTCGGCGGCTGACTTCTCTGCCCAGGCCATTGATGGCATTAACGATGCGATGCTCCATAACGTCGTCAGCATATTTGTACCGGCGTTCGCACGCCGTCCTGAGGGCGACGTGAATATCCGCATCGTGGATGCCAGTTCCCAGAAGCGGGCAAGTAGTTTGGAATGGCCGCGCGGTTGCGATATCTATCTCCGTCCATGAAAGTGCTAGTTGATGCTGGGCACGGAAATGTAGATGTTGATGTAGATGTAGATGTGTCTTCCGAGAATAGTACCTCGTTTCGGAGTTAAACGACTACGCGGCTATGCTGGCTATTACTGTGCCGGTATTTGTACGTAGTACTTTCGACCCGGGACTCGAGTAATCACTTCCTGGTTGAATCGCGTTATTATAAGTTTGCATGCAGTTCCTACAGTGTGCAACTGAAAAAGAATTTAGATGTTAACAGCTCAATAACTTCATTCCCGAGGCTTTGTCTTGTTCTTTCATGGGCCATTAACGATCCAGATCCAGCCACCCTCCAATATTAATCCCCGGGCGTCTCGGCAACGGTTGCCCTGCTAGTCAAGCCTCCAAATGCTTGGCCAAGGCTACTTCCAGGTGAAACGAGTAAGGTCACGATAAGATTAAAATAATGCTAATCCGTCTCGACGATTGTCGACGCTTTGCTTTTGATTCACTTGAACCAGAGTTTCTTAATAAAGCAAGGCATGACGTTGACGTTGACGTTGGCATCCCCACAACTCCATGCTACTTTTAGCCATACTAAGCCCTACCTAGGTACCTAGCACAAGTTCCAGACGCTACCTAGGTAAGTATGCTGTGAGTATAGTACGGTATAAGAAAGCATCGAGATCACAGGAGCAACAGAAGCGATTTAGCTATACACATATTGCTATCCGTTTGCACAATGTCCAGCTCAGTCTTCTATTGTATTGATACATTGCAGGCTATTTTATTCCAACCAGGACGGTAGGCTGGATTTCTAAATCGTGTGCAAAGAGCAGATCTATAATATCGATGGGCTGCAGTCATCAACAGTTAGAATAGCTCGCCAATACCTTTCTCCGAGTCTTTCTTGATCAAATCAACCATCCCCTATGATATGTTAGGCCTAAGTTGACTAACGAACACCGCAAAGACTTGCTGCTCTTTGGCTTACCTCGGGCATTATGGGCTCTCCCTTCTCACTCGTCACGTATCGAAACGGCATCTCTGTGCTTTCATTTTTGTTGATACGGAGTTCTGGGTAATCGGTATACGGAATCTTCTCAAGAGGGGCTGCCCACAGTTAGACATATAATTTGCACAGACGGGGGTGGTCCCCTACTCTTCTCTTGGACGACAATTCTTGTCACTCTCACAGCAGTATCGGTGGTCATCTGTTTTGGGCCAAGCCGACGGCCCTCAAATCCCTTCTTTCTCAATTCCGAAGTCCTATCTGTTACTCCTTAGTCGTGTCCGGCTCTTCTTGGATTTGAATGTACCTCGCGGGGGATCGTCCCCTGTTACGTATTAGTGCGTGATGGACATACATCTTACAACATAGGAAACATACCTAGAATGCCACCAAATAAAAATACATCGAATGTGTCGCCATCCTCGGGACTCAACTCCTTCGAGGCCGAAGGGTCAAGCAAGCAAACACGCGATTTATCAGCTGCATACAGGTCTTCTACGCTGTTTCCATCTGCCGTGAAACCAGGTACAACTTTCAGGGCCTCTGGTAACACCAATGACGGGGGTACTGATGACAGGCAGAATTTTGCACCTGCCATGTGAGATTCTTTTGCTATTGTGACATACTCCAGTTCAGACCAGGGGCCAAGCTCGTCATCAAGATGCTCGACGATGTATGTTTTACTGGCCATGGCTATCTGAGTTGGGCAAGACTATTCCAAGAAGGTGCGGATCGGAGCAACACTCTGCACACCAATCGGACAAATGACCTCCGCTGGACAAGAGATATATGGTATTATGGCTTAGAGCAGCACCCAAATATTGCCTTGTACACAAATCGGATGACTTCCTTGGGTGGTTGAGTGACGAAGGCTGGCGTATTGCGTTGCGGGGTAAAAGTCTTGACCTGGAATGCCGGCCGGTCTCGAACGCCTTAGAGAGGGAATAATAGCAGGATCGGTGTTGCAATGCAGCGGCCGTAGAGTGACCTTGGGGGGGGGTTTTTTTTAAAGCCTTGAATGATGATCAGGGTGATCCTTCTGAATCGGCGTCCTAGTTGAAACTGGTTCTGATGTCTTGTGACCGCGTTGCGCCAATGAAGACCGTTCGACACGGGCCCGATATGGCTACTCAGGAAGCGATGTGATGGGGTTTGTATATGTGGAAAAAGCGCTGGGCGTCGGCGGTAGATGGCTAGGATATTGAGGCTGGGTTTGAGGTTGAGGGTGAGGTATAGCCCTACGTCACTCTGACAGATATGAAACTGATAAGCACTTCAGCGTTATCAATTTGAAGATGGCTTTAGGGGAAAAGAATCGTCACCTTGACAATAAATTTCCAATTCACCAAAGGCGGGTTTCACCGTCGAAACTCTCGCAGCCTTAACCGAGCCGGGGCTGGCCAATCAAACGCCGCAAAATGCTTAGTAGTGCGCCCATATGTAAACCCCTCCATCTGCCGACCACTTCCCTCCACTTCCACGCCCACTACCACGACCACTTCCACGTCAGATCGTCACTCCAAGTTCACCTGTTCTACCTCTTTCTTCCGCATTCACTCCATTGCAAAATACCAGGAGGCTTTTGATCCAGGTCCCATTGAAACCTCGTCTCCTGCTAACCCTATCTTAAGACTCGGGTCCCTGGCGAAAGCAGGGAAGCAAAGCTCCCCCCCTGTTGTCTCGACCAATCTTGCTCACTCTTCGACCGGGATCCTGGGAGAATTGTTTTGACGACCGGGACGACAGTCGTCAGTGACAACGCAACCACATAAACAAATTCCGCTGTTAAACATCAAAGTTCCTACACGCATCTTCTACACTACTCCTTCAAGAAACACGTTTCTCTCAACACTCAACCCCGCACTCAAACGTATCGCACACGCACTACTTTAAGACAAGATGAACCCCCACCAAAAGAACAAGATCGATGTCAATGTGAGTAGTTACCTTCTCCCCACAACCCTCGCCTTCGCGGTTTCGGATGGAATGGTCTTTGCTAATCTCCATTCACAGTCCCTCTCTCCCGATGAGCAACGACTCTTCCGCCTCTACGGCAAACTCCCATCCAAAGCCGACCATCTAGCCAAGCACCTGAAGGACCGCAAATACTTCGACTCGGGCGACTACGCCCTTTCTAAAGCCGGCAAGGCCAGCTCAGTCGATACTGGCAGCGTTGGCTCTGAGCATCCACTCCCAGAAAACATCCCCCACCTCTCATCCCCGGGTGTAGGACATGCGAACCAAGGAGGTAGCGGCAATACCAACATCCACCATGGGGGCGGCGCCGGACTTCCCAGCGGAAGCCCTGTCAAGGAGAGCAGCTTCTTGCACCGGCAGACCAGCGTGGATGAGGTGGATGAGAACGACGTAACGGGTCAGCGGGCGAAGGATAACATAAGCCCTCCAGTTATCAAGGAGGGTATTCCGATTAGGAGATAAGCAGGGGTTGCGAGTCATGGGTGCGTGCTTATCATGAAGTACAGTACGATGAAATTACGATAGCTGGGTATGGCGTTACGAGGCTTTTAACAAGGGATTTGGTTTGGACAAGGCTTTTCGTTGTACATGTTGCTTCTACTTAACGGTTGTACCTGGTAGAGAAATAAATCGAAGTTTTTCCACTTCTAGCTTTTCGAGTCAATGCATTTTCAAGAGTGGGTACATGAGACAGTCAAGTAATGTGACTTTTATGTTAATTCGGTAACTTTTCTATTTCCTACAACGCCTTGCAATGCTCTACTTTGCACACAGAAACTTAAAGTTCAAGTGCCTTGACAGCCATGGCTAAAGCACCGTCAAACGTCTTGTTTCCGCCAATGAACCCTGCGGCATGAACGAACACGCCACCAGGAACCCCCGATATCTCATCCAGCTTCTCATCCCGGAATCCTCTCCACGCTTCCGGTAGCGATTTTCTGCTCTCAAAAGAATCCTTGGTGACAGGTACAGTCTGGACTCTCCACTTGGCATCCGGGGTAGGTTTCTCAGGGTACAAGACATAAAGAACTTTTGCATCCCCACCTTCGTTTCCCTCGAGTGTGTAGAGATGATCCTTCCATGGAACAGACTGGCCATCAAACACCAGTATCCTTCCCTGTGAATCATATTCTAGCCGCGTCGCATACGCCTTGTGCACAATATCTCTGGCGGGCAGCCATGCCTTGGTGTAGTAATTCAAATCCCTTGAGAATTCTTCACCGATCCGAGCGCTCGCGGTCAAGAACTTCTCATCCTCGACCTGTTGGGCCTGAACAGGATCCGCGGGTACGGGGTCGTTCCAGTTCGGATTGAGCCTCCCGACCATCGCTCCCAAGGAGAATCCCCCATCACTGAATCTCTTCTCCAGTCCAGCGGCGGCAATAGCTTTGGGGTCGTAGGCCGATATGCCGTTGTCGTGTGCATCCAATGCCTCGATGAAACTCTCGTAGATCTTGTTCCAGATAACACCGACCTCCTCTGCATCTTCCGCGACACTTAGATGATGCGCGATGATTGCCTTGCCAAAGTGCATGTACACCAACCCGGCAGATGACAGTTTGGTTGGGCGGCCAGGGAAGGTGGTGCTGAAGGTGCGCTGATGGTGATCATAGCGATTGGCAGCGGCATCGTATTCCCCGCCCACGTCAACAACTGTATGGCAGGTCTGGAGCAGCGCTGGGTCTCGTGTGCGGATGAGTTGGGAGGATTGGTAGGCGGGGAGGAGTCGGAGCATGTACACCGCAAGAGCTTCATCGGCATGGAAATGGCCATTGTGCGTACCAATGCTGATGGGCGAGGTCTTCAGTCTCTTTGCTGCTGTTTCTGCCATCTTCACGGTGCTCCGAAACATGCAGCGGTGTAGATGTATTGGATTGGAGATGTATCTGGATGTGTTGATGGACGAAGCTGAAGAGGTGCGCTTTCGTGGAGTTTAGAGTCTCCTAGCGCAGCGCAGGTAGCCCGTAGCTTGGAGGGGTGAGTGGTGAGTGGTGAGTGAAGCTCAAAGGGTGCAAACAGCCTGGACGGCCTGCCTGTCTGTGCGTTCCCAGCGTGCCACCAGATCCACGAGACGAACCAGCGCAATTTTGAATTTGGAGAAATGCCTGTTTGAGCTGCCAAGCTGGCCTTTTCAAGCGATTCATGATTTTTTCCGCCAGGCACTTCAGCATCTCCATCGCCATCGCCATCTCCCTGGACATTGCTCTCTCCTCCATCTCCATTACGCCACCTGGATTTCACCTCTAATCCACGACCCTGCGCCTTGCGATCGCCCTCCCTTGATCCTTCTTGACGCTTTCGTACCGTCCAAAACCCGGGTTGCAAGGTATTTAGAGCTGCGCGGAGCTTGGTAAATATAAATTGTTGCCATCCCAGTCCTCCACCGCACGCGACCGGCCGCAACCAAACATTCGATCTTCCAGGGAGCCTGCGACCCTTCCAGCCAGGCATCATCGGCGCACCATACATCTCTGCAGCGACGAACAAACTCTCCCACGGGTCCTGACAGTCATCCATCCGATAACCTCGCCCTGATAATACCCTTATCTGCGAAAAAGCCCTTTTCTCGCCTGCTGATAAAGCTTGTGAACGCGCTGATAAGGATACCCAGCCTACCTGGTCAGCCTGACGCCATCGTCTCCCCGTGCCTTCACGATATAAGGACCTTCAATAAATCCATCACCAACTCCCGCCGACGCGCTGCCCTACGCCGGCATCCTCCACGGTCGCAATACGTGCTTGGAACATCACAGAGCACCAAGCTGGGCGCGCTTCGAAGCACGCTCCGGCGCCCACTGCGCCCATGTGGATCTTCCGCGTGCTTTCGTCTACGATCTTCCTCCTCTCGATCATCCTCTCCATACCTATCTCCTTCGATGTTGGCGGACGGGACTGTGGCCTGGCCTTCTCTTTGTGTTTATTCCTGTAAGAACTGTCTCTTATACCCTCCCCGATCCCAGTTTAGCGCGCGCCTCGATACCATAGGCCTCCAGTATTGGAAGCTATTCACCAGCCTTGCTAATATTTGAACCCTACAGTTTCTACTTTTTCTATTCGATTCTCAAACTAGATACCCCCGATAACTCGAGAGGACGATGGGCTTTAGTGCAGATTATTGGCATGTTCCAGTGGATCCTGGTGCCAGGACTTTTAATATGGAGCATGAATCGATTTGCCGTCGATGCGAATAATAGCGGAGACTGGGTTGCGAGAACGTTTAGTGGCAAGAGAGCACAAAACACCAGCGTGAAGGAGTGGATATTCGGCTCCAGCGGCCTCCTGGAGTCGATGACTGTCGGAACTTGGTACGTGGTACTGCGGTACTCGACGCCGCTGTTCCAGCTAGCAGAGGGGTTCTGCAGTTTGCTTGTGATCCAAGCCGCCGGACAAATCACAAGATGGCTGGTTAACCGTGGCCGAAGTGATACCTGGATGATCGGGCTCCTGGTCATGTCCGCCTCCATTATATCCAGCTCGGTGTATTTCCTCTGGCGGATCACCAATTTCCCGGAAATCTCTAATGTCGACGCCATCCTTATTGGGGTCAGCATAACTTGTGCCGTTTTCCTATGTGCTTGGGGCATTGGCAGTGGCAGAGGGAATCCGGTCGAGAGCTCGCTCCTCTTCGCGTACGTGGTACTGTGCATCTACCAGATCTTCACGGACTATCTCCCTACCTCGGCAGAGGAAGCCGCATCGCCTCCAGCGCAACCAGAATTCCCTCCATTCCCCCCGATCATCATGGCTTCATACTCCACGTTAGTATACATCCTGTCGACGCTACCGTCTGCCGTCCACTCAGGCTTTACCTTCCTCTATGCGGCATTCCAAACCATCACGCCGTCCATCATAATCTCTCTCGCCTACCGGATCTTCGTTTTCTATGCAGCTACGCGTATCATTCCAGCTGTACGAGAATCTGGAGCTCGAGCCTTGTCCCAGGAACCAAGTCTTGAGGATAGCGACGGTGCTGGCAAACTCCTGGGGCTCCTAAGCTGGTTTAGCCCCAGCATTCTAATCGCCGTATACACTAGTCTACTAATGCAACACTTTTCAACCACATCCGCAGAAGGAAACAGCGCGGAGTGGTGGACCATGCAGGGTGGTGATACTGGTGGTAATATCTGGCGTTGGGTAAACGTCGTTGGAACGATGGGGCTATATGCCTTGGAGCTGTACCTGGGCAAGGAAGACATGGACGGCGGACTTACCGGTCACTGGAAGACCGACTGATCCAATCTGGAAGGGATCTCATATGTCAGTAGCCACGGGCCCATACGAAGCAAATGGCGGCACGATATGACAGGATATCGAAATGATGAAGAAAAAGATCTAGGTATAGAGAGAGCATGAGAGTGGAGGATATATTGGGTGCGATTTCTCCAGAGGGTTTCCTGTACACGATATGGGAGGCAGAGTTCTTAAGAACTGGGGCGTCATGTGTGTGTTACACCTGGGCGGCGTTGGGGACGATCATATTCCAGGCAGGCTATACTGTACATACACGACATTATTGTTGAGGCACATCGAGCTCTATCGGTGGGCCAGAGCGTAAGCACCACCACCACCACTTGGAGGATGGATTGATAGATACCCGTTTTTCCGGCCCACCACAATCGTCCCGGGTGGTTTTTAGTTAATACACAAGAGAGGGCGGCCGATAGCTGGGTACTTGTGAGGTTGAATTGAAACTCGATTGATTTCATGTTTGGTTTCCCCTTTCTCCCCTTTGGCAGTGAGTGTCGGTGTGAGGGCGTCCTCGAATCGGGCATTTTCCATACGCGGACTCGTCATGTTCCAGCCTTCAGTAGTTCGGTTACCGAGCGTTGCGTCTCCACAGTGGCCGGAGCTCAGCATCCATGCTCACCGCTCCGGCACTGGCTGGCGATGATGTCGGCGGTCTGTCGCCCACAGCAGAGCTCTGAGTACGGAGCATCGACAGTACAACGTACCTTACATATCGGAAGTCTGCAGTAATAGATAGGAAGAAGCACCACAACACAATATCCAGAGAGAGAATACGAAGAGTCATAGTCCCTACCGGTAGAGCTTTGTTGACGAGCGGAAGCCTGTGCCTTTCCCCCCCTAGCGTGCCATGTGCCCCCGTTCTCCATATCTCCACCGTCTATCTCAACAATCGCCGGGGCCAGGGGGGGAGCTTGGGCCTTCCATCAGGAATCCCGACAAGTCAACAGTTCCAGTTCCAGTGCCAGTCCCAGTTCTGCTTACGGAGTATTGCTCGACGGTTCGAGTTCTAGCCCTCTCTCTCTTACTACGTATAGCTTCGTTTAGTAATAAAACGTTGTGTCCCCCTTCCCCCTTTCACCTGACCTCCTGCTCTCCTGTTTCCGCTTCTTCCTTAGCCAGTGAGACGTAAACCCCCCCCCCATCCAAATACTATTCCGGATATACAGCACAAGTACTTCGTACCTACACCACGCCATCTCCCCGAATTCCTCTCACTGCTTGTCTCATCTCTCATCTCTCATCCACATCAACGTCAACATCAACACATCCCCAGACTCAATCAACAAGTCGAATCAGCTATGTCAAGAGTCACTCCTCCAGTCACCAAACTCGCCCAGGCCGTGCGCAGAATCAGTTCAACCCAAACCGCGAACCGATCGTCTACTCTCCTCGATTCCCAAGCCAGAAGTGCCTACCTACCCCGCTCAAGACTCGACCTCAAGGCCGAATGCAGCAAACGTCAATTGAAGACCAACGGCAATAAAGCAGAGGTAAGAGGTCGGACCCAAGGATCCCCATCTTCCCCTAGACGAACCGTAGTTTAATACTAATACATTGCAACACTACTAGCTGGTCGAGCGTCTCGCCGCTGCCGACCTCATCAACAACTCGCATGGCTTCCACACACTAGGCGACGGCCACCGCCCAGCAGCGCCCGTCACCCGAACCATCCCCCTAATGCAAACCTTCCGGTCATCGGCCCCCAAGCAAGCCGTCCGCGATGCCTCCACCATGGACCACTTCACCTTCCCCCAGATCCCCGACGTCCCTTCAAACCCCTTCGCCAAGCTGCGCGTGCCTCTGCTTCCAGATAACTACTCCCCCGACCGCTCGCCGGAGTCCGGCCTCATGGTCGAGGCGGCCGATGAGGCTGTCTTCAGACCGGAAATCAACGTTTGTGCGAGTCATCCCGAAAATGTAGCTCCCGCTGCGCTGAGCGAGGTGGTGGGGAATGAGGCTTTGGAGGTCGATCTGGGACAGCTTACTGCTGGGTTCTCATCGTCCGCTGATGCCGATTCTAAGGAACCCGGTGTGCTGAAGGAGTTATGGAGTGGTCTAGTGGATGATCTTATTGGTTCTAAAGCTGGTTCACCGAAGCTTGCTATCTAGATCTTTTATTTTGCATGACTTGGGGATTGTTTTCCTTACATCGGGAACCGGAGTATGGATATCAGCAGGAGCTGGTTGAAACCGATTATTTTAGGAATTGGTACCGGGGGGTTACGAAGCATGATGAGATTATAACGCCATAGGAGGGGTGCCTTCAGATTCATTCGTTTCAATTCTTTATTTTTTTAACGACTTACGTTTTTATCTGCTATCTGTTTTAATCAAACATTATCACGCTACACAGGATATGGGAGTGCAGTATTCGTCTGCTACGTGGCGGCGGTTAGGGAGTATTCCGATTGCTTCCGTGGTCTAGCGGCCATTCAATACGTAGGGCTATTCAAGCCCCATAAATCAAGAATTCATCAAATGCCCAGTACGCTGTACTATCAATAAGGGTTCGGGTTTCTATTTGACTATGCTGCCTTGATACTAAAGCCTACACGGGAGGGTTTAGTGAATTTGTCCTTGTCAGTTCCATCTAGGCCTGTCCCAAACCCGAGTCTATCATAGTCAGCTCAAACCAAATGGCTCCCATTCAAACCCAGAAAGACTCACCAACTGATATCTTCTGCCCTGTCATAGAAGTGTTCCTTGCAACATCAATGAATGTTTGTGCACAGTCCTCCAAATCCGTCTACAGCATATATTAACACGCCATATGAATACTACGGGAAACGGACAGACTTACCCCCTTCTTCAACCACGATTTCGCTATTACCTCATTGATTCGTCCTTGGCTATACTTGTTGCCCTATCCATTCCCCATCAGCATCATGAGCCAGAACTTTCAAACTTTCAAAATGACTTACCCACTCAGTATCCAACCACCCAGGCATGATAGCATTAACTCTAATCTTCGGCCCCTGTGTCGCAGCCATACACAGCATGAGATGCAACTGCGCCGCCTTGGTGACGGTATACGGCATGCTACTTCCGGAAGTGCAAATGCCCGCGATGCTAGATGTTATGATGAATACGCCGCCTTCGGGGTTAGCGTTGAAGGTTGGGAGCGCTTCACGCATCAGGAAGGTCTGCGCTTTTACATTGACGGCGAAGCAGGTGTCCCAGTCCTCGACCGTTGGAGCATTGAGGTCGGAGAACTTGGAAAAGCGTGTATGGCCCTGGGGTGGGGGAGGGCTAGTTAGAGGGGGCAAATGGATAGGGAGGGAGACAAACTGCATTGGAGATAATTATATCGAGGCCTCCGAGTTGAGCGATTGTTTCCTTGACGGTTCTTATACAGTCTGCCTCAACGCCCATATTCTAAACAACAGATATAAATGTCAGCAATAGGAGCCCCACCTTTGGAATCAATACACACAGGGAAGATGTCTCCCCTCATGAAGATATCCTTCGAAACTAGAAATAAAAGCAAAAGGCAATATCTAACATACCCCTTGGATCAAACACGTCTTAACCCCAAACTCCTTTTCCGCCTTCTCCGCAACACCCTTTGCTGAATCCTCGCTCGAGAAGTAGTTAACCGCCACATTGCATCCTTCCTTGGCGAACAAGTGGCAGATCAACGCCCCGAGACCACTAAATAAAACCAGACGTGTTAGCAATGTTTTCTACATCAATCTGATACTTGAGTATAGCTTTAAGCATTAATTATCATATATATAACGGCGACCGGAATCAAAAAAACCCGTAGATTTGGGGGGAAGAGGGGCTTCGGGAAATCAGATCCGGTTCATAACCCCCGCTATTGGGGTTATTCCATGGCCAGAAAATAGAATAAAACACGGGGGGGAAAGGGGAATGTCTCTACAAAAATTAACTAACCGAGATCCGCCGGTGACGAGGACATTGCGACCTTTTAGAGAGTAAGGCATGTTTGAGGTTGTTGTTGGATTGTACGAAGTAGCTTTGTAGTAGAAAGGGTTGTAAGTGATGCTGTGGGGCTGTGGTCTGGGTAAATATACAGTGGTACATGGGTTGCACAGAGGACCTGCCGAGTGGTGGGGAAGGTCCAGTCTCTCGGTTCTAGAGTGGAGTTGGTGTGCGTAGTAGTGCCCCGGCGGATTGTTCTTTTGGGGGTTTCAACGCCGCTGGCTTACTCCGTATGAGAGTCTGAGACAGATCCGTTAGCTGCGGATATTACTGCTGCTGGTTAGTCGGAAATCTACTCGTATATTGATGTGGGAATTGGCCCTTACAGTGGTCAGTTGCGACCTGCACTCAAGCGGGCCTGATCTTATCGATGGATAAAGTCTGCAACTACGTCACCTGCACCAGCATGAATGCACCGAGTGAAAGTGTGGTTTTACTGGGCTATTCCTCTATGCCGTTGAGTAACTAATCAAGCTTAAAAGCTCAATGGTAATACACCTGGTCTTATGCCTGCCAGTCATCATCGCTGCACGATGTATAATACGAAGTCGTACGTGCTTATCCGCCAGCAGACTAACATGCGTCTGCTCCATCCTCCGAGAGAGAGGCGGGTAATCGTTATGGCTTCCGGATCATTAACGCCAACCTAAACACTCTTGGCCTTGTCTTCCTCCTCGACGCTGCTATCGGAGCTCTCGACCTTGTCATGCGGGTCCTCTCGATGCGCATCCTCGCCAGGGCCATGAACATCCTCCTCGAAGACGGGATCGTGCTCAACTTGCTCGAACTTGGTCTTGAAGTCCTTCAGGCCGGAGGTGTAGCTGCTGCTGTTGGAACGGCGACGGGCATTGGTCAATTTGAAGCCTTCATCCTGGACTTCTTCGCCTTCAACACCCCTAAACTAGTCAGCATGAAGTTCAATCTGTTGTGGTGAATGTTGGGGATGGACAACATTGTCCTTCCTCAATTGAGAAGGGCATTGTATGTGATGTGATGATATATGATTGGAGCGACTCACCATCCACCCTTGCCTGCACCGTTCTTCTTGGTCTTCTTGGGGTCTACATCAGCATGGCCATGTTTGGCGAAGTAACGAGGCAGATGCTCGATCGGCAGGGCGGTGCCATCAGCCAGGCCGGCGTGGTCACGATCATTGAACTTGTGTGTCTTTCCCACTGTCAATTGGTGATGGTTAGTGATGTGTTCAATGGGAACGGGGAGCTGAGGCTCGAGGAATGAGATGGAAGCACGGGAGGCGGGGTAAGCGTCACAGATCGGGGTTGTTGATGGGGACTTACTGATGAAGAGAGTGTGAATATGTTGTAGAGGTAGGATTGGAGAGGTTGGAGATTGATTGTCAGATTGTGTTGGTGTGAATATGAGGAGATGGTTTGATGGTGCGATTGATTGTTGATGAAAGAAGGAGAGGAAGAAGGATGATGGAAGTTCCAAGGGAGGAAGTATATAGGAGGTGAGGTAGGCGGGCTGGGAACAAGGCGGCGCTGAGGTCACGCGAGTCGCCCACCGCCAGCTTCGAGCTCTGATCGCCTCTCACCAGGCGGTACGTAGGAGCGGACCATTAAGTAAGTGGTCACGCCACCAGAGCGCAAGAGTCACATCATTCCCACTCCGGGCCATGGCTGTCAGGTACAATGCTGCTATTATGGGTAGATCTCCCCAAGTGCAGTCTGCGGTTTAGCATTTGAGGGGATTATACCCTTACTTTATATTTTTATACTTGGTACTTGGTGCTTGGTGCTGATGGTCACTCTATACCTACTTCCACCTAGGTACCTTACATACGGGGCCCTACCTGGGTACATGTACTATTTACCAATGCGCGGCCAGCAGTGAAATCCGGGGAAACGACCGGATCCCGGGGGCAGCCGTCATTGGTCAGCTACCAGACTCCGACAACGCCGGTTTGCCCCCGCCGCCGAGCAGTGGTGGTGCTGCAATGGGGGGGTGAAAAACCGCTTAATAATTGTTTGCACTCGAATGGATGAAGAATGGAATTGAACATCTCCATCCATCTCCGCCCACCATCCTACCTTTAAATACTTCTCCTTATCGCACAGTTTACAACAGAGCCTTAAATCCCATTCACATACTACACACTCACATACCACCTACAATCACCCGGGCCGGGTGGCTTACGAAGCGCAATGGCTTACTCCATCACCATCGATAACGCCTCCGATTTCAACCCGATAGCCACAAACCCATCCCCCAAGGCGCCCCCTTCCGCCCTCAACGCTCGAACTCTTTTGCTGGCGCCGCCGTCTATTGCGAGCCATGAAGAACTACTTCGAAATGTCCTTTCTTCATACGACCGAAGCATAACCGACCTGCAGATGCTCGATCGGCTTGCCGCGGGGTTCGTCACACTTCCAGATTCCACCTACGACTTAATCTTGATCCTTACCGACGCCGACGGATCCCGAAACGAATCTGCGCAGCTCCTTGGTCGAGATGTATTTGGCAGGATTGTTCGGGCGTTGAAGGCTGGCGGAAAACTACATTCACAAGATGGTACATTTGGTCAAGATCCGGCCAGTGCAGACCTCCGTGAGGCAATCCTGGCCGGATTAGTCGCAGGTGAAGGGGGGATGGCCAAGCCTGACTATAGTGCAGGTGATGCTGTTCCTCTAAAGCTAAGGAGGAAGGATAAGGGTGCTGCTATTTCCAAGGCCGAGCCTGCAGTGACCGTAACTGCCGTTCCGTTGAATGGAAAGCTGGAAAACGGTGTTGCATCACAGAACAAGCCTGCGGGAGTAGGATTTGTGGACTTCAGCGATGACTTTGGAGATGTGCTGATCACTGGCGAGGATGATGATGATGAGCTGATCGATGAGGATACCCTGCTTACGGAGGAAGACCTGATGAGACCTATCAATATCCGTAAGTCCTGCTCCTCCTCTCGACTTGCTACCCGCATACTGATGTTTTCTCTATAGCTCCCGAGTGCGCCCCACGCGCTGGAAAGCGCCGACGAGCCTGCAAGGATTGCACTTGCGGATTGACAGAGAGGCTTGCTGCTGAAGATGAAGCTAAACGGTCAAAGGCAGACAGTCAACTCAAGTCCCTCAAGTTGGAATCAGTCATGTTGGAATCGGATGATCTTGCCGAGCTAGACTTCACTGTCAAGGGGAAAGTCGGCTCCTGCGGAAACTGCAGTCTCGGAGACGCATTCCGCTGTGACGGTTGTCCGTACATAGGAATGCCAGCGTTTTCGGTGGGCCAGGAGGTCCGCCTATTGAACGACGACATCCAGTTGTAAACCTTTCAAATGCATTAGAGCTGTTGGCGTTTTGGGATAGATATGGCGGCGTTTGTGCCACTCTTTCGTGGGCATTGCCGGTAGTTTGGCTGTGCACGAAATAGACGAGCATATGGTGATATAGAAAGAGATATGGATATCTCCTTGCTCGGAATGGAGGTTTCGTTCTAGGGCCACCTTGTCAAGCGGGAAAATTGGCATATTGTCGTTTTCCGAGTATTTCTACTACGACTTGCTATAGTCTCGCTTCTTTTTGCTATTATGTTGTTATCGAGACAGTACTGTGCCTGTCAACAGTTATAAGCAAGTACTTGGGCCGCTTTATTGGGATACATCGTTCCACCCGCTGCGATATTGTCTGTGGGCACAGAAAGGCGGATCAGTTAGCAGAGGACGAATTCAGATGACGAAGTTCAGGGTGATGTCGGCTCGGGAGCTGTGTGCGAGGTATGGCCGGACGAAACAGATATCAGCGAACAATTGAGTGCGTATTTCCAATAGATGTTGAGATGGTAATAGTTGAGCAAATGCCTTTCTGGGGCCTCCTGCCAAACTCCTTTATATCTTAAACTCTGCTCTTAATAGTTGCTGGAACCCTGATTTGCGTGAGCGGGGGTTTGCCGCAAGGTAGATTCCGAAGTGTGAAATCTATCCACTCAGGTCTAATGAGATATGCCCTGTTTAAATTTATGCAATCGTCAATAGAGCTACATGGGATAAATATCAAAAGTGGAAAGGCGGGAAGCCATCTCGAATACCTTCTCCGATATCCCTCCGATGACACGTGATGCTACAATATTTGACTTTACGCAGCTAACTTCTATATAATTGATTCTCTGTCTAGTTAAATTTGACAACTTGAATAAGTTAGCTTGTAGCAGACATAGAAAGCTAAGGTTAGCTTATAATACTTAAAAATTATAGCGAGGGCCCGGACATGAATTTCCCCTTTATATTTCTTAAATTGTTCGGATTTTTTATCTCCAAGAAATATAAACGCATACTGTAGTTTTAGGATAGGTGGAGGTGTTAACTACTCTCAATTTCTACCACAAGAAGTCTGTCGTTATTATCTTGGCTGCAAGGCGCGCTTAGGCTCTGTTAAGCAATTTGTTAATTTATCAATGGCCCAGCGATAGTACGTAGTATGTCCTATTACTCCGTATTACTTAGTACTTTACCTTTACTGGAGTTGTTCTAATAAGCGAGCAGGCATACCGCATGCCCCGGAAGTTCCAAGGAGATTTGAAGGGACTCAGCCCCAGTTCGTCAGTCAGCCGCACTCCCAGGGATCGCTCGTATTTTGGCATTAATTACGAAGTATGGTTGCTGGATTTCGCGCCCATCCTTTACGAATAAGAATGGCGGCTACGTGCGAGTAGACTTTCTGTGACTGTGTACGACATATCCCGCCTCAAAATGTTGCAAATCTCCGTTGGTGAAGTTTCGGGTATTATAGCAGCAGCAGTGTTTGCAGGTATGGTCCCCTTCCCTTGCCGATCGAATTTGTCTCGGTTCTAATAACTCTGTAGTTCAACTCTTCTTATCCCTGGCCATCCCTGGAGTACTTATTGCCTTCATTTCTGAAGAAAACTCGCTGGTGACATGGTGAGTATCTAAACACTGCTCTGTTCTTTCGCTTCTCTTACTCATACTCCCTAGGTCTGTTCTTGGCCGTTTTCTGCACTCGTCCTACTGGCCAAGCATCCTGAGTACTGATACAGCAGCTACCACTGGAGTTCAAAGACATGTTAATACTATAGGCTGGTTTCAAACAGGGGCTTTGCTATTGCTCACAATAGCCTCTGTTGCCACTCCTCTGGGATTGTACGACTCAATTGAGCCGTCAAAATCACAAACCAAGACACTATTCAGCTATATCCCGGATGATTCTCCATTTGGCTACGGAACGCCGCCTCGGTCTGATACACCTTTCTCTAGAAATTGCGGTGGTGATGTTGCTTGCCCTGGTTCTACTCTCAATCAGACTTGTAACCAGGCAGGATCATTGCAAATTTGTACGTCAGAATATAACAGGACTGTACCTGAGACTTTGAGCGCTATCTACAAGAATGGGGCAACCAGTTTTAATCCCTCAGTCTCAAGCATATTCGACATCCAATGGAGGACGTACAAAAATGGCACTGACACGTCCGGTGCCGAAGGTTGGTCTCTTCAGTCAGCATACCGACAGCTCTCTCTCCTTATCCTCGACGAGGGTGTCAAGCTAGTTGAGGGGCTTTTAGTCGACATGGATAGAGGGGGCATTGGCTTCCGCAACCATACCGCGCCCCAACAGCCGCCTCCATATGGCAGTACCTGGGATGAAGATATCCTGTTCATCGAGCCAGAGACTCAATGCGTTAGCTTGAACCTCACAGTTGATTTCCAACTCCCAATGGACAACACAGGCTCTGTGAGAAACCTTCGATTGACAGATCGTGGTGGATTTTCTGCCTTGTCTCATACTGCTCCGAGTCTTGATATGCCACCAAATGGGCAGCTCAATCTTGATTTGAAAGAGAGGGCATACAAGGCAGCTTGGCTTAATAATTTCCTGACGCTAAAGTATTTCAATGCAACCGATTCCGATTTGTCGAACATATCGCGCATAGATGTGGCAGAGGGAACAGCGTTTCCCATCACAGCTTTCAGCCAGAGCGCTAGTGTTCAGTTTGGGGAAGATATCATTAGGTCGAACACTGAATTTGGAGATTACCTCAACCTCACCAACACTGCTTCCCGCAACCAATCTAATGGGTATGCTAATCCGTTCGGGATCAATGCAAGGAATTTTTCTGCTATTAGTACGTATCCTTGTGCTTCTTCCTAGCTCTGTAGAAGGTATTAACGGAGGCAGCGAACCTTTGCGCCGGATCTTCAGGTTCAAGTCTTGCAAATATCAACAGCAGTATTGTCGGATGCTGTCTCTTATATGGTGCCGCCAACCGCACCGATGGAGGCTCTCGCCTTATTACCGACCCAGGATCACCGTGGTCGATTCCGATTTACAGCTGCGCCTCTACTATTAAAGCAACCATTAGGACGGTCACGTTTCAGTACAATGCCACAGGCATCGAAGCACTCAAAATCAAAGCCACGAAACCGAAAACCTACCAAGATAGCAAAAGCCTTCCTCTCTGGGGTGTCGAAGATTTGCAATCCTTGAGGTTGGGAAATGCGCAACCACTTTGGGGGGTGCTTGGAACCTCCAACTCTACCAATATTCCCACAGCTCCATACAACATCTCCAAAATCTCCCAAGAGAGCCTTTACTTGCCAGGTTTTCAGGACCAGTTTTTTAATGATGGCCTTCAACCTGTGCCAATTACCGGACAGAATCTCCCAGGAGTCGAATTCTATTACCAAGCTCTAGCAAGCGCCCTCAGGATAAACCGACCAGGTGCGGTTGGGTATCAAGGATTTGCAGATTATTCGGGCAAAACAAGTTTTGCCCTCTATGCTAAATGGCAAAACCTATCAAGTTCTGTAGACTCTACCTCTAAGATTTTGGATCTAGTTTGGACAGATGTTGCAGCAAACGCGGTCGTCGGGACAAAGGGGTGGGGACTGAGCTCTGTCGCCTCTGGCCACTCGAAAACTATTCTGAAGCGTGCCAGCGAGGGAAATGGAGATGATGCACCGCAGAGTCAAGTTCCGATTACAATTTACGAGAAACGCATTCGGTACCGGATACTCTATGCTATCCCGGCGTTCATCATAGCAGCTATAACTGTTGCTGTCATATGCACAGTTTCGGTTCTTGCGATTATGGGCAGAACTGGACTAAAGCAGATGCGGAAGTTCTTGGATGCAGCGTCGGCAGGGAGGATCGTGGGACGGTTATTATGGCCTGAGAAGGGCACGGGGAAAGGGACCAAAGACTGGATTGAGGCCGTTGGGACTCGGCGCGTCACAATTACCAGTACGAGTATCAGTGCGGAAGGAGAAAGCTTGATGGATGGTGCGGAAGAGATAACGAGTGGACACGGAAAAGACAACTTAAGCGTGAGTGAAGTCGTCGTGGCCAGGCACGCGGGCAGCGAAGTAGAGGGAATTGAAATGGAGGATGTGCGCGAGGCAACTCGCGAAGACCAACAAGGACGCAGGGCGTAGATAGGTTTACAAAAGTCTGTCCTAGTTATAAACTTATAATAGCTCAGTCCCATGGGTATACGAAGAAACAGCCATCGTGTTACCACATCTGGGATACGTTGAATTCCGTGGCCATAGAGCACCAGCACTTTGCACTTCCACCTTCCAACGCTTTTAATCCCGTGAGGTCGTACTTCGTACTCTAGTATTCTAATTACAGCAACGCCATGGCAAGTGAGCACAAAGCAGCAACTGCTATACCTCCTACCGTATTTCTGATGGCGGCGTTATCCGACCCGGCACTCGCACTGGTAGTAGCTGCTGCCGGGTTGGTGCTTCGAGTTGCGTCTGTCTGCGCGGTTGTGGGGGAGCTAGTAACAGAGCCACTGGCCCGAGCCGTTGCTTGAGTAGCATTTGGAGTTATCGCCGTCGCATTCTATACTTCCTATTAGCCAGACACACCTCTGCAGTCTGTGAATCCAAACGTACAACAAAAGAACAGCAATTGTCTGTCAAGCATCTCGAACCATCACTACAGCAACTCTGGGAGGCGGGATCGTAGCAGAGGAACTTGGGGTACGATCCAGAGCACCAATGCTGAGAGGTGCTCAAGCGCTGGCAGCATTCCTCGCCAGAGACACCAGCGCACGAAGATGATGTGGAGGAACTCCCAGACGGAGCTATGCGAGTGAGAGTCGGTAGAAGCGGTTGACTAAGGGTGCTTTTCGCAGGGACACCAGCAGTGCCAGTTACACCAGGACCCTGCCGAGGATATCAGAATGCAGCGTCAACGAGCGTCTCAGTATTCACGTACAAGAGTGCCACAGCAACTATTGTTAGCCCCAACACAATTGTCTCCACGGAATTGTCAGCATGGGATTACACCAATGTCAATTGCTTGCGCCAGGAAGAACTCACATCCACCCCCACAGCACTGCTCACCAAGAGTAGGGTTGAAGCAGTTGTACGAGGTACAAATGATGCTCCCTTTCCCCCATGTCTCGGCACAGGTTTTATCGTCAGAGAGAACCCGAGCAGCGAGGAAGCCGCGGGGAGCTGGTGACTGGTCTTCAACGAGTGACCTTCTCCCTGCCGCGGACGCGAGTCCTACGCAGAGGAGCGACAGAGTAAACGAGAAACGCATATTCCTTTGGGAAGGGAATATAATGAAAACCTACTTGCAGCAACCAACACAGAGACTTTTGAAATGCAAAAGAAGGAAGTGAAGAGAGAGCGCGAGCTGAAGTGAAATGAAGCTACTGTAAACCCTTAATCTAATTCTGTCAGCCCTTGGAGCTTAAAAAAGCGCTACAGCGGTGGTTCTGGGGGGTTGGCACAGGGGCGACAGGGGCAATAAATAGTAGAAATACCGGAGAGTAATCGGCCATTGAATTCGACCGTCTTTACGTAGTATTACTACGTACTAGAATACTCCGTACTTGCAGCTCCTCAACAACGAATTGAACAATGTCTACAAATCGACTGTTTTGCTAACTAACGGAAGAACTGATTCAGGCCTGGATACAGAACTCAAAGGAACACACTGCGATATCTCCAGCACCAGAAACGATGCAACTTTGGCTTGAGGCCGTAGATATAGGGACTGGGAAATGGCGCTACGAGCCTACGTACGAAGGACCGCGACTAAAATATTCGAAGTACACCTGCGACAAAGGAAAAGAGTCACGAGAAAGTATAGATTATTAGGTGGAGAAAGCTTGGAACGCCGAGTCTCGAGCTGATCTAAGAGCAGACCTTGTATTGACACGCACGGAGCTGCCAAGAAGGGTTCACGACACTAGATCTTAGATTAGTTAAGTGAGCTGCTCAAGCGAGCTGGCTGATCTACTGTAAAGGTGAGCAGAGGGTGATTAGCAGCTGAGTACGAAGTAACTTACGTAGTAGAAGCGGCCATGCCTACTGTACATGTACACACATACCAACCGAATGTGGAACGAAGATTAAAGATTAGAGTGCAACTACCAAGTGAAACTCCAGCGTTTTGGTTCAGCGGCATTCCCCAAGACCCCAATCATCTAGAAACCACAAAACTTAAAAATGCATAGCCGCGGCACAGGTCTCGAGTTAGCCATGTACGGAGTACTCCTGTGATGCTCAATTTGCACGAGATGAAATTGAGGTTAAAGTCAGCCTTGAAGGATCGTGAACACGCGCAAATCTTATTGCTATGCGGCGCAGCTCCTCGGTTTATCCGCACGAGGTTACCATGTAGGGGGTTCACAGTTAGGAATTTCTTCTGGACTCCGAGGGAGAATGTACTCTGGACACAATGCTGGGTTCTCTAACTCTCATTCTATATTTTTTTAATTAGAGATCGATTCTCTACCAAGGAGAAATCAATATGTATGCTATTGGGAAGCGACTATTTGGTTTCCTATGCACGGTACTGCTACTAAGCAGGACTGTTCTAGGTGTCGCGAAGTTTGTTAACCCAAAGGGCCCGGATGGAACCGTGACTCTCACGCTGGGCGAAAAATTCTTAGTTAGCTGGCAAAATGCGGGATCAGATTACTCGCAACTATCGTTGGGTCTTAAGGCACAATCAAATGGAATGATTTCCTGGCTCATTGGTATGTAAGACATCTATCGCGAATGAAGGACCTGTAGCTGACCTTTCTATTTAGAGAATGACTTAAAATATACGACCCAGAGCTACCTATTCAATGTGAACATAGGAAATAATATAAAACTATCCCAAGGGCATATATTCTCCCTTCTACTCGTCAACGGGTCGAACTCTGGACTGAAAGCAGTGAGCCCGCTCTTCACGATCGCAACAGCGTCGTCGTCATCCACTAAGAAGGCTACCCCTAAGACCACGACCACTTCATCCAAAAGAACTACCTCAACTACTTCAGCATCGTCTACCTCCGCTTCTACCTTGCCAGAAACTTCTTCAACCTCATCAATTGAATCTACAACTTCGGCAGAACCGGTAGAACCATCCGAACCGACAGACGCTGCATCCACGACCGATGACACTCCACAAGCTATCGAAGCCACCCCAACGCCATCAATTTCTTCCGCTCCTACAACCAAGGATACATCTGCTACTTCTTCCGGCCTATCTACTGGCGCTAAGGCAGGCTTAGGAGTCGGTATCTTCGTCGGAGTCGCTCTTCTCATCGTCGCCGCCGCCTTGGTGTTCCGGTCTAGAAGGAAAGCCAAAGACAGGGATGATGACAATCTTACATACCCACTCCAACCATCTGCGGGCAAGCAGGATTATTCAGGTGAAGTTTCACCGCCTGAAGAACCGGACCAGCCTCCAGCCCCGGTATATCAGTCTCCAGCTCCGGTATATCAACCGTACCGGAAGTCCCAACTGCCTCACGAGGTTCATGAGATTTCATCAACGCAGAAGATACCTGGACTTCATGAGCTTCCGGCGGGTTACTGATATGATTCTGGAGCATATCATGAAAAATATTGATAGGAGCTAGTCTTTCTTTAGAGGCATGGAGTTTGGGTCTTGGCTGACCCGGGAATTGCATTGGTCCGGTGTGGGTGGCATTTTCGAGCACTTTAGCATAGGCACGGCGTTCTTGAGACTCGGTGGAAGACATATAATCAAGAATCACGGTGGTGTAAATAGTTATACAAAGTACATAGCGTCTATAGTTAATAGAACCCCTTGTTGATATGTAAGATATACCATCCCACATATTTCCCTCAGCGTAGTTTATCTAACTAGCTCCGCTAGTTTTGTTGTACATTTTCAACTAGTTGCACTGATGGCACCTGATTACCGCCCTTTGGATCCAACGCAAGCTGCCATGCTCCACTACGGCCAATAGCTTGCATCACGCGTCTAGCAGGCTTCATCTTTTGACCCTCGACCGTAATATTCTTTACTCTGAGAGCCTGATGGCTGTCGCTGAGAACGATAATGGCATCTCCATCAGGCGCATAGAAGAGAGGTTTCTTCTCCCCATCAGCGGTGGAGAAGACGACGTATTCGAGGGGGAGCTGTTCATCCCTTTCTTGATTGCGGTAAGACAGTTTCAGCTCATCAGCGATGTCCGTAATCCCAGGTGGGAAGTAGTTTTCTGTCACTGGTACCGACTCAAGATCCTCGAATATGATCCGTTTCTCGGTTTTCCCATCAACCCACACTCTATTCCAGAGGCGCTGAAGAGCACGGTGCCGCCTATATATCGTAGCCGCGTCCCATTCGTCCCATCGAACATGTCGGTCTTCCGGCGTAATCTTTGGAGCATGTTTTAGATCTTCAAATTTGTAGCCTCCAGTTTCAACAAGAGGCGGTACAAATGCTCGATCTCGCAAAGTTTGGATGAGCATGTCCGAAGCCCTTGGTTTGACAAATTGAAGCAGGTCATCATAAGTGCATTTATCTGCTAGTGGGATTGGAAGGCCTGGCGGAGGTGTTTGCGCTAGAATGACTCCATGATCAAAGGATTTGTGGTCTAGAGTCTGAACTGTAAAACCTGTGGTCTTCTCTCCGGCCATAATCATATGATGTAGCGGTGCAGGGCCGCGAAAGCTATTAGCTGAGATTAGCTTTAGGAATTGATAAATGTGTTAGGACACGAACTTCGGTAATAGAGATGGGTGGACATTCAGCCCACCATATTCAGCCGCTTTGAGGATGCGAGGTGGTATAAACAAACCAAACGAGACAGCTATTATGAGATTTATAGCCTCATTCTGTGGCCTGGGCAACTAATTAACGTTAATAGGTATGAGATGGTAGTGAGTGAGAACTTACATTCCAGCCCCGAAAAGTATCCGCCTCATGAACTGGAAGTCCCAGACTTTGAGCAACCCCTTTAATTGGTACTAGTAAGGTCAGCATTGTTGTACGATTTAGAATGGGCCTTAATCTAAGTACATTCACGTATGTGTGTCATTGATCTCCCGGTTCTCTTCCCTGGCCGGCAAAGGACATCAATTGACGCTATAAGCTTGGGGTCCCGCTGATGCTCCGCATGGATCGCTCGCAGCGAGTCGCAGCTGAATTCATCTGAGCCACAAAAAAGAACACGAAGGGGGCTCGAAACCTTGGTGCTATGCCATCTCTTTGCACATGGAATGCGATGCTGTACGAGTGGCTGTACAGCCACAAATCTGAACTTCAACAATGGCCTCATCGTCAATGTTCCTGTGGAACCACTCAGCGCTCCACCCACCCCATTCCCTTATCTAGATATGATCGTGAGTGCCAAGGGGTGCATACGAAGTACGGTATAAGATGAGTGAGTGGGCGTCGTGGTCTCGACATCTCAAAAGGGGGACAAGCTCCGCGGGATGTGCCGAGGATCAACCGCCGTCGGGCATCTCTGGAGCACCATCTTCATTTGGGGCATTACTCTGTACGCCCACAAGTACGAAGTACATTACACATATAATCTCAAAAGTCGATTCTTACGAGATAATACCTCGTATATGCCATTCTGGTGGCTTATAGTTCTTGGGCTGGATTCGAGTGGCCCACCGCGATACTATCACCACCAAGAATAAGGATGCCGCACGCCCATCGACCTCAACGCTCCGTGACCCTCATCATCCCCCTCCCCAGTACACGAATTCCTTAGTCCTTCTACTCGCCGCCCGAAAATGCCATGTCTCTTGCCGCCGAACAGTTGCGGAAGACGGTTCCCGCGCAGTTGGGGTTTCTAGCAATTTACAACCCCTCCTTAGGCACCACAGACGAGACTGTTGCGGACCAAATTGTTTACTACACGTCCCAAGACCATCAGGATCGAAAGCGGCGAAAACAACGTGTAGCTGATGCATCAACGCAGGCTGCTAAGGATGCCGCCAACCAAAGCAGAAATAAGCAGCTAAGACGGATTGGCCTTGCCCAGGGCATGGTAGAGTTTGGAAAGAGCTTCGCCGATGGGACATCCATTGATACGATTGAGACTGAGAAGTCCCGCATAATACTCCATGAGTTTGAGCCTGGCTGGTGGATATTGGCTGTCAGCAAAGCAACTATCCTTATTTGTAACGTTCTTGCTAATAATTGCAGTCAATCAATTTAACAATACTTCCGAAGACGGTGACGACTACGGCAGCGAAGAACAAGGCGCCAGAACAAGTGGAAACCACCGAATATTCATCTCGTGAGGTAAAGCCTGCAGTATTGCTTCTGCGAGATCTCCTTCGGGCACACTCAACATTTCTCCTACATCGTGCGCCCTCAATACAGGAACTATTTGGCCGAACTAAGCGGTCGGAATTTGAGAATATCCTCGGTCGTTACTGGGATACCTTTTTGTCAACATGGAATGTGCTCATGCACGGAAACCCCGCCAATAACCTGTATGGGGGCATCAAAATTGCAGCATGCGGGGAGCTTGGTGTGGGAGTGGGCGAGGAAGAACGAGGAAGTGGAGAACGTGAAGTTCTAGAAGGCTTTGTTGGCAGGATAGATGGACTCGTCGACGTGATCGTGTCAAGGTTCGGCGATATTGATCCCAGCGACGATGTACAGAAAGGGACGAACAGAGTCGACGCCCATCGGACATTGCCTTCATCGCCATGGCTTGGCTCTGGCAATGATCCCACTGCTGAAGATGGAGTTGTCTTTCTTGGAACCGGTGAATTGCTACAGAGGTCTCTTCGAGACCTGTCCCACTGGGTAGAAGATATTTATAGATGGGGTCCTTCTACCTATGGCCTGATGGATAAGTCGACTACCCACGGTCGCGGAAAAAACCGCAAATCAGGAAAGCGGGCGACTGGTGAAGCCGTCTCGAATTCGAGGGAGGTTTCGAGGGGTGTTTATGGGGTTAACTTGCTACCGCAGGGTCCTACCCAGGATTCAATGACAACAATCCCTCCCATGCCTGTTCCGGATGGCGAAGACACTCGCGGTAGAACAGGCTTAGGAGAACGAGGGCCTTCTCTTCATCGTGACTCTTCCAATGCTGCCAGCATTAATAGCGAATCGAGCAAGGGTAGCAAATTTGTTGATTACTTGAAATTTGGTTATGGAAGCCATTGGACTCTTGGTGGAACTACATCTAAAATTGCCGGCCATGATGATGCTGCCGATGCTCAAGCTGCCCATACCAATTCTGGGAACGCAGTAGGCTCTGTTGAAAGCCAAGGTAGCAAGCCTTCAACTGGCGAGGAAGGACGCAAATCAGACAGCTCTCCCCGCCCTCCCGACGACACCGTTGGGCATTATTTAATTGGACTAATGGGAGATATCGAGAATGAGGATGATGACACTGTGGTCGAGAACCTGGCGGGTTCACAGAAGAGCAGCGTCTCTTCGGATAACTTGAGCGAAAACATATCGGCTCGAACCTTAATTATCGAGTTGCAAACACAGGCGGATGTCCATGTTGAAGCTGAAACTAGTATTGATGCACACAGCACTGAGAACGAGCAAGCATCATTCAAAGATAAGACCTCGGCGCTCGGTGGCACACTGGGTGTGGTATTTGGGACACCGGAAGGGAAGAACATGAAGGAGTTGCGTGTCGTCGTCTACGCCAATAAACCATTCATCTTTGTCTTCCTCTTTGAGCCGCAGACCGAATCTTTGGCATCGAGCAGCCTTTACCGTTCACTACATTATCAACTCAGTCCTCTCATGAAACCTTTACTCCGCTCAACGACCTTCCGGGCGTCCAGGCCAGACATAACTCTGAATTCCAAGGACAGGAGTGGCAGCGCGACGATATATGATTTAGTTTGGGACCCAAAGCTATTAACGCTAAACTCTACTATTCCCAACATTCCAGATCCGTTTCATACCCAGCCTCAATCCTCTGATCAACTTCCATGGTCACGCATTGAGGCGTTGAATACCCACCTGCAGATTCTTAATACATATATCGCAACTATCAAGAATGGAAGTGAATTAGAGCGTACATGTAAGACTAGCCGAGGCTGGTGGGTCGTATGGACTAGGATACCGGAACAACGTGAAACCCCGCCAGCGATTACTTCTGGTACGGGCGAAGATCTCATGTTTACAAGTGAAGATGAGTCCGGTGGTGATGCCACCCTAGGATCAAATGCATCCCGTACGGCCAGTACCCTTGGCTCCAGTTCCGTTCCAGGCGGAGCGCGAGAAGATAAAGTAATCTTTTTGATCCGGAAGGCAAGCGACTACACTGGAACTAGGTCCTCCAGATTTGTAGGTGGCTCTTCGACAGCTGAAGATTCTGGTTGGATAGGCGCTCCTGGAAAACTGGCACAAGGTATCGGCATCGATACGAGGAAGTATATTGAAGGACTGTTGAACCTCAATCGATAGTTGAGAACTATAGTTTTACAAACATATAAACAATATTTTGCACTCCCATTGACCCACTAGTCGCTGATTTTGATATCCCTTGTTGATCCTTCAACCACTTGCTAAAGTGAGAGCACATATGTTGCGCTCCACGTGCTACCATGTTCTTCCATTGGGATGTGGCGTCATTACGTCGTTATAACTATCTGTAGTTCTGTGTTATGAGTAGGTATCGTCCCATCTCACACAGTAAAGTCATCTTAATTTACGATAGTGCACTTCTTACAATATAGGGATTAATTATCTTGTGGAATAATATATTTCGAGCTAAGACGCGAGTCCCCTATTAAGACATATCTCCAGACTCCGTTCATCATGTCATTCAGCGCACTTTAGCAAATCATACACACTTTAGTGATGAGCAGCCCCATTATTCTGATCCATATGCTCATTCTCCTCCTCAAGCTCTCTGGCCAATTCAGAATCCAAAAGCGTTGCCTCAGCCATCAATTTATCAGCCTCTCTTCTACAGTTATCTGCCTCTTCCTCTAACATAATAGCCTCTTCCGTTATCTGCAGCCTTTCTTTCTCTCCTAATCCGTCAGCCAGCGACGCGATACGGATCTCCACAGCCTTCGCCTCGGTCTTGTCGGCGACGATTCGCATCTGAAGCGCCTGGGCATGTATTTGCTCTGACCCGCGAGATACAGGCGTTGGATCGGATCCGAAGGGCACGGAGATCCGTCCGGGGGCATAAGGAAGTTCTTGGGTAAATGGCCATGCACCGTGAATAGCGGCCATACCCGGGGGCCCTCGAGATTCTGGCGAGTGAGGTGGCATGTTGTCCTGGAGGAATGGCGCTCTCTCGAATGGAAATCCTCTTGGCATTGAAGGGGTTTCCACCACAGGGAAAGGATGTGGAGACATCGAAGGTTCCGCCGTTGGTGTCGGGAAGTAGCATCCTGATTTTTCAGCGTTACTATTGCAGCTCTTCTTTCCTTCTCTGCGAGCCCTTCGTTCCTCCTTTCTAGCACTACGACGCCCTTTTTTCTGTGCCCTCCTTGCCGCACGACGCTCCCGTCTACTTTCCCTCCGAAGCCTTTTCTGCGTCTTTCTAGCTTCTCTAAATGCCTTCATCAAGTCCCTGACCTCTCTTCGCAACGCTTCCACATCCTGCTCACTCTGCTGTGAGGAGGCTGCCCTTGACAACTTGATCTCATGCCGGACCTTCTGCACATCATCCTTCGTGATAGGATGCTCTGGATGATTTACCCAATCAAGCAGAGCCCGTTTTGCTACTGGTAGTTGCGGAGGTTTAAGATCGTCATAATCAGGAAGAGATCCGACAGACGAGTCCGAATGCGCGGAGGAGAAGCTCGAGGAGCTTTTAGAGCTAGACGTTGAGACAGATCGTGCTCGTGGCCCACCACGTCGACCACCTCGCCCGCGACCTTTATCATGACTGTCATAAGATTCCTTCCGGCCAAATTGTCTACCGCCCATAGTAAATCCACTAGAATCAGCTACGATCCCACGAGCACCCCCAAGCCTGAATCCATTTTGATCTGCAACTAGAACGTTGCCCATACGGAATCCATTGTTGTCAGCCACAAGGGCGCTCCCGATTCGAAACCCGTCCGAATCCGCCACAATCGGCCCCATCCTGAAGCCCTGCGAACCGGCTTGAACGCCTGGAAACCTCTTGAACGCATCGAACATTCCCCGTTGTCCTGCGCCCTTTTTTGAGGATGGATTAGGGACTAGTTCATGGTCGTACGGTATCCATGCACCTGGCACTCGAGGCGTCTCATCACCAGCTTTAGTCGGAGGATTAAGCTCGCTGGTGACAATGGTGATTCCCCGAGGCTGGAAGAAGTGTTCATTCCATTCTGCTATTGTGGCTTCAGCGGCGATGAGAGATTCGGTCCTGGATGATGCTGAGAATTGGCGCAAGGGGCGAAGCTGTGCATCCACCTGACTAATATCTGTTTTTGACTTCTCTTCCTCGCTGAGGGCAAGACGGTACATTTGCTCTGCTATCAATTCGGCCTTTAGTTTCCTATCTGCTACATCATTATTGACACTGGCAGTATGGTCTGGCAACAAGTAATTGATGAACGTCGCCCAATCCTGTTGATTAACTTCTTTGGATGTCCAGTCTTCGGGGTAGGGAAGATCCTGGGGCTGGGTAGTTTCATTGAGGCTTATGGAATGTGTAATAGGTTGTCCAGAAGACCGGTTCCGTACGGGCCTTGATTCGAAATACACCGCCGCCGCAGAAGAAGACAGATGGCTAAAACTGTCATCGAATCCTACCTGTTGGTGTACAGATTCTGGAGGGGAGGAAACTGGCGTGTAGATTACGGACTCCACCGTCGACGGCGCAGCCGACGGAGGCTGATTATCGTGCCCAGCTACCGATGCATTATCTGCCCGCGAAGATGCTGGAGCAGGACTGATATACTGTGAAGCGCCTGCATCTGTGAAGGAATCCGTCAGGCTGTAGGGTGGCGGGGGAATCGAGTCTCTGTTGGCCATCTCAGAGATAAGGCTGCGAGGTGGGGTCACCGCTGCGAGAACGGTAGTATTGTATGTTGATCAATCGAAACGACACTACGGATCTGATAAGAGGTGAAGCTGAAGCTGACGAGATTATAGAGCTTCGTGAGGTCGCCCTCATAAATCGGTGGAGCTTTAACGGTGTCGTTGGGCTGACATCGCTGACATCTGATCCGCGTGAGCCCCATGTGCTGCACGCTTAAGTATCTGCTACGTATTGTTGTCCCCTTGTGGTGCAGCCCTGTTGCTACCCAGCCACAGTCCATATTGGGGGCTTGCAAGCGCCGTCAATGCACCCTAAATGCACCTTGGATGCTCTTTTACCTCTACGATGACGCGGCATTTCATAGGCACCAGGCGCCATATTTGATATCTTCTTGTTGCACTGACGCTCATGGAATTGTAGTTATAGCGGTCTGTTATGAACTTGTTGTTGCTCCTTCGGCCACGTGGCAGCTAGTTTGTTGGCTCGGTGGTTCATCCTTAGTCTACCTGGTATATATGTACAGTTACCTAGGTCTTATCTACAAAGAGGTGGACAACACCCCAAGATATTTTAGGAGGGACATAATCCGTATGGTACCCGTCCACTTAAGGTATTTAAATTGACCAGCCAAGTCTCCAAGCTAAGAGGCCCCCAATCCCACCGGAAACTCAAAACGGAGCGACTTTCAAGGTCATTTACAAGTCCTGTCCCTGGGATTCTTCCTGAACCCCACATTCTTGGATTCCTGTCGAATTCATTGACGGTGCTTGAAGTTTGACGGTAAATAGGGCTAGCTTCTATAGTCATGGTATTATTGTCATGGCTGGAGAGTTCCTGGAAACTTTGGCCTGGTCTCGATCCTACGACCATGGCAATATTGTGAACCATAACACCCTCCCCTTCTAGAATGCCGAGTGGGGCAAGCACGAGTTATTTCTCCAGCATCTGAGATAGTCATGTAGTCGCAGGGAGCTTTCAGAATTGCAACTCTGGCTTATGGAAGTTGATGTCCTCCGGCTTGTAGTGATCTGCGACAATCCTATAGAGATACGAAGGAGCATGTGCACCCCTTGACGGAAATTAGTAGACAACTCAAATATCTGTCAGTGGCAAACTTACAAATTCGTGATATAAAGATCAACTAGATCAGGGGGCACGTAGTCGTAGAGAGGATTGTCAATCTCAAGGTTATCCACCAAGTTTCCATCGTGGTACTTAACAATGCGTCCGGGATCGCCGTACTCAATTAGAGATTCAAATTCGAAAGGATACTCCGGGCTGAGTTTGTACACTCCACTAACTACAATCACGGGAATTTTGTGCACTTTGGCAGCCTTTGCGATGATGCGTGCCCCAGCTGCGGCAATCAAACCACCATTAGCAATGACAGCGTGAGTTGCCAAGATGACCTTGTTGACTCTTGACATGATAGCGAAGATTGCAGCATCAGTCGTTAGGACAACGGTAATACCCGCTGCAGTGAGCGGCTTGAGGAACATTTCGAGAGATGTATCCTCGGAACTGCCCAGATCTGGAGCAACGCTCCCAGTAACTGCAGCATGCGTTGCTTGATGATCATTTGGATACGACTCAGCGACAATAACAGTAAATTTTCTTTTCTCCGCAGCCTTGAGCAAGAATTTTTGGACGCTGGTTGATGACGAATGTGTGAGGATAACTTCGTTGGAGTGTATGTGCTCTTGAGCATAGCCAGCCATTTGGTCATCAACTTGGTCTAGTTCGTCGATGATCTCTTCGATCCCACTAATAACTTCTGCTTTTAAATCCTTCGAGCTCGCGGCCACTCGTTGCGCTACGGAGGCGGCATTGATGCCAGAACCTGCCTGGGGCGAATCTATCTGCTGTGGCGGAGTCGATAATGGGGATGGCGTAGCGGATAGGAGATTGAACATTGACTGCTGCACTGGGAGGCCGTTTAGCACGGCGTACGATGTATGCGATGTCATTAACGGCGGCCTATGTCCCCCTTGAGGCGTTCTCGCAGACCCATCATCACTATCCGTATCCGTCGAGCCTGGAGCGTTGGAAGCGCCAAATCTCAAGGGGCTAGCAGTAGCGGTTGATACGCCAATTGTTCGTAATGGCGCTGGATCGCTGGTTTCGCGTTGTGGAGAGTCTATTTGGGTAATTGACGCAGTATCGCTCATATCTTCGCTCCGATCCTCTTTTGCCTCATCTCTTATCATGCCCAAGACTCGCCGGACTATGTTTCCTACAACCATCTCCTTGGGTTGAGCTTCTACTAGCCTTTGTCCGACTTCCTGTATCCGTTGGAGGAGCTTCCCAATATCTGTCCATTTGAATCTTGCAACTACGCGAAGTAGTAAATGCGCCGTTGCTATTGCGCAAGGTCTAGAGTTCCTTATCTGTCTTCGTTTCAGAAGCCTAACACATGTCAGCCATCTGATGGGCGGGCGAGATTTGCAAAACCTACGAGATCAAATGCTCGATGGAGGCCTCCAGTTGCTGGGTCTTGAGCGCCTTTAGGAAGACGCCCAGGTTTGGCGCATAACCAGCCTGGACAGACGGCATGGCTGGTTCCGTTTAGTTCTGAATTGCACAGAGCTTTAACAAGAAATCGTTTGCGGATATTGAACTGTGCGAGGTGGGTCGGGATTCTGAAAAGACCTATTAGCGTTGTGGACAAATCCCTTCACTAGACAGCTTAGGTCATACCAATGGGAGGAGTACCCTAAGCTCAAAGCCGGGCGAATCGTTGGAGCTGCACTTAGAGTATATGTGAAGCTATATCTGTACTGACTTTGATAGAAATATGACTCGTTTGCCAGGTCGTGGGACCGGGATATGTGGGCGGGCGCTAGCGGAGGGAACGAGGGGCATGCAGGACGATTCCCGTTCGCAACCGCCAAGAACATAAACTACAATACACAGCTATAAGACCTGGATTCCGAAGAGTGTATAGCTGCTCTACCTTCATCTTGTGTATTACTACATATACACGATGCGATTCTGGAAAACAATACTATTTTATTGATAACATTCCACCATCCCCGTTTCCTTATCACGGCTAGTGGCATGCTAGCTATCCCTTTGTTTATTTCGGGATAGGATGAAAATGGAGTCCATTAATAGTCGGTCGTCGAGTTTACCCAATTCATCAAAGACAGGCCCTCATGATCTGGCGCTGGCGCCATTAAAATTACGTACCCAAGGAAGTCCAAAGGCGCGCCGTTGGTTCCGGGATTTTATCGCAGCTTTTTCAACTATCACCATCCTCATTTTCCTTGGTTATACGACCGCTGAACATATATTTGGAGACCGGTCGAGAAGCACCTGGTTTTGGAGACTACACGATAGTCAAAGTGAAAATGATGGGCAGAAAGGAAGCTCGAGAGGCAGTCAGTACTTGCTGGGGGTTGGCAAGGCCGATATCACAGGGTATTGTCACGTTATTATTCGGATAGACATCGAAAAGAGTGCTGATTTTGTTCCAGTCCCGTAGTAGAGATCAATATGATGGGATACGCGGATATGAAGCAGGTTGGATCCGGCCTCCGGCAACGCCTCTACTCCCGAGCATTCATCGTGGGGGATGTTGAGCACCCCGATGACAGGTTTGTATATCTCGTCCTGGACACGCAGTCCGGAGATACTGCTGTTCGCTATGGGATTCTTGAAGGCCTAGCTAGCCTGGGCAGTGCCTATTCTGTGTATGGGCAGCATAATGTGGCCGTCACTGGTACACATTCTCATTCGGGACCAGGAGCATGGCTAAACTATCTTCTGCCCCAAATTACCAGCAAAGGATTCGATAAGCAGAGTTACAGAGCTATCGTGGGCGGCGCGATATTGTCAATCCAAAGAGCTCATGCTAGTTTGCAACCTGGCTATCTAACGGTTGGGTCGACGAAGGTTTTTGGTGCAAACATTAACCGGAGCCTCTACGCATATCTTGCAAACCCGGAAGCCGAAAGAACCAAATACAATATCAGTGCCGAAGATGACGGCTCGGTCGAGAAAGATTTGACTCTGCTTAAATTCCAACGAGCATCGGACGGCAAGAACATCGGAGTACTTACCTGGCTTCCTACCCATGGGACGTCCATGTTGGGAAACAACACCCTAATATCGGGAGACAATAAGGGAGTGGCTGCGGATCTATTTGAAAAGAGCTTGTCTAAAACACATGACACTGCTCCTGAAGGCTTCGTGGCCGGCTTCTCGCAGGCGAACGTCGGGGATACCAGCCCGAACGTGCTCGGGGCATGGTGTGAGGACGGATCGGGAAAAGAGTGCAGCTTCAGGAACAGCACATGCAGCGATGGCAAAAGCCAACAGTGCCATGCCCGTGGGCCCTTCTTCCGCACCAAGGACAACGGAGCTTCCTCTTGCTTCGAAATTGGCAAAAGACAATTCGAACCGGCTAGAGCCCTGTATGATTCTATAGATCTCAAGGGAACCCCTATCGCAGGGCCGTCAGTCAAGTCATTCCACATCTTCCACGACATGTCTAACTTTAGCTTCCCATTGGCGAATGGAAGCTATGTCCAAACCTGCCCAGCAGCTCTAGGCTATTCTTTTGCTGCTGGTACCTCAGATGGGCCAGGTGCATTTGACTTTACGCAGAATGACCCAAACGCACCCAATGCATCCCCTGTGTGGCGGGTAGTGTCCGGTGCCCTCAAGGAACCCAGTGAGGATCAGAAGCGCTGCCACTTTCCGAAGCCTATCCTACTAGATGTTGGAGAAATCACCTCCCCTTACATGTGGACGCCAAACGTTGTCGACGTCCAGGTGCTCCGGGTAGGCCAGTTCGTTATAATCGTCAGCCCTGGAGAAGCCACAACAATGGCGGGTAGGCGATGGAAGGAGGCTGTACATGAAGAGGCGAAATTGCTTGCACTTTCCGGACAATCTATAACGGATCCTGTGGTTGTCCTTGGCGGGCCTGCAAATAGCTATACCCACTATATTGCTACGGAAGAGGAATACGGCATTCAAAGATACGAAGGTGCTTCGACACTCTATGGGCCACATACACTAAATGCCTACATCAACCGCACTCTCGCCTACCTGCCCTACCTCCTCCCATCGTCAAGCTCTAGGCCAGCTCCAGGTCCCCTCCCACCCAACAACGTCAATAGATCCCTCTCCTTCATCACCGGTGTTGTATATGATGGCGTGCCCATGTTCAAAGAATTTGGAGAAGTCAAGAGCGACGTTGAGCCATCCTATCCTATCGGCTCTACGATATCCACCACTTTCCACGGCGCCAATCCACGTAATAATCTACGTCTGGAAAAAACGTACGCAGCGATTGAAAAAGCGGACCCGGGGACTGGAAGATGGGCACGGATTAGAGATGATAGTGATTGGAGCTTGATATTCAATTGGAAGCGGACGAACGAAATTTTAGGGCAGAGCGAGGTCAGGATAGACTGGGAGTCCGGGGATTCTGCTCAAGCGGGAAAGTACCGGATGAAATATTATGGAGATTCCAAGGCTCTTGGGGGGACGATCACGGCTTTTGAAGGGACTAGCGGGACGTTTGTTTTGATATAATTAATGCAAAGAGCTGACTGAAGCATTGACATGCTTATTTTTATAACCTACACTATCACTTTCCGTGATGTTCGTTTCCACAGAATTCGAAGGGATATAGACGCTTGAAATAGCCAGATTCCCTCCCCCCAGTACAAACGCCGACCCGTTAATGCTCGCTATAAAACCCAACTACCGTAAAGCAACCAGAACGCCCTACTTCCTGAGCTGCGTCTTCTTCCTTTCCGTTTGATCCCATTTCCAAGCATCCTCGAAGGCTGTCGGCTTCGCCTTTGTGTCGTTCGGCTGGAGACCTAGACGTCTTACCACCTGGAACGCACCGGTTCCCACACTCATCGTTTGACCCATGATGATGCACTCACTGACACCCTCAATCTGATCGGTTTTCATTCCGGCAGCAGCGTCGAAAAGATGATCGGGAGTCTTCTCGAATGATGCAAGCTGCAGTACACTGTCTCGCATCTTGGCCAGGCCAAATCGAGTAATCCCGAGAACTTCACCCTTATATGTCATGACATCGGCAAGAAGTTGCATGTGTCTTGGATCGATACCCATGTCTCCCATGACGGCACCGATTTCCTTTGCAATAGTCGACCTAGCCGCCTCGATTCCAAGTACGTCCTTGCACTCCATGACACTGTTGGTGGTACATCGAGTGCCGATGACTCCTTCTGTGGTCATGCAAGCTCGCAGGCCGTAGCCCTCGACAAGCACGGCGTGGGTGCTCTTCTCCGATGTTTGGATAATAGCTCGAGTTGCGTCTGGATATCCTGATATGACCACGGTGGGTAGAGCGCGCTTCAAATGGTTGACCCGAAGCAAAAGATCCGACTTCTCTTCCGGTGCCGTTCTAGTCCTTGCGCCAGGGCCTTCATCCTCCGTCGCGACCTTGCTCCTTGACCCACGAGTACCACCGCCATCATGAGTGACGTTGACGAAGATGCAATCACCGACGGGTGACACATCGCCAGATTTGATCTTTAATTTCTTGTTCCGGCATATTGCCTCAGCAATATTTTCAACGGTGATACCCAGATGCATATCATTCAGGGCTTCCATGTCGACCGAAAGACATAGAGTTGCCCTCTTGGCCGACCACATGTCCTCGATGAAGCGAATAACATCGGACACGTATGTCTTCTCGATTCGACCTTTGACCACACGAGCAGCCTCAATCTGCACCTCGTTCTCAAGTGGACAAGATATGACGGGCGTACTGATAACTTTCGAAGCATTGATAATCTCCTTGATACGCGGCACACCCTGCGTGATACTCATACCGGCAACACCAGCAAAATGGAAAGTCTTCAAGGTCATTTGAGTTCCGGGTTCTCCAATAGATTGGGCGCCAACAGCACCAACCGCATGACCTGGCTCGACGTGTGCTTTGGCATACTTGGTGAGGCAGAGCTCGACGAATTTCTCCAAGGTCTTCCTCGACACTTTAGCAACTCTTTCAACCTGGTCTCGTCTATATTTATCTTCTTTAGACGGATCGTATGGTTCTTCAGTGTTAGCTGGTTTCTTGTCCATGATCGTTAGACCGGATCTTTCCCGCCTCTTTGCCAGCCGCGAAGCTAGGTTACCAACGAATTTGGTAATGGTCTGTACAAAGCCTCTGGCGCTTTCATGCTCGTCAATCGCATAATCACTCTGATCGTCGTACCCCAATGGCTCATTAAACAGCCCTTTCCTGGTATACTTTGATTTCTGCTTTGTCAACAGCTCTTCGCAGAGAGTCGTGATCTCGTATGGCAATAGGCACGGGTCCTTATTGTTCCAAGTGAGATTCTCCGCATGTGTCCAGGTCCGCTCGAAATGAACAGGAACGGCAGAACCTTCCATATCAACAGGATCGAGCTTGTCAGCGCCGAACTGGAATTGGACAATACCACCGGAAGAGTTCCGCACGGTATCATCGTATTGAGTCGATAGATCTTCGAGGGATTTCATTAACCTTCTAGACATGTAACCAGTCTCTGCAGTCTTGACAGCAGTATCGACCAAACCTTCACGCCCAGAAATGGCGTGAAACAAAAATTCCGTAGGAGTCAAGCCTGAAAAGAAACTATTTCTCACGAAACCCTTCGACAGAGGCTGCCGAGCGTTTTTAGGGAAATGAGGCAAACTGCGGTCCTGGAATCCATCGGGGACACGGTTTCCACCGATAATTTGTTGGCCGACGAGTGCCACCATCTGGGCGACGTTGATGTTCGAACCCTTGGATCCAGATTTAGCCATAATAAGTGGCGAATTCCATTTGCTTAAAGTATCGACACAGTAATCTCCAGCTTGCTGTCTGACCCTACTGAGAATACCTGATATGGCGTTTTCAAGAGTTTCTTCCATATTGCAGCCGGTGGCTTTTTCGAGCCTGGATTCCTTAAACATTTGAATCAGTTCCTCGCACTCCTTGTATGCCTTCTCAACCAAATCTGTTTTCTTTTCCACAAGCTTGGCCGATGGATAGACGTCGCTGATACCGATAGAGAATCCCATATTCGTGAGATATCTGGCTGAAAGTTTGGCCAGTCGGTTCATGGCTATGACTGCGTCATCGGGACCAAAATCTCGAAGGATGATGTAGAAAATCGAGTCCTTTTTGCCGGAGCCTACAGTAGTCTTGTCCATCCTACCACACATAACTTCCGAGTTGCGTACAACTAGCCAGCCATCGTTAGGGTCCATATCTGGAGTTTGGCCCGCTTTTGCTCTATAGTCACGACACTTAGCATCCAGGTTGACTTTGACTGGCGAGTCTTTGTTGGGCCGCATGAGAATGCTGAAAACTTGCTTTCCGGTCCAGAGTGCTTGCGGCTTAATGATTGCTGGAGGTGGTACATCCAGATGTGTATTGCCATCAACCATGTACATACAGAGATTGGTGAAGGTCTTTCGGTCAAAGAAGTTTTCTTTGCTGCTGAGAAGATATGCGGCTGTAATAAAGTCCTGGGTCGCGGAAATAATTGGCTCTCCGTTCTTGGGAGTCGACAGGTTGTTTTTAACTCCCATGAGATTGATAGCCTCGGTCCTGGCTTCTTCGGTCTGAGGGACATGCAAGTTCATCTCATCGCCATCAAAATCGGCATTGTACGGATTGCAAACACACTCGTTCAGCCGGAACGTCCTCCATGGTCGAACCTTCACATAATGACTCATGATACTGAGCTTGTGCAGCGATGGCTGTCTGTTAAACAACACAATATCACCATCTTCAAGATGTCTCTCAACCACATCGCCAATCTGCAAAGCCCGTGCCTCATTCTCTCGCCGAGCAAATTTCAGCGATATCTTGTGGTCGGAATCCTTCTTGATGATCTGTTGAGCGCCGGGATGCACAGTTGGGCCGTTGATAATACATTGTCGCAACTTTTTCAGATTATGTCGCTGCACTCGCTCAGGATAGGTAAGATTCTTCGCCACCAGAATCGGAATGGCGACCTGGTCAATTCCAAGATTCGGATCCGGCGAGATAACCGTTCGACCTGAGAAATCGACTCGCTTTCCCGATAAATTACCACGGAAGCGGCCTTGTTTTCCCTTTAGACGCTGGCAGAAACCGCGGATGGGTTTTCCAAAATCTCTTTGCTGAAGACCAGGCACGTCGCTGTTGACATACATTGCGATCGACAGCTGAAGATAGTCCCATTGCTCCATGATAGTTTGCACTGGCTGTCCCTTTTGTAAAGCGGCTCGAATCAGGGAACTAGTGTGAACGATCTCGGACAATTTCGTGGTCAGATCGTCTTCTGTGCTTGCACTATCCTGTGCAACAGAAGGCCGAATGCAAACTGGCGGGGCTGGCACAAATTGCCACAAGAACATTTCAGGTCTCCCTTCGGCCGGGTTGATGTTCAGAAGCTCGCAATCGCTGGGAGTGATCTTCTTGAAAAGATTCAAGACCCTCAGGGGATTAAGATCCTCGACCGCCTTCCTTGCATGTTTCTCCAGCTCCGGGTTGTTCTTCTTTGCCTCATTGAAAGAATCCTCGAATACCTTCATGCTTGCAGGTTTGACCTTTGATTTGGCCGCCGACTTGTTATAGGTCTGGTACTTGTCATGTGTTAATTTGAGGACAGCAACCTTTCGAATTTGGCCATTGATAGAGTCGCAGTACGGGCAGGTCTTTGCCTTTCGACATTGCTCGTTTATCTTCTTGCAGATTTGCGTACGCTTCAAGTTGTCGATACCAGGTCGTCTGAGCTCTTTGAGGAACGCCCGCCGTTCAGTATCTGTAAGCAATACTCTTGCACAGTCCTATTTCGAAAGTCAGCCTAGAGATCTTCCACAGATAGAACCGCTTCGTTCCGCTCCTACCTTGCAGATGTTCTGTAGAATAGTCATAACCAGCTTCAAGTATCCAATATGGAACGCCGGCAGGGCCAGCCTGACATGACCAAAGTGGCCATTGCAATTCTGAAGCCCCTCCCCGCAGGTCTCACATATGCCTGTCTTGCTAGATATTCCTAGTCTCGGATCTAAAGCTCCATGTGCCACCGGCTTCCGGTTCTTTTCGACATCATAGATTATGCGATCGGAGACTTCGAGGACTGCTTGATTGACGATATCCTGGTTCGACCTTGAGAAGAATGGGTTAGCATAAGCTCTACTGTAGCATGGATTGGCACCTACTGGATACCAAACTTCAACTCCTTGAACCGCTTTGGAGGGCGGTCGATAACCTGCTGCTTGAGAGAGTCGAGCTGCATTTTTGCTGTGTATTATCAGATGCTTAGTTGGGGGAAATAAAGCATCTCCGGTGATTGGAGAGATTAAAAGTGAAAAGTTGGTGTTATCGCATTATGGAGGCGGGTTTTGAGGTGTCGCGGTGTGGTGCAGAGGACATATTGAGTCAGATATTCATTTTGAGGTTCAAGCTACAACAAGGCTAGATTTTTTTGGTGGGGTTATCACACGTGATCACAGCCCCTCCAGACCCCTGAACATAACCGAATTGGAACATAATCTACAGGTTATATAACCAGCATCTTCATTGTGTGGGATATTCAAACACATTATCGTACATTATTCCTTGCTCTGAACATTTGGTACACATAACAAATCTCACATGCAAATGTCTCAAATGCAACAAACAACATGCTGGCTTAAAATCAATAAACGTTGATCGCTGTCAAGTAATTATTATGTTATTGCTTCCCATCTTCTCCGCCCCTAAGTCCAAGGAAAGCTCGGACATCCGTTACCCATTGCAAGCCTTCCAACAAAGGCACAAGATGAAGAAGATCATTATCAGTGGGATCATTTATCCAGCCTTCTATCGGTATCGCATTATCTACCTCGGAGTTAGGCTCGGCTGCGAGGAAGCGGAGTGGGACATCCTTACCTTGATGAAACATATAACTCAACGGACTGTTGTCTAAAATCATGACCTTGCTGAGGTCTGCCTGCACAGAGCTTAGATCTTTGATAAAAGCACCATGTCGGAATGTGCAATGTTGGCGATAGTATCGCCCCGAGAAGAACTTGCGCTCCTGTTCTAACCAGTCTATTACCGGGTCTGCGTATTCTTGAACAGAAGCTGTGAAAACGACTAGATTGTACCATTTGCAGACCTAACGGGCAAGGTTAGCCAGGCTTGTATTTTCCCATTCAATACATAGCCAACTCACCCTTCGCAGGAAGTCATCGCAATATGGCCGTTTGTGTACGTAGTACAGAATAGGGTGTTGTGGCCCCATTGTGGTATTCCCACCAGCTCCAACGACTGTGTTGAGTTTTACCTCAACCATGTGCCCCGTACTCATGCGGCCCCCCTTGGCCATACTATGAATCAATGTCTCGTCCAGATCTAGGATAAGTGTCTTCTGCACATGTCTCCCGCTAGCCGCATCTGCAAGAGACCATGACGGCTGTCGCGGCGGTATGAGCGGCCTGGGTGGTGCGGGAGCGCGAGGATATTTTGTCATAAGCATCGAAGCAGAGGGAGAGGTCGGGGATTTGATAGCAGCAAGAGCCGACTCCTCGGAAGATAGTCTACCGGAGCCATCACCTCGCGAGTTTGTCGACTGCGCCCGCCTATGCTTCCTCTGCCGCAAGGTATCCTCATTGTGAAGCTTTATTCGAATCGACCGTCGAGCGGGAGCGATCTCATCAGATGGTTGTAGGGACTTTGAGCGAGCATGGCGGTTCGATCCCGCTGACGCGGACATGTCGCTGCCAACAGTAGCTCGGTCAGATTCTGACTCGGAAGACACCCCAGAGGAAGAATAAGCTGGCGATGCTGCTCGGGAAGCCTTAGAAGAGCCTCGGCGGCCATTCGAAGACTTTCCCTTCTTTTGGTCTCCAAGAAGCGCTCGTTTTTCGTCCCGCGAGGAGAGATCACCCGTCCGGTTAGTCGACGCCCGTCCTGTCTCCCCATAAAAGGCCATTCCAAGTTTCCTCAACTGTGACAATGGCGCGAAGTTTCCCGTCTCATCGTAGAGGTATGCGATCAGATATACACCCGGCGCAGCCAGAGCAGAGAGCACCCAGCGTATAGACTCGATGAATGCTGTTGAAATTCTCTTGGGGATCATATGCCAGCCTAGTGGTACGGCTGCTGAATCCTCGTCTTCGACCTTCTCGGAGAGGAAGGCTTCTTCGTGGAGCGTGCCATCATCGTGGAAATCGGCGTCGTGATCATGTTCCTGGTCATGGTCATGGTCGTCGTCGGCTTCTCCTTCGGCGCCCTCGTTGGCGTTGGCTAACTCCTCGCGGGATCTCCTCTGCTGTTCCGACACGGACACAGCAGCGGGCAGAAGATTGCCATAGGAATTCGAGCGGGAAGGCGCTGGAGTCTGCGGCGGTGAGACTCGTGCCGAGAGGATGTTCAGAGAGTTCATCGTTTGCGCATCGTTAAGGTGGTTGGTATATAAATAAATAGACAGAAACGCAGCTCCAGACTCAGGTGGCTTGAGGCTTGAGAGCAGACGAACGAGGTTGCCGGAGCTGATTTGATGGGCGCAGAGGCGACAACGGATCTCGCAGTGGCTCGTGCCGCGCAGGTTCTCCTGCCTTGGTTCCGGTGCCGCTATCAAGTCTCAGATCATACTGTAATTATTGAATAGAAGTAAGTCATCCCTTGTGGCATTATGTGTTGGTTCATATTGTATTGCATTATACTCCAAATATAAATATTCCATTATGCCAGAAATAAGTGCAATTAGTATAGTCCTTCGACTCTCGATCGAGAGTTGGCTACGCCTAATCTAATGCCTACACTTGGTGCCAACAGAAGACAGTAATTCGAACACAGCAAACTAATGCAATATTTAACATCCTATCCCATGTAACAACCCAAATTCCATTGTAAATATTTCAACTATTCTCAATCCGTTTGCAGCAATAATTCCACTTCCACCCGCCGAGGTGCCTGAAGCGCAAGTCCACAATCAGAGGCCTCAGCACCAGAACAAGCTTCACAATTATCCCTGTCGTAGATCTCCGAATCCAAAGAGCCCAAAAAGAATTCCCATCTCAACCACAACCACAACCACCACCTCATCCCACCTCCAAACAACCAGGGCGTCCCCCCGCCAATATACACATCCAACCATGCCACTAGTAAACGCCATCCATGAGTCCCTCCCCTACGTCGACACAGAGCCCACCGCCGCCGAACGAGCAGCAGCGGAATCCCTCATCGCCGCCGAGCTAGGAACACAAGACACACAATCCCACCCCTCCCTACCCCCGCTGGCAGACAAGCAGTTCTCCGCCATCATCGAAGCAGAATTCCCGCGCATCGAAGCCAAAGAGCCCTTAAAAGCCATCGACCTCTCCCGCTACGAGGCCCTCGAGCCACCGCCCACGACTCCCTCTTCCGACGAGAAGGATCCCGCAACGCTAGATAAATGGCGCGAGGCGTTGGGGAAAGCATACACGTCCCAGGCGTATCTCTCGGGTAGACAGACGAACCTCGCGCTGCTGGAGCAGTTTGGGAAGAATTCGTGGCTGGTGGGGAATTCGCAATTGGAGGATGTGTTGAGGGCCCAGGAAAGGGAGTTGGCGGAGCGGAAGGTGGAGATTGACGGGGTGGTTATTGAGAGGAAGACTGCGCAGGAGGCTGTGGGTGCGGAGATTAGGGGGTTGGAGGAGACGTGGAAGAGGGGGGTAGGGAGGGTGCTGGAGACCGAGGTTGCGGCCGAGCAGCTGAGGAGGGATATCTTGGAGAGGAGGAGGCAGGGCGCGAGCTGAGCCGATGTATGGATGGGGGAAGTTGTTGTTATTCGAAAGTCACTATGGGTGGAATGGTCCGCCATGGCGTTAAAAGGAGTTGGCCACTGCCCAGAATTATATTTGGCCGGGCTATGAGCATATTACGGGGATTATCAATGCTTGGAGTCAGCAAGCTTGCATAGAAATCCATGATCGTGTTGGATTTAGCATTTACATCTTTAGACGAAAAAAGGGCCAATCCAATTTCGAGAGAAACGATATCAATTCTTGAACAAACGCTTGCATAGAAATTCGACCAGAGGTTAACATTGAGCTCTTTTGCATCAAGGGCATCCAAGTCCCCAAAACCTATTGTATCTCATCAAAGAAGGTGGCACATGTCTTAACGCCTAAAACCGTATACCTTCCGTATCTGCCATATTTAATATCTCTTGCCCATTACTTCTTGTGAAGTGGGTCAATTACTTCAACGCCTGGTTCATACTTGGTTCTCCTCATGATACTCTCCACCGGTCCTAGTAGTCTCTGGAAACCATCCTTCCCTAAGGTGGCAACCTTGACCTCGGTCTTGCTAACCACACTCGCAGCCCGCGGCGCGTCATTGAGCAAAGCTAGCTCACCAAAGTAGTCTCCTTTGGTGTAGTGCTTGACCGGATTCGGTGTGCCTTTCTTGTATACTTCTGCTTCACCGGACTCTAACAGATAAAATGCCTCTCCAACATCCCCCTCCTGGATAATTGTGGTACCTGCAGGGTACTTTTGTGTTTCCAGCGCGTCTGCAATCTTGGATCGCTCATACTTAGTCAAGGTGGACAAAAGAGGCACTTCCTCAAGGAAACTTTCGTATAAGCGGCGGCGCTGGAAGGTAGAATCCATAAGGATCCGACGGAAAGTTATTCGGTCCAGCGCCCAAAGGAGACACCCAGGCTCCGCAGACATAACCGTCGCTGCTCGTGGAGCATTGTACATCAGGGCCAACTCGCCAAAGGATCCGCCGGGTTCAATGGTTGCCACCTTCTTCCCGAGACCATCAGGACCGGGTTGTAAAGAACCGGCGGGGTTGACATAGATCTCAAATATACCCTTCTCCACCACGTAGAAGAAGTCGCCTTGGTCACCTTGTGTGATCACCTATAATCGGTCAGATTGAAGATATACATCTCCCCGGCTGCGCCGTCCAGGGTTGGGGGTGGTAGAAAGTGGCGCCGGTTCTACATACCTTGATACCTTTGGCGGGAATGGGCTTCTCCACTAATGCACCCAGGATCTGGGAACTTTGCTCGTCATCCAGATGACTGAACAAGAAGTTGTTGAATATTGACTTCTTCAGCCTCGTAATCTGGTCGGGCGTCTTTCGGTGAAAAGGGGGAGTCCAGTTATCATTGGAGGAGGCGGTGGGATTGAGCGATTCGGCCGACACCGACGTTCGTCTTCCCATGCCGTAATGTGCCGGGAAGCCGTCCGTACTCGACTGTTTGAAGGATGACGGTGGCCCTTGCCCGGATGCATCTCCTCCGAATGGGGAGCCAAATGTCGAACTGCCCTTGCCGGCGAAGTTAAAGCTCGCCGTCGCCGGCGATGTGACTGTATCATTTTCCTCCTCCTCCATGACTTTAGAAATGGGCCCTAAACTCGTTTGTTCGCTCTCGCCGCTTAATGTGCTTCCGCTAAAGGGATTGGAATTCGTGCCACGTCGGCCCGGGAATGTGTTTCCAGACATGTTATGATGTACGGAATGGGGTGCGGACAAGAGAAGTTCAGCGCGTTGCGTTTCCAGACGCCGCGAGAAGTAGTTGGCACAGAATTGAAGGACGTCAGTGGGCTGCGACCTGAGAATCTCCCGATTCAATGTTTCGATCTCCTGGATGTATGCGGGTGGGTGTGACATTCGACGACGCCGAAATAGATCGAAAAGCCCAATTCCTGATTGGGATCTAGAGATATTGCTGTATGCGCAAAAGACTGGTCTCGGAATCGGCGGGGGGAGTAATCTAGTCAACACCTGGGCGCCGATCGCTGGGTGGAGCAGATATGTTTCAGCGAGATCTGGTTCCGAGCTGTGTTGAGCTCTGTCTGCTGCTTAAATAGAAAGGATCAGTCGATGAAAGCTGGACGAGGGTGGAGGGGGGAGGAGTAAGCATGTGCTTCCTGTACGCACAGTAGCTCTAGAGGATTGTCGGATCGTGACGAAGGATGGGCTGGGTTTTAATGGGTGTGTTCTGTGGGAGCCGCGACGAAGAGAGGATCAGCAAGCATGCATGGGCAGTGCGGATGGGAATGTAGGAGACGGAGGACAATTTGAGAGGAGTGTGGAGAGTAGCAAGATAACGGGGGGCAGTGTGCCTACTTGTAGGTACTGTACTGTACTGTGCTGTGTTGTGTTGAGGAGGAATTGTATTGTGTACCTAGCATAAGGCAGGCAGCGTAGGTAGGTAAATATATGGCAATGCCGACAGGAGGTGAGCGGGATAATAAGGCAAAGGCCAGGCAAGGTAGCAAGGAGGGGAAGATGGAGGTGGATCTCGCTAATAGCGTGATGGACGAGGAGGTGATGGCAAGTGGTGGTGGTAGTGGACGTAGTTTCGTGGTAGTCGGTCGTAGTGGCGGTGGTGGTGGTGGTCGTAGGGGAGCAGGGCACGGTACGGTAACGGTCCCGGAGCTGATGATCAAGAGAGGCGTGCCGCCCGCCACGGATTGGGATATTGAGCTGGGAGATGTTCCGCTTGGGGATTTATGAGGTCTGGGTCTGAGTCTGCTTCTGCTGGATCTGGATCTATCCTGTCCATGCCAATTCCCGGGTCCCAATTCCTGAGCGGCGTTCTGTTGAGCGGGCTCTTTGTGTCCAGCGGGGCAGCACATCTCACCCACTGGCAATCTATTATTGGCGGAGCCGCTGCTGCGGCCGGAGCTTCCAATCGCCCTTCCAGAACCGCCAGAACTTCTAGAAGCCTGCCTGCACCGGCACTGGCCACTTGGGGGGCACAGGTAAATAATGGGCGGTGGTAAATCAATAATCAATAAATTATGAAGGGATAATTAGAATCCAGATAGAAACAAAACCCCTTTTTTGCCTTGCCTTGCCTTTTTCTTGGGTCCCGCTCCGAGTACTTACTTTTTGCTGAGTCGCTCTACTCTGTACGGAGTGCATTAAATGCTGGTCTCGGGAGCAAAGACGGGCTCCATTGGGCTTCAAGGCAACGAAAGGGCCTCTTCCCGCCACGTGCACTGCATCACATCACGCTGCTGCTCATCGATAAGGGAAGTATGATGGTAAGCACTGAGTGGTGTCCTGTACAGGGCAAGACTGCAAGAGTGCAAGAGGGAGTGAGTGCAAGAGTGCAAAATACAAAGTACTGCTACTGCGCAACATACAACGTGCAACGTGCAAACTACGAGCACAAGCAGATAAGAGGTGATTAATAATGCTACTGCTCCTGCTACTGCTACCACTAACCACTCCCGGTTTGTTTGTCGCCGCCATAACGTCATCCAGAAAGCAGCCCACCAATACTACCGGCCGGACCCGGACAATTATTGCTGCTAGGAGCAGCAGTTCGTAACTTAGGTACCTAGGTAGGTGTCTACCTATACGTGCTGTATCTACCTTACCTAGCTAGGTACTTAGAATAATTCGTAGCTCTCCCTACCTTGCTATACGCCTCCTAGGTACAGCTCTGATAGCACCTAACTAAATATACTGGCACAACTAACACATGCCTCTTTGCTCCCTCCTCCGGCAAGACTCCCGCAACTCTCTCCAACTCACTAAAGCTTACCTAGTAATTAAAAGGACAGAATAGATGGAACCGCGAGTTGATAACTTGGTATTCAGAGGTCTACAAGAGGCATTCAGCCGACGGGGGCTTCACGTGAAACCCAAAGGCTAAGCTATGAATTGCTCGCCGGCGCCCGTCTCCACTCCCCGTTGCCACTGTAATTAAAAGCGCAAAATACTCCGTACGAAGCAATAGGTAATCTTTGCTCTCCCTCCTCGCTCCCATTGAGCTGATTTTTATCCGCGGGTTGCCATTTTAGAAGCATGCCAATCTATAGGTGGGTATATTACATCTAATATACCCCATACGCAAGTCCTGCGTGAGTGCACACGCCCCCCGCGTTCGTGCTTGTCGCTGGGGCGGCTGCTGCTTATCAACGGTGCTTTCCAGGCCTTTCGCAGCTCGCAACTCGCCCGAGCTCCCCGCGTCATCGCTCATCTCGTCCCCTGCCCAGCGCCCGCGCTTGCCATTTCGCCTCTGGAAGACGCCAGTCGATCGAATCTTCCTCGGTCGACTGCGAACTTCGCGCTCATAGTCTCGTTCATCTGCTCCGTCCATTACCTTCGAATCGAGTCGCATTGAGTCGCATTGAATCGCATCGAATCGCTTCAATCTATAATAACGCCGCATCCCCCCCAAGTCCTATCTCTCCATCCTCTACCGACATCCAAAGCTTCGAGCCGCCGACTGTCTTACAGCGCTTCTCCCGCTTCGTATCCGCAACCTACCAGCTTATCAACTCACGAAGTCGCCATCGAAACCCTCAGGGACACTAAGTAGCCTTATAATTCTAGTCGCTCGCGATCCGCCGACAATATGGGAAGCTTCGTTTTCAAATGGTACGTCTTTTACGGTTTCTGCTGCGTTTTGGCCAATTCCCCTCTTGCGAGTGCCTTGGAGGGTCGAGCCGCCACCGCGACAGATTGCGGCGCTCGAAGCAGAAAAGGATTGCACTTGGGATCGACATGGAATATCTCCTTCCTAATTTTGCCCGAGGGCTCTCTCACCTAAATCGCATCGTATCGCATCGCTAACCTAGCCCTTTTCTTAGGGAGCACCCCGCGTCCGAGGTGTACGTGACGGGCACCTTCGACGACTGGTCCAAGTCCGAGAAATTGATTAAGACGGGCGATGTTTTCGCGAAGAACGTGACGCTACCAAGCGCCGACGAGAAGATCTATTACAAGGTGCGTTGAGACAAGAGCCCGAGTCGAGTTCCGAGAAGGAATTGGCATGGGGACTGGGATTGGGATTGGGATTGGGATTGGGAGCTGTCGCGGGCCTGGGATCAGTGGGAGTAGCAGTGGCACACCCCAATTGAGTCTGCATTCGTCGTAAAAAACCTGCCAAGTGGTAGTGTGAGCAGCTGCTAGATCCCCTAGCCCCAGATTATCTTTGGCAAAGACGCCGCATGCGTCCATCTGGCAGCTCCGAACGATTTGCACATTCTGGAGATTGCCGCTCCTGCGCCAACAGGCCCACACAGGGGTTGCTGCCAATTATTCCACCACCAGATGACGCTCTCAAGCTGGCCGCGGCCGGGCCTGCGTTCGAGCGGTGAAGCGTTCGAATTGAAGAAACGCCTCACCGCGCCGGCCAGTGGTGGAGCCTGGTTCTGACACAGTCTAAGCAAGCGTGCTTGGACCACGCAGCTGATGCCGCCTGTTTCCCAACCCCGCGATATATCTACACAGGCTGTCCCACTCGCGAAAGCTCCCAATCCGCCCCTCGCTCATGCTCTGCCTGCCCCAAAGCATTTCCACCACGCTTTTACTACGTGCTTCGTACTAATTCAAATTATTGCCGCAGTTCGTCGTTGATGACAATTGGGTTACCGACCACACCGCACCTCAAGAAAACGACGCCTCGGGCAACCTCAATAACTTCCTCACCCCCGACCGTATAATCAAGCACACGCCCGAGACTGTTGGAATCATGTCTGGAGTCACCCCCACATCCACGACAGCGGCATTGGCAAAGGATGTCCCTCTCCAAAACGCAGCAGCCACCGATAAGGCAGATCTCACCGAGTCGGATCTACCAGGCGCATTTCCCCCGACTCCTGCGGCGACTGAGAAGGGCGACTTCTCCGTCAATCCTCTTCCAGCCACGGCTGGTGCGGGCAATCCGATAAAGCTTGCCCCTGGAGAGAAGGTCCCTGATCCAAGCACTTTCACCCAAAATACAGTCGCCTCGGGGGTGCGCGATGATCCGGAGCTTGTTGCTATTGAACAGGAGAATCTGAAGAAGGCCACCGACACTGAGCCAACTTTTAGCGTAGCCCCCCTCCCCGCCTTCCCGGGAGCTGTCAACCCAATTAAGCTTGCGCCTGGCGAGAAGGTCCCTGATCCAAGTACTTTGACGCAAAACACAGTCGCATCGGGGGTCCGCGATGATCCGGAGCTTGTGGCTATTGAACAGGAGAATCTGAAGAAGGCCGCCGACACGGAGCCAACTTTTGGCGTAGCACCCCTCCCCGCCTTCCCGGGAGCTGTCAACCCAATAAAGCTTGCTCCTGGCGAGAAGGTTCCTGATCCAGCCAGTCTCACCCAGAACACAGTTACATCGGGTGTTCACGATGACCCAGAGCTTGTTGCTATAGAGAAGGGTGAGTTTGAGCTTTAATAACGTACTCCTGCCAGCTTCGGCGGCGACTAAATTCCCTGTCAAACCACCGTGACATTCCAATAACTTGGAGTTCGCCTATGGTGCCTGCGATCGGCATTCCTCAAGTGAGCGGGATCATAATGGCACCGGTGTTCTTTTTACCCCCCACATTTCTAAGAGTCTCAGCTGAATTAAGCTAACCTGTCGCAGCCGCAAAAGCCGGAACGATACAATCAGCGGGCCCTGACAGCACCACTGCCCAACTTGCTGCCGCTGTTCCACTTGAATCTTCCAAGGTCCCTGATGTTGTGAAGAAAAGCCAGGAAGAAGCAGGCTTCCCCGCAGAGGCAAGCGCCGTGCCAGAAGAAGTCGCGGAGAAGGGAGCAGTGGAAAAGGAGCTTTTGAGCGAGGTCCCACCAGCTAAACCTACTTCCGAGGGCGCGGTGAAGGATGCCGATAAACCAGAGACAATCTCCCCAGCAGAGAAGGTTGCCGCAGCCGCTGGAGGCGCTGCTGCTGCCGGTGCTGCTGCCGTAGCTGCCATCATAGCACACGATACTACTGCCTCATCAACTGCCAAGGATACGCCCAAGGTCGTGAAGGAATCCATCGCTGAATCTGGACAAAGTCCTGAAGCCGCAAGCAACGAGGAAGCTGTGCTGGAAAAGAAGGCTACAGAGAAGGAATTACTATCCGAGATCAAGCCTGAGACATCAACAGGGGAATCAGCTCCTGTAATTGCCCCTGTGTTGGCTACGGGATCGACTGCCAAGGATACTCCTGAGGTTGTGAAGGAGTCCATCGCTGAATCTGGCCGAAGCCCTGAAGCCGCGAGCAACGAGGAAGCCGTGCTAGAAAAGAAGGCCGTGGAGAAGGAATTACTATCCGAGGTCAAGCCCGAGACATCTACCGGCGAACCAGCACCTAAAGTTACATCCGCGACAACAGGTGGTCTGAATGCTCCGGCAGCCGCTGCAGTCGCTGGCAAGCCTACCCAATCTCGCGAAGTGTCTCCTGGCACCGTTCCGGGTACCCACCCTCAAACTCAGACGGCCCCAGTTGCCACTGATGGCATTGTAAACACCACGACCGACAAGACATCGGCGGCGACTCCTGCCAAGAAGGCGGAAACTCCCGCTGCGGCAGCGGCTGCCTCTCCTCCTGGAAGCAGCAAGGCTTCTGAAAGCCCTGCCAGCTCTGCGGCTGCAGACAAGAAGAAGAAGCGCACGAGCATCTTTGGAAGACTCAAGGCCAAATTCTCCGATAAGATCAAGAACTAAGGGAATTTGCACGCCCGGTGAAGAGAGGTGGTGTAATGGTTGGGGTAGTCGGAGTCGGGCTGCCAACTGTACGATATTGACGGTGCTTTTCCTCTTTTCCCGCACTTAATATGGAGGAGAAGCAAAGATACATCTGTGAAAACGCCTTTGATACCGACTCGAGTCATTATTCCCCGCTTTGTTGTTGTCTTGCTATTTCCAATGTTTTGCTTTTCGAATACCACGCGCGCATGTCCGGTTTTTTTTCTATTTCTTTTTGCGCCCATCATGAATGATATGGATGGCCGTACATAGTTGCAGGGGTCAGACCGATCGAAGGATAGGAGGGGAAATGGGAGCTCTTGGAAAGTGTAGATAGGTGGTTAAATTGCAAAGGGATTCCCTAATATAGGAGTATTGGCTTAATATTCATCGCGATGTGCTCTGTGCTATAGTCAATAATATGCTCGCCGAAGTCGACTAACACCCAAAATTATACTCAGATCAAGGATTGATATGTTGCTGCTGCTGCTGCTGCTGCTGCCCACACGCGCACCAGATCCTACCTATCTTCCATTTATGCATACCCACGAGGCCAGCCATAAATCCTATCTATCCATGCTCTATAATCGTAACACCCTTTGCTTAATCCACCCATCTATGTCAGAAGCCACACGAGACCACGCCGCAGCACAAATCCAAGCAGGGCTGGAGAGCTTAACTCTCCATCCGTTTCATCCACTTCGAATACAACTAATAATTTCAATTGCTCAAGTTATTCGACCTCTAATTACGACTGTGAGATCTCCAGATTACTTCCGTATTGAGCCTATACTTTGATAATCTCTTGTAGCTTAATACTATTCTCGTTAGGTGTATTACCTACTGGTAATGGTACAGGCAAAGTACCCTGTGCGACTGTTTGTCGAGACTGACAGCAGGGAATTCGATTGAGAATACGGGATGCGATTGACAATAGAGGACGTGACTGACAATAAAGGCGTGATTGACACTGAGGACACTGTTGATAGAAGGACTAGGCTTACTAGTATTAGATCTAGCAGATCACAGACCCGGTGCTTGGGTTGTTACTGTGGTCCATCTCCTGATGGCCACCTCTTCGGTTTCAATCCGACTGTACTGGTCGCCTGAGCTCCAGTCCATGTCCGATTTCATAGGACGCGGTGGTAACGTTGCTGGGTCTATCGTTCCTATCATATTCGCGCCTGCGGTAGCCATGATGGCTGCTGAGTGTGCGTATGTGACTGTGAGAGTGTACCTAGGGGTTTTTGATTCCCACTCGAAGTCAGACCGCTATATGATCAGTTCTATGATATCAGAATATAGTAACCCCGGGCAGTCCAATTCCCACCCAAGTGGTCTTGGATGGGTGGGAAAATATAGGTTAATAGGCGTAGGGCTGTTAACGCTACATATAATCATAATACCACCACATAATCGATATAATGTGTTTCAACACACGTAATTCTCACATTCATCCTGCTTCATTACTAATACACCATGGCGTACATTTCTCATTATGTCGAGTACTATATAGCCCCCATCCCTACCCCTCTACCTATCTAGATTTATATTATGCAAGGGTATCATCGATTCGTTTTCCTTTCGCTCGCTCATTCGCTTTATCCAAAAATCCAATGCTAGACGCCCTTTCAACCCAATGACTGACAAGAAGGAAATATATATATCTGGGCGAGTTTATAAGACACCGTGATCAGGAGAACATATTTTTTGGAAAAGGGGAAAAATGTGTGGGAATGAGAGACTCATTAAAGCAAACGCAAATCTGGTAAGGAGATATAATCAATGGCAAAGAGAGACATATACGATATGAATAGGAAAAACTAGGAAATCCATCATTGAAGTCGTGCCCTGTCGTTTCCCTGGTTCGTTTCATATCAACCGTCGTCCTATACCCTGACAAAAGAGAGAGTTGTGCAAGTGAATAGAAACACCAAATGTAATGCAAAATGCCACCCCATTAATAGTGATACAGTGAAAGGAAAGGAGGGTAAGGAAATTAGTACAGAAAAGGAAAGAGAAAGAAGGAAGGAACGAACTCCCAGGAGGGGAAAAACCCGAACTTAGAACCATTTCCCTTTGCCGGTTTTGGAGAGCTTCTTCAGGACCCCAATACAATCAACAAGCATGCTACACTTGTCACCCAGACCATCGCTCCCCAGGCCATGGCGAACAGCATCAATGACAGCAGATGTTTCGCCTCTCATGCTGGCTCTATTTGTTAATAGGTCCTCGACGCTTAGTTCTAGCATGGAATTGACATAATTGGCGGTTTTGACCTGCGCATCAATGGCCGAAGAGGAGGATTGGTAGTGTCCGTTTGCATCGGTATCACCGATTGCTGTATAAGAATTGCTTCGGGTCAGGCTGCCGCTGCTGCTCCCAGAGGGCTGATAGCGGTGACCGAATGCCCAACAAATCAACGCGGCGATGTATAAGCCCCAGTACTTGGATAGGTAACCTAGTCCAACCTCGTTATAGTTGTTTTCGTGAGTACTTGGCTGGCAAAGTCCGACAGACAGGATGCGACATGCATGGTGAGTAGCTTGAGCCGCAGCGACGGATGATGACCACGTCTTCAAACGCGACTGAGCGTCATGGAAGGCAGATGGCGGAGTTACTTTCTGACCAAATATCCAGGTGTCGCCTGCGATTGCAAGGAGGTCGTGGAGCGGCGTATGATGCAAGGCGAGGTAGGTTTGGGCAAGTGAGGAGGTAGGAAATGGATCCATAAGACTCGTGAGGCCAGAATCTGGAGCATGCGGAAGGTAAGCATTCGGACACCTAGGATTCTCCCGCATGGGAAGTCGGGTGGCCAGAAAACAGATTAAGAGTGATTGGGTGAAGGCTGACGATCTAGGAGAAGTTCGTTGGGAGCATATGCTCTGCTCTAGAAGTTGGAGAGGTTGATCAAGTGGGTAATCGGTTAGGTGAGCCTGCCATTCTATCGCGGTGCCTGCATTCCAGAGACTATCAGAGCATAGCGTGGGAAGGAAGGGACGTGTCTCGCCGCCGAGCGCCTTTGATCGGGGTTGTTGATGGTAAAGTGCCTGCTGGACGTCGAATATGAAGCAGGCGCTAAGAAGTCTCTTGTGGCCTTCTATCTCGGCCCATTGAAACCATTGAGTTGGAATATCTGGACTTTCAATGGCTTTGTAGCTTTGATCTATGCCCTTAAGAAGCTGCTAATTATTAGCCCTAATTCATTTCAAAGATGGGTAATTGAAGAAATGGCCCAATCCCTTGGAATTACAAGCAACTGGTATATCACCAGTAACACAAAGGTGGGGGGATCTGTAAGAGTGTTACGATTAACTCACCCTTCCATAGAGCTCGTCAAACTGCCGGGACAATCGAACGGTAGTCTTACGTCCCCGGAACCGACTGAAGACTTCAGTAAGCAGGATTGCTTGCATCGTCTGCAGGGTCCATGTCGGGCACTAGGTGCAGGTTAGCATAATTCGTCTTGCTTATCATTCAAGTGCGGTAGGTGAGTAAGAGACCAATAACCCTTGTGGATTTCAGTGATTAGATCCAAGGCGAGAAGCGAAAAGGGATTCCTCAGCCGCTCACGTTAAATGTGTGGCCGAGGGAAAACATTTTTCTGAACCCTTCTTGGAACATAGACCAAATTACACGGGGTAGGTTTGGACCCTTATAGCGCCGATCTCGGAATACATACAAAAACAACTTACGTGGCCAATGCCCTTTCTACATGATTCGTTCAACTCGGATCCAATAACTCGGGCTTCGGTGGTGTCGTGGTACTGAGTGCCGATAGCGGCCAATGCGGAGGTAAGGAGATTGTCTTTGATAGGCTCAGATGTTTGGCGGTGGATAATAGGAAAAAACGGATGGAAATTGTCCCAGTAGCTGTTTATATAGATGTCTAGTTGTGGCGGTGGTTGGCAGTCGGAGATGGTGGATATGCCATTATTCATGGCCGCTAGTTGTTCCTTCTGTCGCGAGGCAGGAATGCCTGCCAATCGGGACTCGGATACTCGTGAAGGGGACGCTGAAAAGACTTGAGACATTGGTTTGCTATACGGCGAGAGGGCTGGAGTACCCACTGATTCCATATATATCGAATTTCCATAAGTACTTGGCACGTCTAAGTGCTGAACTTGAATCGTTGGGGACGACATACGTGGTGAAGCGTAGGCCCCTCCACTTTGTTCTAGAAAGATATCGAAGGGAGAGCTCCGCAGGTCCTGAGGAGTGGCACTAATACCCTGGGGAGACCATGGGGATGCTGAGGATATTGGCCAGTCAGCTACGGAAGTAGACCGACCCCTGGATCTTCGGTGTCTGCCGTTTCGGGAACTCTCCGAGTAGCTCGAGAAGGTGCTGTCAGATGCAGACGAGCACCATGGAGAATTATCCTGGGGATAAGAAACATGAGTGGGAAAAGACTCGTCCGGAATACTCAAGACCGTCAGATGTTGCGTTGGGGTAAAAGTTGTTGAAAACCGAGCTTCACCTGGTTCGGTGTACATCTCGCCATCGAAACCGGCAGGCGATGGGCCAGAAAAAATATCTCGCTGTGGCAGATCCGTGGTATAATCAGGGGTTAGCTGCCCAAGGCTTACCGATGGTCCGCTTGGTTGGGGAGAAGTGGTGGGATACGGATCCGGTTCATGAAGCTGTGCTTCACTTGCTGATCGTTTATGGGAAGCTGAGGACTGGGGAGAAAAGCCCGCCAGGTTGGTGATGGTGCCGGAGCTCGAGATCGTCATCGAGCTCTCGACACTGCCAGAGGTTCGGGGAGTGGCCGCACCTGTCATGGATCCCTGGTGGCCACCAAATACGTGTCCTGGTGTTTCTACCTTCAGTATAGGCGCTTGTCTTTCCGAGGCGTTCGACGACGCCCTACTACTTCGTCGATCGCTAGAATTGCCTCCCTGAACACTTCCGGATTCACTATACCTTGTTAGCACTGGTCTCGAGCGCGAATCGCGTTGTTGTTGTTGCTTACTGTCGCAGCATATGTCGCGCCAATAAGTCCGGCCGGTAGAAAGTGCTTCCACAGTTCTCGACAGTGCACGCATATGCCGGCTTCTGATGGCTCAACTGGTGTCGTCTGGGTAGGTAACTCGTCAGTAATCGGTTATCAAGAGGGCAGAAAAGGCTAACCTCAGATGCTCTGCGCGCGTGAATGTCTTAGCGGGGCTGCAAATATCGCAAGTATGTACCGGGACTCCTTTCTTTGCTCTGCTAATACGACCCGTCACCGGCGTATATTTGACCGGAATATCGGTGCCCACTTCTGGGACTCTTTGGATCTGCTGCGTTCCCCCGGTGGAGCTCGCCTGACTAGATCCCGCTGTTGGGTATCCCGACGAGAAGTCCATCGCATCCCCAATGGGACTGTCTCGCCCCCGTGGGACGTCTGAACCCGATGCTATAGAGAGGCTCGACGGGTTTGAGATTCGATTGGACTTGCGCCGCTTGATGGGGGCTTTCCCTTTGCTGAGGTCGGTGTGGCTATCGTGGGTGTGAAGGTCGTCGTCATCGGGTGCGGGCGAAGGAGTCTCGGAGGGGATGGCGATCGATGAATGAGACGAGGCTTGTTGTTGTGCGGCTTCCCTTGACCTTCTATAGGCCTGGGACTGGAGTGGTTCCACATCGACGTCCATGATATCTTTGAGGCTCGACATGATGTTGGAACTCAAAATGGAAACGAAGTCTTGTGGATCCTTACAGCTCTGCACAGCCTGACTGGAATAGATCCGATCAGGGGCCAAAATACCGGCGGAGACAGCTCTGTGTCGACAAGGAGAGATCTTTGGTAAGAGATGCTGGGATGCGGACGATTAAAAAAGATACGGGAGAGAACTACTTGGTACTTCCACAAGAGCCCCGACAGATGCGCAGTAGATGCACAAAGATAGAACGTATCGCTGGGCGGGGCATTGCTGAACGATGCGATTATGTGTACTGGAGGGACGAAGAAGGGTTCGAGGAGGGGAGGAAAAAGGGATTGGGGGTTTGGAGGCTTTTCGGACAGGATGCTCAGTGCTCATTGCAGCGATTGCATCCCCGGTTCGATGACCTTGGGGAGAGCTTTGGGCCATTCTGAGATCCTGGCTCCTGGCTCCTGGGCACCGTTCCCCTGGCGGTCCTGGGATGCTGGCACGGCCCCTTGGCTCCCGGACAGAGCAGCCACCCCGGACGACCCGTTTCCAAGCCCCCGTCCCGCGAGCGGATTACAGAGGAGACTGAAGCGATTGCGAGCGCGGGGGGCCATAAATAGCGACGGCGTCAGGGGGGGACGTGCAGGCTTAAGCGCCGTGAGCAGGTCCGGCGGCAGGGCTGCGCAGGGGCATGGGAGGACGGGACGGGGACTAGTGCTGATGGATAGTGATAGAGACACTGGCTTCGTAGACACAGTCCGGGCTATTTTGCTTCGAATGAGACGCTCGAATAAGTGTTCGGCAAGCCTTGGTTGGCTGGGCGTAGCGTGGCCTGCCCCGACTGCCAGTGACGGCGGCTCGCTGGTGGTGATCTGATATTTTGATATTTGGTATTTTGAGCACGTCGAAACCGAGACATTTTGGGCTTTGGGACTTGTCATTTTGTCTTTGTCTTTTGGATTTAAACTGACCCCGCTAGGAACTACCTAGGAACTCTTCACGGCGCGGGGCGCTGGATCATCAAGCATATCGCCAAAACACCTACTCTGAAGCACGAGCGTGGCCCGTTCCCGCGTGGAGCAGTTCGTCCACGGCCTCCCTCGATGGACTTCTTCCAGCGACACACTCGGGACTCGTGAGAGGGCAGGTAAGATGGAGAGGGCCTGTCGCCGGCGGCAGTCGAGCAATCATGAGATGCTGTTCGCTCGGGGAGAGAGCCCGAATGGGGTCGGTTCTCTCGAGGGTGCTGGAGCGTGGTAGCATTCAAGCGCTGGAGGGCCCGCGACGTCGTACTTCGTAGGGCGTGACAGGCGCGCTGAGCCACCCTCTGGCCCCTATGCGCGCATCAGCACCGACCAGCATTGAACCAGCATCGTCCAGTACGCAGCGCTGTAGGACGTACGAAGTATGTACTGTCGCATCACCAAAAGAACGCTTGGCGTCGTTCCCTGGAAAGTGCACCGTTATCCATGCTGCCCTGCTCGCCCGGGCCTGCACCGCACTGCATAGCACAGCATAGCATAGCATAGCATTCTTGCGCTGCGCCGCGTCCCGCCGCAGATGATCATTGGAGCGGACCGGGTAGCAGGATTGCTACGTGCGCAGTACCTAGTACGTACTGTAGTTCTGCGTACTTCGTGCTTCGTGCTTCGTATAGTACACATCGAGGAGTACTTGGTATTCTAGGACAGTGCGTGCCTACTAGTAGGTAAGGTAGTATACTGTACGAAGCACTACTTGCGACTTGCGGAGAAGAGTCCGGGGCGCTTCCCTACTTCCAAGTGCCACGTCGGCGCCTCATCCTGCTCCCGGCAAATAATGGTGAGAAGCCGAGGAAAGATCAGATGAATGGATGAACGATGGCCGATGGAGGGAATGCTACTACTGCCGGAACATACTCCGTGGGTAGACTGCATCTTCCTTCGCTCTATACTACTCTTTCCAGCGATGCACCCGCTGTTATTCTCGCAACTCTCGACCTTTCACGGGTGCAACCCCCCCAGCAACCACTGTCAGCAACAAGCACACTCTAAATATGGAAGATCAGCCCTTACTCTGTACACCTGCTGATCAGGTAGATGCACTGGGATCGATCCACCGGTAGGATATCAGTCAACACCGGGAGTTGCCCTCCAGCACCACTCTGTACCACTGCCCGAAAAGAGATATCGCGATCTGCGCAATTACAGGCGCTGCAGTAGAACGGACTTAGGATACTCGGTAGTTTCGCCTGGGGCCGCTCTTGGTACTGCTCCTGGTACGGGACCACTCTGCCCTATACCTACGCCATACAGGGTCGGTACCGGGCATGTCGAGTTGCAAACTTGAAACAAAATTGGCCCCTCGAGGGCCTCCCCATGCGATCCGCACCGCTACGTCCAATGTCGGCTGGGCGACTCGGTTCGGATCCGAGTCTGAAGTTTGAAGTTTGGCTAAAGCGTAGACGGCTGAATCGAGTGATGCTCCATGTACGAGGTAGTATCCCTCCACATCGACATCGCCCCTGTGCGACACACTACCAGGAGCAGAACATGGCGGCCATGTGGCCTCGAAACCCCCTTCGGCTTCCCTACCATGCTTCTCACCCCAATAACCATTTGGAATCTCCATCATCATGACAAGCCCCATCTGCAAATGCTTGTTGCATTCTGCCACGAGTCTGTTCGGCAACGCTGTCACTGCACACCAGCCCTCCCTCTTGTTCGGTGCAATATGTCCAAAGAAGGAAGAGGATGGCATTCACGATTCCCCGTCCTGGCCTCCTACATGCAGCAGAAGCAGAAGCAGAGGCAGTAGCAGCAGCATCAGCATCAGCAGGAGGAGCCACCCCCATCTTCGAGAAGCTCGTCCGAACACACTCTGCCGAGGCGAGCCTGGAAGTTCGTTCATTTATAACCTTAATATATCGCCCCATCTTTTGTGGCCCAGCTGTATAGGGTGAATTCCGGCAAAATCCTCCGAAGGAGGCATGACCATTGCCCTCACGAATCCCACCGTTGAACAGCCCCCATTTCTCCATCTAGTCCATCTGACCACTGCTGAATCGACTGCCAAGGATTACGAGACCAACAACTATAGTATTGGTGGATGTAGCAAGGCGTACTCGTTCATATCCCCTCTGCGGCCTTCTGGGTGCCGACAGATGTTACAGTAGAGAAAACCTGGAACCCCCAGACTCGGCGTTTCAAATATGTTGTTCAGCAAGCTGTTTACCAAGCGGACACGGATATTCGATGTTGTCCGTTATATCCCCTAAAGCTATCCAGCGTGACCTTTCTCACGTTTCATCGTTCACGTTGGAGCTCGCTCTACCATGGGATGATGATAAAAGCCCACACCTCCATTTAATAAAGCAAAACGAGGAACTAGCATCGTTAGGTACTGACTCAGGGCTCCAGAGGATGTTACAGGGTGCTGATGATCGTATCGTTTGAGAGGTACGGTACTGTAGTCGTGATACTCCGTACGAAGTACCGTACCGAGTATTGCTGCGCAGCGCCTCCTATCTGCAGCCCCTGCAGCAAAGCTGGGGTTCTGTATCGGATACCGACGATCGTCCTCTGTTTGCGACTGCGGACAGAATCGGGTGTTGAATCTGGGCGTCTATTTTGACGGTGGCAAATGTGGTCAGTGGAACTCTGCTTGCACCGCTCAATCGTGGAAGCCACTCCACGATGCAAGTTGAAGAGATTTCCATAGCTGCTAGGCCACCCCCCAAGTCGACCACATCAGATGAAGATGCTGGTGGGGAAGTGTGGATGCTTGCTCCCCGGCGGCTAGACATCGAGCTCCTCGTCGCCTGTTGCCCAGTCGCAAACTGTATCTCGGCACTCAGATGGCGACATAGGGCTGGGATTCTCATCCTTCTGGGTTGTCACACTGCTTGCTCGGGATCTGATTCTGTGGATGTGGAGCGAGGGGCAACGTGTTGTCCGTTGGCAGTTGGCATGTTGGCCCCCCGGGCGAATGCACGCCCGCCTTTCCAGTGTGGCTGGCACGTCTGCGCCATGATGGATAAGGGAGATAAAAAGCCACAAGTGCAGAATATGCAAAACTATGTCAAGAATAACTTCACACTAGCTTGGGTACTCGGGTACCTACCTAGGTGTGCTCTAGCTCGATTGTGCTCTGTAGAATTGAAGCCCCAAAGTCTCGAAATAGATGCGGATGGGAATTGTACTCTACATGTACATGTACTGTACGTAGGACTAGGACCGGAGAACAGGCGCTCCTATTCTTCTTCGTACCTTGCAGTCGCCACCACATCCACATCCACCCAAGTTTCTAGAGGGGTTTTGGAATAGATGCATCTCTCGTAGGCGCGACGATCATGTTTGTCCTAGCGGGTTCCTCGGGCGGGTCGCGTTTCGCATTGGTGACACTTGGTCCTGGGGGCGGGCTCAAGATCGAGAGTATTTGTTCTGTTTGGGGTTTGTATCGACCGCTGAAACAGTTTCGATATTACGTGAGAATGAACCCCATTCCAGCCCACTTGAACCTGGCGGTTGCGCGCCTGCACCACTGGGTTAGAGCTGAATCTCTATACACCCGGAAAACGAGAGCTATAAAAAAAGAATTCAATATCTTGGGCCACTGGATCCGGATATGGGAATAGAAGTCTGAGGTAATCAGCCGTTCGGCCCGTTCCTGTTTGGTGCTTGACTTTGCGCTTGGTTTGTGACGCTGACGTGGATGTTGCCCATTCGTGATCGATCCGTCGTCCGGAGTCCGCAAATGGAACCTTCGATTGTTCCTTGATGCTGGGGGCTGGATAATATTATCCTGTCGCTGGAGTACGAAGTCCTGTTGATTTGTTAACTTCGTAGAGGAAGAAGCTGTGCGCTCTTGTGTAATTTTAGGTCCCTAAGTTGGGTAGCGAAGGTACCTAGGTACTTCGTATCTATTAGGCCTCTGGCAGGTCTCACAGTGCTCGTCGTGGTGCTGGGATATAAATGCCTCAGGCAGCAGCTTTTGGGGTACGTACCAGCATGGCTACCCACGGCTAACCACGGCTCGAGTTCCCAACCGAGCACGTGACACCTAGCACCTCATTTGAGCACCGCCTAGGACCCAATCATCGAGCCAAATGTGGCAGGAGACAGTTGCTGGTACCCCGCCGTTGTTGTCGTGCAAACACGACGCCCTTCACTGGCCCTATGTTCCTCCTCAAGTTCTCAGCGAGAACATCAACATCAATATCTTCAAGAGCACCCACAACCCGAATCTGCGGAGCCTCCTACCACGTCCACTGTTCACTTCAGCAAGGACGTACACGTACAAGTTTGCACCACCCGCCCATCTACCCTCGGCCTCTAAAGCACTCCCACACCTACCTAACAGACGCCCTCCGGTCCCACCAGGCTCGAAAAACAAAGATGGCTCCTCAACTTGATGGCTACTTCAAGCAGGTCGATACCCTTTCCGACCACTTTATCGAGCGCCTACGGAAAGCGGTTGCCATCCCGTCCGTATCTGCAGACGAAGAGCGCCGACCGGATGTCGTCCGCATGGGCGAGTTTCTTGCCGACGAGTTGTCCGCACTAGGAGCACAGGTCGAGAAGAGACCATTAGGCAAGCAACCTGGCAAGGAGCATCTTGAACTCCCGCCTGTGGTTATCGCTCGTTATGGTAATGACAAGAACAAGCGGACCATTCTGGTTTACGGCCATTATGATGTGCAACCGGCTGGAAAAGAGGACGGATGGGCTACGGAGCCTTTCGAGCTCACCGTTGATGATAAGGGCCGAATGTACGGTAGAGGAAGCACAGATGACAAGGGACCGGTGCTAGGCTGGCTCAACGCGATTGAAGCTCATCAAAAGGCTGGTGTTGACTTCCCCGTCAATCTCCTCATGTGTTTCGAGGGTATGGAGGAGTATGGCTCGGAGGGTCTAGACGACTTTATCAAGGCGGAGGCAGATAAGTACTTCGCCGATGCTGATGCCGTTTGCATATCTGACAACTACTGGCTCGGAACGGAAAAGCCCTGCCTCACATACGGTCTCCGTGGCTGCAGTTATTATTCCGTCGAGGTCTCTGGCCCCGGCCAGGACCTTCACAGCGGTGTCTTTGGCGGCACGGCTCAAGAACCAATGACAGATTTGGTACGGATACTTGGCAGCCTCGTTGATACACATGGGAAGATTCAGATTCCAGGTTTGGCTGAGCTTGTTGCTCCACTTACCGACGACGAGAAATCCCTGTATGGAAATATCGCGTTTGAGATGTCCAACCTTTACGAATCGCTGGGTAGCGAGACCTCGATCCACCCTGATAAGGAGAAGACCCTCATGGCCCGCTGGCGTTACCCCTCCCTCTCTGTTCACGGTATTGAGGGCGCTTTCTCACAGCCAGGTGCCAAGACGGTGATTCCCGCGAAGGTCATCGGCAAGTTCTCTATCCGCACAGTGCCTAATATGGAGCCCGAAGATGTCGACCGTCTTGTTTTCAAATACGTTGACGAACAGTTCAAGAATCTTGGTAGCAAGAACACCTTGAACTGCACGCTTCAACATGCAGGCAAATGGTGGGTTGCCAGCCCAAAGCACTGGAACTTTAGTGCAGCCGCGAAAGCCGTGGAGAGGGTATGGGGCGTCCAACCAGACTTGACCCGAGAGGGCGGCAGGTAAGCTTTACACCACATACCCCTACGCAAGGCCTTACATATCACTAACCGACGGTCTAGTATCCCTGTGACGTTGACTTTTGAACAAGCAACCGGTAAGAACGTGCTTCTACTGCCAATGGGCAGCTCTACGGATGCAGCACACTCCATCAATGAGAAGCTCGACAAGCGGAACTACATCGAGGGGATCAAACTGCTAGGCGCATATCTGCATTATGTCGCTGAGGAGCCCATGTCTAATTAGAGCAAATGATAATTTTATTGGCTAGCTCGTGAACTTTTGACCATAATGTCTATGCATCTGTAATGATTGACCCTGCCGCCTTTGTGCTTACTCTAGCATTTCCCAAACGCCGCGCTTACCCCGCGTCTTCAAATGCGTTGAAAGAAGTACACGTACGCAAATTTCTTCATTTCCTCGATATCAAGCGCCTTGACAACCTTTTCATCGTTGTATAGAACCCATGCTGGCGTATCTTCACCGGGAATAGATTTACGAATGAAGGCGACGTAATGCCTACAATGAATGTTAGCTTCCCAGTATGCACGTGATGTTCTTGATGGGGATTTACCCTGCATGAATACTAGCTCCTTTGTGGCAGATTATGGATTGTAGTTGGAATTTGGCGGGTAGCTCGCTGCTACCTGGGGTGTCTTTCGGGGCTGATTCACTTGCTGCGGCGGTATCGTCTTCGAATTCTCCCTGGTCATCTGGATGGCTAAACAGCCATTCAACAGCTCGCTCCACATCTCCGCCGGTTTCTTTTAGAGCTTTACGTGCCTGTGGCGGGCCAAATCCCATTGCGCCGAGCATTTCGATTTTGTCAGGGTCTACCGCGCCAGAAGCTGCTTGTGCACCACCGAGGTCCAAAGGTGCGTCAATGTCCGGATCTTCCATATGAGCGAATAGCCACTCCATCGCTGTATCCGCATCTGTATTTCCAGTAGCATGGAGAGCCTTCTCGCAACGGTTACGTGGGAAGCCCATGCCCTCTAGTTGTAGCAGAGCCTCCTGGTTGGCAGAGAAAACGGGCTTATTGTCGCTTTCATCATCTGGAAGTAGCTCCTCAGAAGGCTGGTGTCCTGGCGACTTGTAATCATCAAGAAGGAAGGGCTCATCGCCAACAACGACTGGCACATCGACCTTGGTAGGGACCCAGTTGATAAGCACGAATCGTCGAGCATTTACAGCTAGCACCTCCGGGAATGTTTTGAAAAGCGATCTCTTTGAAAATCCATCCTTGCTGCCACAAGCGGAGCACGTAAGTTCCACACGCTCTTCGCCTGTGAAGCTGTCCAGACATTCCTTCAAGGTGACCGATTGGTACTCGTCCACCTTCTTGTCTCCATCGCCCTGCAATTCTGCACTTTGCTGGGGAATCCGGCGGATCGGAACCGGAATTGAGATATTATCTTGTTCATCGCTCCTGTATCGGACCTTCTTGCAATTGAGGCACTGCAAACGCTGCTCCATGACAAAGCGAAAAGATTGAGTGGGGTCTTGCAAAGGCGCAATATGTTTAGAGCGAGTAATGAGCTTGAAAACATGAAGGAGAAATTCGAAAGCGTCCTGTTGACGCATCGTTGAGAACTCCGAGTGGCCTCTCCCAATGAGATGCTTTAACATAGCTGGTGCAAGACCCTTCTGGTAGGCAACATCGGCAGAATTGTCGGATGAGGTGATGTCGGCGTCGGAATGTGAATAACGCCCAGAGTACAACCCATCAGCTAATTTGCGAAGTTGCGTCTCCAGATCTGACGCTGGCTCTTCAACAGTAGGCATCTCCGACGGCGGAAGGGCATAGCGCGTTTGAAATTGAGGGAGCGCAAAAAGACATTGCAGAGTACTGGCCATATAGCAGCTATTCCCAAGGTTCTTCAGACCGGTGAAACCTTGGCCAAATAGTTTCTTTAGTTCCTGGCCAGCCTCATCAGTCATAGAAAACTCCCAACGTAAATTCTCCTCTACATTCATCTCCGTCAGGCTCTTCTCAGTCTTTTGCCGCTCAGCAAGGATAATTCCCCAATGAGCAAGATGGCGGCCAAGGTCATCATCTAGTCGCTCCTCATCGCACTGATAGCAGTAGACATCGGCAGTTCCATCCGGCGTAATAGATCCTAGCTTGACGGCTACCGCATGCCCTGTGCCGGTTTTATGCTCTAAAGCGTGGGAATGACCGCGAAGCCCCCCAAATTGTGCACGACCACAGCCAAGGTTGCCACACTGCAGGCAGAGCCAGAGGTTTTCCTGCAGATCACATAACGAACAATGACCAAGGTCCTGAGACTGGATTTGCTTTGCAGGTTCTTGCTGGAGAGTAAGAATATGCTCGCAAGTTGTGAACTCTTGTTCCCATGCCTTCACTTCCTCTTGTCTTGAAAATGTGTTCGCCTTCATGACCGACTCGATCATCGCAGGAAGCTTGCCAGCCGATTTATCCACATTCTCAACATCACATTCATAACACCGAACGGTTGTTTCATAGTTGTATCGATCCGCCTCGGTTTCGGCTGCGATGGCCAGTCTAGACATCTTTTGTGGTGGCTCGTCACGAACAATAACTTTTCGGGTCCGGCGAATATTCAATGCCAAGGGGTGGTTCTTGGTCGCATAATGGAGCGCTGCATGCTTTCTCTCTCCAGTGCATCCGCCGTTGAAGCAGTAAAGACAGACATCCAAACCGGTCAGATCATCCTGGGCCAGGATTAGCATATGGCTGTGAGCATAGTAAATTGCAAACAACTAGCAGCGCAAGCACCAGTCCTCCAGGGTTCGGCATCAAGGTATACTCACAATCGAGTCGAAGCATTCTGTGCAGTCTTCCCGATAGACCGACTGGTTTGGGCCTGGAGGACGCAGATCTGGTTGCCTTGTTAGTTTTACTAAGCACATAAGATAGTAAAGATACTCTGATTCACACGATGCCTCAAAAAGCACCCCTTTGAACATATGGCAGAGTAATCGGAGGTGCAGAGCCAAATCCACCCAGTGATATCGTGGGCATCGACTTCTACCCTTCCGAGACAGAGCGCTGCTTCCTTGGTATGACATAGAGTTGGGTGGGTAGAGGATATATTCTAGCTTACCTGGCGAGTCAACGTGCTTGCAAGACATCTTAACCAGCCGTACTTCAGGTCACAATTTAAAATAGGGACCTGTCCTAGACTGCGGCACAATATAGAAGGGCGTTGGTCACTTTCGCTAATGTTGGTGTCGATGTTGATGTATCGTCGTTTTGGGGACGCGGGGCAATTGCACACATCCACCGCGTTTTGTGGAGCTGCCCCTCGCGCACGTGCAAGGCGGGTCACAGGTGGCGAAGGAGGTGGTTGGCCACGTGACTACGGAGTTCTCGGGTAATGATCGGAGTTCGGTCTCGCCCCTCGCTTCTTACTGACAAGCCGAAATCTCCGGATCAGATTACGGATTTAGGAGGCTAGTACGCGTAGGTACGGAGTATTGGCTCGCTAACCACTCATAAGGTAAAGTCTAAGTTTCTCCGTCATACTCCGGACTCAAAGAACCTCCTCTCTACATCATATTCGCCTTCATCAACCAACAACCATCAAAACCTCCACAACACCAACAAATTGAAGTCACGAACAAACTGAATAGCTGCTCAATTCCTACAACCCTGTCAGCCGTCCTAGGACGCCTTTTTCAATTTTAACCATGTTTCGACGAACCTTGATTGCCGCACCCCGCGCGGCGGGAAGAGTATTATCCGCGACAGCTCGACCTGCCTCAAGGCCTATCACATCCCCTATCACAAACGGAATCGCGATTTCGGGTCGACGACAATATCATGAGAAGGTGCTAGACCACTACTCGCGCCCCAGGAATATTGGCAGCATGCCGAAGACCGATACGGATGTTGGCACGGGACTTGTTGGTGCGCCAGCATGTGGCGATGTCATGAAGCTCCAGATCCGCGTGGATCCCACAAACAATACAATTTCCGATGTCAAATTCAAGACGTTTGGCTGTGGTTCAGCCATTGCCTCGTCTTCATATCTCACCGAGTTGGTCCAAGGCATGACTTTGGACGAAGCTGGTCGAATTCGGAATACAGAAATCGCGAAGGAATTATGTCTACCACCTGTTAAGCGTAAGTTATATGTTGCTGCATTGGATATGTTACGCTAACCCTTTTGTTAGTGCATTGCTCTATGCTTGCTGAAGATGCTATCAAATCTGCTATCTCAAATTACTACACGAAAAACCCAAATGCTCGCTCTACCGATCTCGGCGGAACTGGTGCGAACGTACCAAAGATTGACGTAGGAACTATCATGGAACCTTCGTCGTCTCAGACGGCAACCGCATGAGGCGTGGAAAAGAGCCTTTAGGCCGGGGAGACCGAATCGCTGGGCCGGAAAAAAGCAATTCAATCGGACGGGGGATGCTGCAATGTGATTGCGTGGATGGAAAAGTTATCAACCTATGCAACTAGAGCTAGATGCTCAGCAAGGTCGACCATCTTCACTCAAGTGTATGGAGTAAGGGACGGTCGAGTTGGCGCAATTTTGACAGTTTTGTTCTGAGGAATGCGTTCCCAATATGTAACCAAATTAATCTCATAGCGTCAATGAAATATGATCCAACCCCCACTTTAATCCTCCATGCAGTGACATCAATGTAGAGGGGCCAGATAATGCCTAGAGGCAAGTAGCAGAAGGATTTTGATATCCAAACCGCTCTTCCCATCGCACTCACAAGTGCTAAGCGAAATCGGCGATCTTATCGGCCGCGGCTTCAGAAAATTTTCTTATCGGAAATCCAGCTTCTTCCTCAGCCAGAGCACCCACCTAAAATTTCTCTTACCATAACACCCACCGCTCCACCAACCCGCAGCATAACCAGATATGGGGAAACGGACTCTAGAACAAGCGGATCTACCCAATTCGAACATCTCGCTTTCAGAAGCATCCCCTGCACCCAAGAAACGCCGCGCTGACAAAGGCAAAACCCCCGCAGAAAATGGGAGCCAAGACGATGTCGCCGTTGAAAGCAAAGAATCGAAGGCCGCTCGAAAGGAAAAGAAGCGCTTAAAGAAGCTGAGAAAGTTGGAAGCGGAACAAGATGCGGTCGAGTCCGAAACTGCGAAGGAAGAGTCCAAGTCCGATTCTGCGAAGGATGATCCCAAGCCCGAGGCTACGAAGGAGGAATTGAAAGCGGCAAAAAAGGCGGAGAAAGCTAGACTGAAAGCCCTGAAGAAGTCACAAGAAAATACAGATTCAGACACTCCCAATGGCTCGGCTTCTATCGCTGCAGAACCTGCCAGTTCGGCACCAGCGCATATGAATGGGAACGGCAATGCCCCAATTGATTCTCCCAATAACGGGAATCTTTACACTGAGGATCCCAAATTGACAGCGCTTCCGCAAACAGAAATTGACGAATTCCTTACAAGCCACTTCATTTCCATCACTGACCCGTCTTCGACAAAACAATTCCGGCCGATAGTCAAATTCGACTACTTGCCCGTTAGCGATCCGGCTCAACTTACACCATTCAAAGCTTTCAAAGCTCCAACGCCTATCCAAGCCGCTGCTTGGCCATATCTGTCTGACGGTCGAGATGTCATTGGTGTAGCTGAGACGGGGTCGGGGAAGACGATGGCCTTTGCAGTGCCTTGCGCTCGCAGTATCATGTCCCTTCCAAAAAACCAGAGGAACAAGGGGGCTAGGGCTGTGATTGTTTCGCCTACACGAGAGTTGGCAATGCAAAGTTACGAACAAATCATGCTACTAGCAAAAGCTTCAGGCCTGCAAGCTGTTTGTGTCTACGGCGGAGTGCCAAAGGACGAGCAGCGCAGGGCACTCAAGACTGCCGACATTGTTGTTGCCACTCCTGGTCGCTTGAACGACCTAATAAATGAGGGCTCTGCAGATTTGGGTAGGGCTAAATATGTCGTATTGGATGAGGCGGATCGAATGCTTGATAAGGGATTTGAAGAGGAGATCAGAAAGATCATCAATACAACTCCAAAGGAAAGGCAGACGCTGATGTTCACGGCGACATGGCCAGAATCTGTTCGAGATTTGGCAGCAACTTTCATGAAGACCCCTGTCAAAATAACAATCGGCGATAACCCCACTGGAGATCTGAGAGCCAATACCCGTATTGTGCAGAGGGTTGAAGTACTTGATCCCAGAAATAAGGAATATCGATTGCTACAGGTCCTCAAGCAGTACCAGAGCGGTGCCCAAAAGAACGATCGAATCCTGGTGTTTGCACTGTATAAAAAGGAAGCGACGAGAGTAGAGGGATTTATTCGCTCCAAGGGACTCCGAGTTGCCGCTATTCACGGCGATCTCAGCCAGGAGCAAAGGACGAGGAGCTTGGAGGCCTTCAAGCAAGGAACGACTCCTATTCTCGTGGCCACAGATGTTGCAGCTAGAGGGCTTGATATACCAGCTGTGCAACTGGTTTTAAATCTGACCTTTCCTTTAACCTGTGAAGATTACGTCCATCGAATTGGACGAACCGGTCGAGCCGGAAAGGAAGGGCTGGCAATCACGTTCTTCACCGAGCATGATAAAGCACAAAGCGGAGGGTAAGTACAACAAATCAAAACTCGGTAGACTTACTGAATGCTAACAATGCCATAGTTTGATTAATGTCCTTAAAGCGGCGAATCAGCCGGTTCCAGATGAGCTGCTTAAGTTTGGTACCACAGTCAAAAAGAAGGAACACAGTGCATACGGAGCATTTTACAAAGATACTGAGAACGTAAAAGCGGCGCAGAAGATAAAATTTGATTAGATCTATACAGCTAGTTTTTGATTTTTTGGCCTCTGATGGATTGATAGCAGTCGAGAAGATAGATTCGTTCACTCAAGGCGCTACATAGATCAGTTAGAGCTCGGAGTTGGACTTATGAGAGGGAAGCTTACAGTATAACCACAAATACCAATGTTATCGACCCACTTTTGAGGAAATCGGAAATTCCTCCATGAAATGTAGATGCCATCCGTGCCAGCACAGCATACGTTGCAACTCCTGCAGCAATGGTAGGACCTCGGGGAAGAATCTGGCCAAGATCAAGATTGGTCCCCTGGCGACGCAGAAAACTCGTAATGAATACTGTGCTCCACACAATGCGGAAGGCCATGTTCATAACATTAGCCCATACGAGTCCCTCGGCCCCGAGCTCCAGAACACGTAAGAATATGAATGCCGACCCACCAAAACCAACTGAGAATGCCAACATCCAGACGGATTGGCGGTTGACTTCCGATTCAGTCGCAACGGAGGAGACGAAAGCTTCAGTCACACCGTTGATAGCAAGGAGTGGGATGTAATAACAGTACGTCGCCAAGACATCACCAGCACCAGACATCGCCCATTTGGAACCAGCAACGACCTTGAGCAAGAGTGGAGCGACGGTAGGCCCAACAGCAAGTACGCACACAGATAGAAGGACGTATGCCCGTAGGAGCGAAAGTAGGCTACTACGAGCCTTCATGACAAGTTCCTTGGGAGGTTTCCCGTCAACTGTGGCAAGAAGCTTTCCGAAGTAATTGCGGCTGCTCTCTTCGACGGGTTGGAGGACCAGCCTTGCGAGGAGGCCGCCATAATTGTTCGCAAGGGCATAAGTACCCTGAGCCACGGGGGAAGCAAAAGTTGCGATGAGGATTGTATCTCCCTGGGTTAAAACATGCTTTACAAGCAACTGGACAAAAAGGCTAGTGCCAAGGATCACCAAAGGCCGTGAAAAGTATGACAAGACATAGGCCGAGATATCACTTTTACTAATGTTAGCTATCTTCTTAGCTACAAGAGTATCAACAAACATACCTCGAATATATCGGCGTCAATGTCAAATGGAAGCCACCAGCTGATGCCATACTCCGTACGCTACAGTAATATACAATGGCTAATGAGACCGCATATGTTGCTTGTCCCATGGCGAATGGCAAGACTCCCAAATCATGGCCCGTCCGAGAAGCCCATACGGCAGAAGCACAAGTTGCAAGACATCTCAACAACGTAGCAGTTGCCTCTGCTGCAGCACGGATTTTGTACATCGATCTATGCTGGGCAACAACAAAACATGGCTCGGCTAAGAGCTCCCAGACGGCTGCAAAGCCATATAGTTTCAATGCTTCTTGAAAGTATGGGATGTTCAAAATCTCCGGTGTTCCAGCAATTGTACGCAGATATAGCCAGGCTAGAATAACGGCAAAGATAGCACCGAGATATATCGAAACATAGGCAAGATTCACGATGGCTTGCGTCTTGCCAGCTGCTGTCCTCCCATCCACGTGACCGTCTGGTATTTGGTCATCCTTCTCCTTTTCTGGAGTTGAAGATTTCCGTGGTTCAGGTTCGTCTGTCTGCCTCTGGATAGCAACACGCAGGCTTTCTCTTGCAAAGAATAATACCGAGATCGAATATACCTCGAGTTGTGTTGAGATGCCGAAAAGCTCAGGGGGAAAGAGAAAGCGAAGTAGGAGCTGGCCCACCACAAATGTCAAGGCGCGAGAACCAATTTGCAGGGCGATCAGTAACGTGGCCCCTTCTGCAGATTTTGATAACAGAGATGTTTCGGACTTGGGTTTGAGTTCTGCTACTGGTGCCTTTTGCGACGCAGATGGAATTGGTGAAGATGAACTCATTGATGCTATCAGAACCGTGACATTAGTAAAGTGTCAAGTGTGGTTCTGGAGCATCTGAACAACACCTTGGGAATGTAAATTGCTCCATTCCGGGGTTTATCCGAATTATCACGTGAGAGCAGCCTTCTGCACGTAGTCGATCTTGTACTTCTAGGTTAGCACCCAGTACTGTCACTTAGCTTAGTCCCTTTTCAATTAATTAGTTTGGTCACGCTAGGTTTTCCCTTTCCTTCATACGAATCTATCGTTATCTCTTTTCAAGTTCCGAATACACAGTCCTCATCGCACGCTTATTTAACGGCTTCAATTTTTGACTTACTCTATATAGTTTTCTAGACCCTCCCAGGTCAAGGACGGCTAAGGATTTACATAACAACTGATAAGCCAAATGTACTCGGCTAAGTTGCTGTTGCCATCTGAAGGATTGGGTGAGCCACACTGAGACTGACATGTTGTGGCTTTGGTTCTCGCCTTAGCCAAGAAGAAAGGGGTTATGTTACAGTAGCCAGCTATCAGTCATTCGCGCCGTGTCACGTGTGCGTCCAGTGATGTGGTCGGCTCAAGAACCGACCGAGATCGGGCATCCTCGACAAGATTACGCCCTGAGCAAGACATTTGTTTATGACTTTTATACACTTAGTTCAAATTGTGTGTCTCACAAGACCTTTCCACTGTTTAACTTCCTTGATATGCTATGACCATGCGCCTTCTACAATCCAAAGGTCACGACTCCTTCAGCCTCACCGACTTTACCGGCTTTGATATTCCCAGCTATGCTATACTCTCGCATACCTGGGGAGTCGATGGTGAAGAAGTCACCTTCGAAGACTTAAGACACGATACAGGCAGAAGCAAAGCTGGGTACGAAAAGATCAAGTTCTGTGCAAAACAGGCTGCGAGCGATGGATTGCAATATTTCTGGGTGGATACTTGTTGTATCGACAAATCTAGCCTTGTTGAGCTCCAGCACGCGATCAACTCTATGTTCAAATGGTACCAGGATGCAGCCAGGTGCTACGTGTACTTGCCCGATGTACACACTATTGAGGATGACTACGAAGCTTTTCGGACAAGTCGATGGTTTACTCGAGGCTGGACGCTCCAAGAACTTATTGCTCCCACATCAGTCGAGTTCTTCTCTAAACAGTGCTACCGACTTGGTGACAAGAAGTCACTAAATCAACAAATCCACGAGATAACCAGGATCCCTATTTCAGTTCTTCGAGGAAGCCCTCTGTCTCAGTTTACAATTGATGAACGAATGTCGTGGGTCGAGCATCGTGAGACCAAATATGAAGAAGATAAGGTATACTCTCTTCAAGGCATTTTTGACGTCTATATACCGCTCATCTATGGCGAAGGACGGGAGAGGGCGTTGGTCCGGCTTCAGAGGGAGATCCAGGGCTATTCGAAAGGTCAACTGCTCGCCGCCTCACTAGCATTTCTTCAACCGTGCTAACATGCTTGACCAGCATTGAGCCGGGCAGAAGATCTACCCACTCCTTCGTCTACCGTCCCTTTCCGACGCGATCCGAATTTTGTTGACCGTGGAACGATCCTGGACGATATCAAGCAGAAGTGTGAAGTTTCAAATTCGAGGACAGCGCTTCTTGGACTAGGTGGCATTGGGTGAGTAGAGGCCGCCGTGGCTGCTATACCATTCTAACTTCTGGTAGAAAGTCGCAGCTTGCTATCGAATACGCCTACAGAGTCAGGGACCAGGCACCCGAGACATGGATCTTCTGGGTGCACGCGAGTAATGCTGGTCGGTTTGAACAAAGCTATCGGAACATTGCAGATAAAGTGAAGATCCCGGGTCGAGATGATCCGAAGGCGAATATCGTGAAACTTGTCTACGACTGGCTTCAGAACGAAAATAAGCAGAAATGGTTCCTCATCCTAGACAACTTTGACGACGCCACTTTTCTTGTTCAGGCTCAGGGCACTAGCGTTGCAGCACAAAGTAGCAGCCGCATTGCTACAAGCTCGCAACCCCTCTCAAACTACCTTCCCCAGGCGGAGAATGGGTCGATACTCATCACTACACGAAAAAGAGACGCAGCCCTAACCTTGCTAGAAGAAAGCGACATCCTCACCGTTGGTCCGATGGACACAAAAGACGCTGAATTACTGTTCACAAAATCGATACAGGTAAGAGAGAATAGTAAAGACGTTGCTCATCTTGTAGCATTGCTTGAGCTTATACCGCTCGCTATCGTCCAAGCGGCAGCATACATCAATCAGATGGCGCCACGATATTCAGCACGGCAATATATCGAAAAGTTTCAAAAAAGTGATAAAGACAAGACGAGTCTACTTAACTATGAAGGCGGACATCTCCGTAGGGACTGGGAGGCCAATAACTCTATACTGATAACTTGGCAACTGTCATTCGAACATGTGCGTCAGACACGGCCATCCGCAGCCAATCTGCTCTCACTTATGAGCTTCTTTGACCGACAAGGAATTCCCGAGTTTCTGGTTCATAGCCTAGACACAGTAGAAGAAAAGGACAAAAGCCACGTAATTTTCGACAGAAATAATGGAGATGACCAGGATACCTCGTATTTAGGATCAGACTTTGAGAGTGAAGATCAGTTTGAGAGTGAAGATCAGTTTGAGAGTGATATCCTGACGTTACGAAACTATTCTTTCATCTCTACCAGCGTGGATAGTGCCACATTCGAAATGCATGGACTAGTACAGTTAGCGACCCGAAGATGGCTTCAGAAGTACGGCCAGTATGAGAGTTGGAAGCAAAAGTATATAAAGAAACTCTCTGAGGAATTTCCATTTGGAGAGCAAGAAAATTGGTCAAAATGCTTGTCTCTCTTCCCACACGCAAAAGGGGCGATAACACAGAAGCCAAAAAGAAACGATTCGATCGAAGAATGGGCTATGTTACTATACAATGCGGCATGGTATGCCTGGAGGAGAGGTAATATCGCTGATGCAGAGACGTTCTCCGTGAAATCAATGACGGCCAGAACTAAGTTGTTTGGTGTGGGCAATGCAAAAACGCTAAGGAGCATAGGCATGGTAGGCCTAGTGTACAACCTTGGGGGACGCTGGAAGGAGGCCGAGGACTTGGGGGTGCAAGTGATGGAGAATAGTTTAAGCGTGTTGGGCCAGGAGCATCCAGACACGCTGGCTAGCATGGCCAACCTGGCTTCGACATACTGGAACCAAGGACGTTGGAAGGAAGCCGAGGACTTGGAGGTGCAGGTGATGGAAACGAGTTTGAGTGTGTTAGGCCAGGAGCATCCAGACACGCTGACTAGCATGGCCAGTCTGGCTGCGACATACCGGAATCAAGGACGTTGGAAGGAGGCCGAGGACTTGGAGGTCCAGGTAATGGAGACGAGTTTGAGAGTGTTGGGCCAGGAGCATCCCTCTACGCTATACAGCATGGCTAACCTAGCTTCGACATACCGGCTTCAAGGACGTTGGAAGGAGGCCGAAGACTTGTTTATTCCAGTATTAGAGACGAGAGCGAGAGTGCTAGGCCCCGAGCATCTAGATACACTGACCAGCATAGCTAACCTAGCTTCGACATACTGGAATCAAGGACGTTGGAAGGAGGCCGAAGACTTGGAGGTGCAGGTGATGGAGACGAGAAAGGGAGTGCTAGGCCAGGGACATCCCTCCACGCTGAATAGCATGTCCAACCTAGCTTCGACATACTGGAATCAAGGACGTTGGAAGGAGGCCGAAGACTTGCTTGTACAAGTATTAGAGACGAGAGCGAGTGTGTTGGGCCAGGAGCATCCCTCCACGCTGACCAGTATGAATAACCTCGCCTTCGTATGGCAAAGCCAAGGTAAAAACAAAGAAGCATTAGCACTAATGGAGGGATGTGTTACATATCAGACGAGCTGCCTCGGCCTAAATCATCCCCATACGCAATCTTCAATTATGGCTCTTCATCAGTGGCGTGAAGAAAGCGCCGGGCAACAGTAACCGAGTACATGTCTAGATCGCAAATTTATTATGCAGATTTTAAGCCCACTTTGACTTGAAACATTCACCGAACTGCTGCATTATTGTACTCTTTGAGATCAACATCGATGTGTTGATTAACTCTGTCAAGTCGAATCGGAGAAGTGTCAATTCTCTTAGTTTCCCAGAATATCCGTGGAATGACAGGATCTCAAGATTTTGTTCGTTTGACGAAAAGCTGGTGAGTTTTTTCTCGATACCCAATGGCCCAACAAACACAAGTAGCCATAGCATAGCTCTACGGAGTACCTAGTCCCTTTCTTCCTCATTTCCCATCTCTCGACCATCCCCGCTCTTCGCTTTCCTCGGCCTTCCACTCCGTTTCCTTTCCACTACTTTCCTTCCCACTCCTTTTCCTTCCCACTCACAGCAAACTTTGCTCCAACCTCCGACATCCTCTCGTTTCAAGCTCCGTGAGCGACCAAATTGCATCTCAAAGCACCGGGTACACTGTCGTCCACGTGTCCTAGTTTCGAACCGTGTTTAGCTTCAGGATAATTAGTCGATTCTGCCGCTAGCAAACTAACCGTGTGCTTGGGGGGAAAGCAAGGCTCAGAATCAGTTAATGATGCTCTGGAACAAGCTTCATACGAGGAGCTAACCTCATCGATTCACATCGACTCTGTGACAGTTCCGAAGATCGAAATGAGGTCCTAAAGACTACGAGCTCAAGGCACTACCAATGAAGACAACTTCTACAGCCGCGAATCTAATGAATTTGATTAGCAACAGGACACCTCATGCTTCAAAGAACTCGTGCTCTTACGTTGCTGTTGCTGCAAATATTTCAATTCTACGAGCGGTGCTAAAGATTGCGAGGAATGCGGCGAAGACTGCCGTAAACCCAATTGTGATGCATATCCTTTTAACTGTATTCTTGACCGCGTAAAGGACCAAAATCGTGACTACCGGAAGGACCGATGACATTACTGTCGCTATAATCGTAGATGCCGTGTTTAGTATAGAGTCGTCGTAAGACAGCAACTGGCTTTCTTCGTCGACTACCCTTCCGCCACATCCACAACATCGCCGAAAGATTCCAACAATCAGCTTGGTGATCCAAACAGTGAAGATATCGTTTTCGCCGTCATTAGCTCTGAGGGTTACAAAGTCTTTCTCCAAGTTTCCATCCCATAATCGAGCCTCGCGGCCCATCTGGAAGCAACTACCGCCTTTAGAGTCTTGAAGCCAATCACGAAGCACTGCAAGCTGTGACTTTCTCGGGCTCTCGATGCTACTAAGTTGCTGCACTACTATGGTCAGTATTGACTAGTATGTTCAGGTTGTCCGGCGTGTACGCATACTCTGAAGCAGTAGACGATCAACGAAGGTTAGCATTTCGGTAGCAAGATGCTGCATCATGAGGACATACTGTATTCGTCCAATTTAATGCCGAGTTCGGTGAGCATCTGCCACTGGTGTCCACTCGCTGATTTACCAGACTTGCGCAGCTCTAAGAAGTAGCGAGAGTACTGAACTTCGAGCGGGTCATTCGAACTATCATCAGATTGACATTGAAATTGGAAATGGCCTTGGAGGTCGAATATTTCTGCCTGGAGGCTGAGAAGTCTGAGCATGTTGAGTTCTTGAAATCTTCGGAAAATCGCAATGTTCGCATCTTGGCTCATCACAGAGGCAAGTCGGTGGTAGCCGCTAGGTTTGTAAGGCATAGTCTTCAAAACAGATGGGTTTGCGACGGCCGCCATCTTGAAGACTCTAATCAGAGGGTTGGAGTGCGTAGTGAGAGCTGAGAAGTTGTTCTTCAACTGGTATACTTCGAGTTCCCGCTGACTAGATCAAGGCACACTCCTCCACAGTCCAGGTGCTGCGCCTCCATCACAGCGAACCGCTCCTGCGCCCTGGCGCCTAACACACCAATAGAAACAAATTCAATAAAACACCCAAGCTTCGCAATTACTGTCACGCAGATAGTTTCGTTGCTTTTTGGACTCCTGTCCCCCGCATTCCAGGGCATTGCCCCCAAGATGCAGTCGGCGTCGAAGATAAGTATGCTCTCATCGAACCGCCTGCCTCAAAACATAGCACTATTTCCCCCTAATTTTGGAGCATAATTTTTGTCTTTTCGATCCCTCCGTGTCTCACGATGGACCCATTCACTCTTGTTGTCATCATTGGATCGATTGTGACGAGTACAGCCAGTTTCACGTCGTCAGTCTCTAAAGTCGCAGATGGGTTGACAAGAAGCGACCCCTCATTAAAGAATACTATACAAGAACTGAACGTTTTGATGCTCGTCCTTGGCGAATGCGAGAACATCTTCACATCAGGAACAGAGGTATCCAAAGCAGCAGAGGGGGCCTTGTCCATCTGCTTGGAGCGCTACAACCATCTCATGGAAATGCTCCAACGTTATAGAATTGAATCTAAAGGCTCATTCGCAACGTCCATGAGAAAACTTCGAGTTTACTTGAAAGAAAGTGAACGCAAACTTGCGTTCGATGCATTCCGAGACTCGGTGATATTATTGCGAGACCTAGCATCAGAGTACGTTCCTCCAGTCTCGCTAGATGTTCTGGCTCAAAAGTATGACTATTAAGAATGATATTGATTGTTCTTAGAGTTCGAATGAACAAGCAGCTCGTTAAAATGAGGTAAGCACTTGTGAATGGCATTGGTCATGACCCTAGCTTACACGGAACAGTGTAGGAATGGCAGAGCTTATGGCAGACTTCTCTGAACCAGATTCCGACCAAGCTGCTATCGGCTCATCGAGCAGTCAAAGCCAGGGAGGCCAATTACCACCGCAGATACCGGTCAGGAGTTACACCGGGAGCTCATTACCTCCTGGCAAACGAAAAGACGCCATGCAAGCATTTGCAAAACTCATCGAGGCGAATTTCACTCGCGACGCCACCATCATTATTGACAAGCAGTCTGGCGAGGGACCTTCAAGATTTCGATACATTCCTGTCCGAGCCAAAATGGACACTGGGTGTGACGACAATCTTATCTCGCATGAATTGCTGACTGACAACGGTGTTGTCGAGACAATGCTAGTGCCCAACGACGAGAACAAGGAGTTCATGAGTGTTCAAGGGTTCAGATTTAGTCCTGAATATCAAATAGAACTTACTTGGTATCAGGACCGAGAGATGAAGGCTAGACAATCAGTCTTCCATGTTGTAAAAGATGCGCCTTTTGATATTCTTCTTGGTTCAAAACGTATGGCTATGGAGTTGCAAAGTCCTGCCCTGATCCTGGCCAACAGACACAAGAAAAAAGGTGAGTGGTTGACGTAGCTATGTATGCGGAGCTACGAACTGATGCCCGTGCAGCTGAAATTGCGGCTCAAAAGGCCAATTACGATAAGCAGAAAAGAGAAGCTGCCGATCTCGAATTAAAGCTACTGCAGCAGGGGAAAAATGAAAGAGACGCACTTGCTGCACAACAAGCTGCCGCTGTTGCTGGAGCGCAGGCGCATGGGACAACTCCAACCGGACCCAACGCTCAAGGAGTGGCACAACAAGCTGCGGCTGCCATCGTAGGACAGACTGGCCGGACAAATCCAGCAGGGACAATCCCAGCAGGAACCAGCGGGCAAGGATCAGCACAGCAAGCTGCAACTGTTGCTGGACCACAAACCGGCGGGACAAATCTAACAGGAACCGGCACTCAAGGAACGTCGCAAACAGCGGCGACAGTGGCTGGTCCCCAGCCTCCCGCGCCAAACTCAACAGGTACCAACACTCAAGTTACTGCGCAACAAGTAGCGGTTGGCTCTAGAACAACTTTCAGAGGGTCCAACACTCAAGGAAATGGAGGTGCTACAAATAATGCAGGCTCGGCTACACCCTAGAAGCGGCTACACCAGCAAAAGATTTTAGCAATGGCTATCATTGGATGATAATCCGCACTGAGATTACGGCATCTGAAACGACACCATGAGGATGCTAATAGACGGAAGCAATGGACATTCCGACGAGGAATGACGGCGACGAATTTCACCCGGGAATTGGCAAATATGGCCATGTACGTCACCAGGAACACGCAACTGGATGAAAATAGAAGTCCTTTGCTCAGAGTAGGTTAGTTCTAAAGAGCTGGATACTACCAAAAGAGAGGCCGCCATACGACACGAGGGGAACGCATCGTCGTTGAAACTGTTCTTCAAACACTATAAGAGCATATCGGCTCATACATCAATCTCATGTACAATACACACCCACACATATAATCACTACGTCCCTCAAAATATCCTTTAAGTGGTCAGGTACAATTCAAGATTGTTGTTCGTGTACCTAGTCTCATCGAAAGCGTGGTCAGGCACGGATGGCTCAAGGTTGGACACCACTTTGAATGCCTCCTTCGCTTTTCGACGTGAACCCCTTTTTCCATCCCGAACTGTATAGATAAAAGGTTTGAATCATCTAAAGCCCCCTTTGTCAACGTTTCTACCTTGCTATCTTTTCCCAAGTACGAGCCGCTTTATAATATTAATCTAGCCTTGAACTACCTTCTTGTGGTATCAATTTCTCAAAAATCTCCTCAAGCTCTTCAAACCTACCTTTACAAGATTGAAGGACGGACTTTGTAGCGTTAGATGTCTCATTATGTACCATGACCACCTTCTACACGGGCTTTCGCATTCCTAAGGACAATTTATTCAAGAGGGTGGTTATGCCACTTCACAAAATGCAGTGGGAAGTCCTTGTTAATCTTTAGCGGCATCGTAGACTACTTTAGTGGCATCGACGATTGCGATTGTTCCTTGAAATCAAGCCGATACCAGTCCAGCTGCTTCTGTGCCTAACATCCTGGATCAGATCTGGAGTGGTTATCAACACGTCTAAGGGCTTGGATTTGATTAGGTTGAAACACCGACAACTAACTAAAAAGAGGGATGCTGACGGTGTGTACAAGCGATCCGGCCTCTTTTTGTTCGTGAGAAGATGTCGCGAACGACCAAGACTACTGTTTCGCCAATGTAGGCGGGGTTCGCTAACAAGGTGATAAGCAGTAAACTTGCTAGAATAAAAGCTAGACAAGAGCTCACTAAGGATCCTGACTATAAAAACGTTTATAGATTTCCAAGCCGTTTGTGAGAAGACCCAGCTGTTGAGCTAGCTGCTCACGCTGAATGTGACTCTCCTCTGATTCACCATCAATGTTAGCGACAGCGTCGCCGGCTATCGACGTAACAGTCACCGGAGAATATATCCCTTCAAGTTAGAGTAGAGAGATAAAGTTAACTTTAACGATTTCGATAGCGATAACGATATAATAGTCTTTCTAGAAATATTATTTCTAAAATTTAATAGTCTTTCTAGAAATATTATTTCTAAAATTTAGTAGTCTTTCTTGAAATATTATTTCTAAAATCTAATAGTATTTATAGAGTTATTATATTCTTACTCTTTTAACCCCCAAGTTCGTTTACTATAAGCGAGAGCAGGGGTTATTATATCGACTTCACTCGATATCTCACATCAGCTACACTCAGCTGTAGAGCTGAGATAACAACTCCCAACCCGTGGTTCCAGCCGTTTATTATAGCTTTAGCTCTCACAGGCAATATACGAGGGATAGCAGCATCACTGTCGGGGAAACTGAGGGCCCCGCCGCAAATATTTCCCATACTCCATCTCCGCGTCGTCTTGTTCCTCGTGAGAATCGCTCTCCGGCTTGGATGACGAGCTGAGACTCGTCGAGGGGGCCGGGTTGGGATCCATGCCGTTCCTCACAAGCGTCAAAAGTGTCGCAGCTCGAATTGTTCCCAGACGTCGCAGAAAAGTATTAGAGAATCACAATGGTGCAGCGGGTCAGAAAGTCCCGGCTGATTTTCTCCCGCCCCTGAGGCCGGTGGATCTTCCACGTATACTTCCTGAGCATCGTTCCGCGCTTGTGGATCATGGATGGACAAAGGTCACATTTCATGAACCTTTAGACGAGTTGCATCGGAGCTCTCAAGCCTTGTTCCGAGCCAGCAAGGAATTCTTCGATCTTCCTTCGGCCCAGAAGGAAGCATACAAAACCCAAGCAGGGAGTGAGGAAGGTTGGAGCCATGTAGAGGGCGAGAAGGAATTCATCTCGCTTCGAAGGCTTGGGAATACTCCGCCAGAGCTCAAGGAAGCTGCGCAAGCCTACTGGGCCGAGGCGGGAAATTATTTGGATGAATTATTAGGGCGAGTGGCCGAGAGTCTGGGGCTACCTGCTGCAGCATTGGACGCCTATTCAAAACCTTGTGCGGAATTAGGCCTGGATAAAACAGCGACGATGCTACGCCTCTTCAGGTATGATTGTTCTGGAGAGAATCAAACAAAAACTGTCGCTGAAGGTATGCCACCACTTTATGGCACAATGGATCCCATCGCCTGTGCATCTTGGTCTCTTCTGCGCCCTGCTAATCATCTATATCTAGCACATAGAGACCTAGGACTACTATCCCTCGTCATTGGTGACATACCAGGTCTGGAGGTGTGGAACGGCCACGAGAAGTTTTGGTTCCCCATTGAAAGAACCTTTGACTCACCAGCCGGGTGTGTCATGGCCGGCCGTCAACTAGAGAAGCTTACGAACATGAGGTATCCTGGCGGCGGTCATCGAGTTCGCTCCTACGGTGACGCCGAAGCTCGAGTCCCTGGGGCTTCCACCAATTCCCAGGGTTACCGGTACTCCATAGTCTTTGTTCTGCGAGCGCATTCGCCAGTACCAGTCAATACTGATGAACTCACCACCAGTATCACTGGCCAGTTCCAAGCCCCTTTAAAAGGCGTCACCGCACATGAACTATATAAAGAGATTCATGCATCTGTATTTAATATTAATATCGGGGTAGAAGAGCGGAACCGGCAAAAGCAGAAACTAGCAGAGATGAAGACCCAGGCAGTATCACCTACGCTTAATTGATGGCAGGTTAACTCGCCTTATTATACGACATCAGCATAGCAATAAGAACTACCCCGCGGACGCCCTAGTGGCAAGTCATGGATGATACTCTAGTCAATCTGTGCACAATATATCATTTTGTTCTATCAGCTCTTATACCTCGCTATCAATTAAAACGGGGGTAATTGGGGACGATGGAAGCATTATAGTTTAAGAGATGTTGGTCTCTGAAGGATTTTCAGACAGATTAAGCAGTTACCTGATACGCATTCCTTTTGCCACCCCCCTCTCGAAGGTTGAATAACTTATTCCAGTCATGATATAATATGAGTTCAGCGTTCCCTTGGTTCAAGAATGTCTCATAAAAGTGCTCTATTCAAATAAAAGACCACATCTCATTAGCTCCGCCGTCCTGGAGAATTTCAAAAGTTTCTAACTCAACAACTCCCAATGGCCATCATTTATCTCACTTTTGGAACGACAACTATATACTCCTCGCTGCTACCTTCCTCGAAAGTTTCGAGGAATTCCACACCCTTCTTGTTGGGACCGCTCTTTTATCCCTTGGTCCGAATATCGGAGACCTCGTCGGAAAGTTCCACCTCAATCGTCACTGTTTCATCTCCCTCTCCGACTTCGAACATGGCTTCTTTGTTGTACGGAGTCGGTCTAGCACTGACACCTTTAAGCGTTATTTTCATTAACTGGTAGGCGAAAACAATCGGACCCGTCTTCCTGTACTCAGTCGCCTCGCTGTTGCTTGAACTCTGGGCCCCCGGACGTTGGGGCCCCAGCCGATGTGCCGTCGAAGCCAAACTTAGCACTAGCTGAGTGCCCTTTTGTATAGCACGTTGATATCGAGGCACCTTTCATAGACTTTACTCCGATGATCATGTAAAGCGAGTGCTTGAGGCTAGCCATATCCAAGAAATCCGCAACTCCCCTCGTTCTGATTGTTGAGCGAACAAAGTCAATGGACGGACTAAACCATTCGGTCTGCGCCTCTTCAACGGCATATGTAATCAGCATGTCCTTCGACAATTTGAGTTTGACCTCCGCCGTCAGGCCGATAGTGTGGAGGGACTCGGCCCACAACCCGAGTTTGGTCGAGCGCTCTCTGGATAACTCCATACTAAAGCCATAAGGATCTTTATTGAGGAATATCTCAGTGTCTATGGGAGGAGGGTTGCCGCTGTGTGCTGGAGAGGCTGGAGGTGTGACGGGAGAAGGGTTTAGGGGATATCGGGGTTCCATGGGGTCAGCGACTAGGTAGCCCAGCCTAATCGCCGAAGGAGGAATTTCCCATGTTGGCGCGAGAAACCATGTTTTCTTACGAAATGGGTCGGCCATCAAGATGTTTAGGATAGGGAGATAATACACCTATGCTGTAGGCGGAGCTAAATGGTATCGTTGCTATATGAGATTTCTGGAAAGGGAAGACGGGGAAGGAAAGCTTGATAAAAGAGGCTGAGAAACACGGATGAGATATATACGTGCGAAACATGACAGCTCCAGCGCCACCTTTCTTCTTTGCAGTGCATTTGTATTTGGAATATGGGACTGAAGCAGCGGCGAGGCGCCAACGTTTGTGCCGCATGGATGCCTATAGGACCATGACTTGTCAGATGCTGTACCACGCATCCACGATATTATGCCCAATCACCTGCCTTTTAAGTTTTGAGGCTAAGACCTCGTTGGCCTCGTTTCAGGCGGGACACCAATATCTACCGCGTACTCGTTTCTATATTGAGTCATTTACTGCTTTCGAGTGAGCCACGTAGTTGCTGAGGCTGAGCTGATTATCACAGAAATCGGCTTTGATATCCTAATTACCGCCACGGTCTATGTTTGATATATATACGCTACTCATAAATTATGCCAAGTATCCTATATACGGATGATTCTCAAATAAAAAAAGTTTCCCATGGGATATCAGCAATAAAAGAAAAGGGGGGGGTCTAGCTGCCAATGCTCCCTCGTCGACATAAAACGTAGAGCCTAGACTCCAAACTCCAAGCTGTGCTATTAGGACTCAAATCCGATAAAAAAGATCCTCATCTATGATACTTTTGGTGAACTCTCAAGTTCCTCATCTCAAGCCCCTAAGACAGTTGAGCAAAATAGACGGAACTTCATCCCTCTGTCTGAGGTCAAAAAGAGTCCACGGAGAGAGATACTGATAACTGTTCGAGTCCACCGACAGTCTTCTCAGAGCTGCTGTCATCCCCTCCAAAGTCTTGATCCTGGCCGCAACAACCTGTCGGTCCTCAAGTACCTCCTTAACTTCATCTTCGGTCTTCGCTTTTGGTGGAAGTGGATAGAACTCGGGATCCTTTAGATAGCTGACGTAGTCCATAGTCAGAGCAGCAATTCCAGCGGCAATAGGTGTCGCGAATGATGTTCCGCTCTTGGATTTTCCTAACGAGATGACTTTTTCACCGAATGTTGTAAGTAATACGGCAAACTTCCCATGAATGGACCGAAACCGGAATCTTTTCCATGGCTGTTAGTCGCGCCGATGGCTATCACATTGGCTGAATTTGCAGGAAATGCGATCGGCCGATTTCCCCCATCGTTATGACCAGCGGCAAACATTATAATATCGGCTGAATGAGCGAGCTGAATCTCTTGCCGTATTGGTTCGCAGGGCTCCATAAACCCAAAGGACATGTTTATAATGTCTACCTTCCACTCTTTTCTGGCGAACTCAATGGCCTGTTAGTAGCATTGTTAGCGATTGTCGAGGTGCAGGTTTAAGGGCCATAAATGGGAGGGGAAAGGTGAGGCATACCTCGGCAATTGCCACCGAGTCTGGGCTATCGTGGGTCTCCGCAACTTTGGCCACATATATTTTCGCATTCCGAGCCATCTTGAGCAGCAGGGCGTCGATGTGGGTGCCATGACCGTCTGTATCGTTAGTATCTCCAGTGTCAATAAAACTTGTGCTATCTATCCGATCTCTATTGAGCCGCAGAAACGGGTTGTCCATATTAACTCCAGTGTCTAGTACAGAAATCTTGACTAGATTTTCTGTATCTTCCCAGCTCGGAATCCCCGCATTATCGAGGAAGTCGAAGACCGACTTGAAGAAACCAAACCATATCTTGGATTGCATCCTGTAGTAAATTAGTTAGCTTTTATATCGCGCCAGGTCTAATTTAATGACTTACTTATCATCTGTTTTACCATGCACGACAGTTGATATGTCTGTAACCTCGTTCATCGAGGCTCGGTTGGCCTCATTATTTGTTCCGAAGCGACTCGGCCTTGGGGCTTAGACTGTGAAAGGTCTTGCCCCTCTCCATCCTCTAAAGGTTTCTGATACCCCACATCTTTCTTGCTTCGAGGTACGGGCGCTGTAGTAGCTCTCCGCCCAGACCCCAAGAATGTTCTGTTGGTGGGGCTTGATTTAGCTACTCCAGGCCCATCTGGAGACAGGTGGCTGGATGCATCTGGTGCTTTGTTCAAAAGCGAAAACATTGTCTCCGCAGAAGCGTAATCACCATCTGTGTTCCGTCTGGTTATTGGCGGATGAGAGGAGATGCAATTGGGTCCAGTCTCCTAAGGGCACGCAAACATAATCAAACCAATATGACCCTAATCCAACGATCCAGTACCTCCTGCCTTCCACTTTGAGGGCGACTTCGGCCTTTTGCACGTTGATGATGGCCTCGTCTTCTCTTCCAGTATGATACAGAACCTGTGCGATAGAGAATAGTACTATAGCGTTACTGAACGTCTTTTCCCAACAACATTTTTCGATGATACCGGCAGCTCGATTCCAGCAGATCAGAGCCTGGTCCCAGCGCCCTTCCATATGGGAAATTCTTGCCAAGCAGGTCCAGGCGAGGAAATGGTTTGTGTTTTGAACCTCATTTGGATCCTCGTCAGCCTCAAGAACGAGGATGAGTTTATCCAAGCATGTCTCAGCTGGCCGAAATTCGCCTCGGCGAATGAGGCTCTCGACTAAGGCGAGTTGTAAGCGTCGTCCCGTAGGTATATTCTCCCATTTCCTGGCATAGACGAGCTTCAACTGTTCTTCTATAACAGCTTCCACATCTAGGGGCCGTCCGACTTCGCAGTAGAGGTCCGAGACGTTGTTGAACATGACCAGCTGCCAGCCGGTACTATTGTGGGTGACAGAGCCCGTTTCTTTTAGTAATCTCTCGAATATTGGCAGGGCCTCTTTAAATTGGCCATCATTCCGAAGCAGACGGCCCAAAGTGACGTCTCGGCTTTGCGCAACCAGTTTCTCCATCGCGGAAGGGGCAGCTAGATTCAAAGGTTTCCAGTCTGCTAGCTCCACCTTGGTACGGGCAGAGTTGTTCATACGAAGAAGATTCTCAGCGAAGGAGAGGACAAGTTCGCCCCTTTGAGCATTCCATCGTGCATCTGATTCAAGATCCTCGTCCAGGCCAGGTCCAATGCTGTTGCGGATGTGATTTTCCAGGGCGTCCTGGGATGCCTGAGTATCTCCTTGCAAGCGTAACACAGTGCTTTCTGCATTTGCTAGCCAACCTCTTAGGAACGGATCAGTAGCCTCACAAATCCCATCTCCCCGTTACTGTCCCAGACCTTCTTTGGCGAGCATCCTCGGCGAAGCATCGACTCGGGAATGTCCGTTCCTTCGAGAAAAGACAGAAGTAGCAAAAGCTTCGCTGCCATAGGACAGTCTTTCTCCGTCTGCCGAAAGTTGATCTCCCACACAGTGAGATAGGAGTTCTCGATACTATCTCTTTGAGGAGAGGTCTTGACAACCTCAAGGATTCGATCTTCAAAAAGCCGGCGGTATTCCCGAAGTGGTTTCTGTTGCGTCCGGATGAAAGCTCCCGCTTGATCCACCGCAAGCGGAAGGCACCCTAACAGCTCGACTATCTCCCCGGCTTGTTTAACATCATCAGCTGATGGCTGTGCGATGCGTGCCTTGGAGAAGAGCACCTGTATTGCTTCCTCTGGCTCTAGCGGTTTTATCGAGTGTCCATGCTCGCTGACCTTTCCAATTGCAGTCTCGTCTCGTGTTGTTATTATTAAGTGGCCTCTAGTTGTTCTTGGGATGTAACTTGAGAGTGGAACTGAGGTCATATCATCTGCGTTGTCAAATATGAATAACCAATCCGAATTTTCCGCCCTGGAGAACCATTGCTTGATTCCCTCAACCTTGTTAGATGATTGTGGTAACTTCAAAAGTTCGGAAACCCGAGTGAAATCTGCGATTAATGTGGTTTTCGAACTTGCATTGAAGAAAATGACGCCATTTTTGTACTTGAATCGATTGTTGTAAGCATATTTAAGTGCCGTGTGCGTTTTACCACAGCCGCCTATCCCATGTAGTTAGCAAACGATTATAAGGGATATTATTGTAACATACCGAGCCCTGAGAGGACATATTTTAGCTGTCCATCATCGTTGCTAGCACTGAAGAACTCCTGCATATACCCGAGGTCGTTTTTTCTTCCTTTAAAGGTTTCGCACGGTGCGAACGGAACTTCGAAGAGCGTTGTGGAATCTGGATATCCACGCGCATTAGAAATGTGAATCATGCCTTGTGGTATATCAACCCTACATACCGCCCGATACTACACTGGCTCTCCGATTCGAGTCTTCTACCCTGATTGAACTTGTTGCTCTACTGCCTGCGCGGCTTGAGCTTCTGAAGCCAAGCGCCTACTCAAGGTGCGAAGTCGTGCCAGCATGGGAGGGAAGTTCCGGTCGTCCTTGGAGGAGAACCTAGCGATCTCCAAATGGTCGGCATCCTGTGGGATAACATCTTCGCCCGGTAAATTAAGTATGGCAGAATGATGCTCAACTATCTACATAATCATCAGAGAATGTTACAATTGCAGAGTGGAAGGGCACACCAATCGTTTGAAAAGCCAGGTACTCGTCATCTTCCTCGTCTCGTAGAACGATATTAGCTGCAAATCAGGGGCCTTTTCAGAAGTAATTCTCCTAAACTCTGAAGTGACCTCATATAACGCTCTGGGATCGGACGTTTTGGATTTAAGCCTCTTAAATGTCGAGTATGTAGAGAGTATATTGGCAAGGAGTTTTCCAGTCGTCACCGGGTCGCTGTCATTGTGAGGAGTGGCTCCATTGAATTAGATTTAGCAGTACAATCGGATGGAATATGAACAAACCGAGAAATACAACAACACACACTGCCTCTTGAACTTTTAACCGCCCAGCAGAAAGCTTGGTTCTAGAAGGGCCTGTTCACTTGTTAGACCTAGTCGATATATCACCTAAAATGGCACACCTTTTTGGCAACAACACCCCCCAGGCTATGACAGACGAATATTATGGGTCTTGTTTGCTCCTTGTGCAGTCAGCTTACTATCAACATCCACAGATCGCTCATAACGTTGACAGGACGTAGCGGTGGGGCCTTGTAATTATCAAGCTCTACGGGCTGCGGCTAAATCACCAGGCCCGCAAAGGGTGGATTCGGAATACTAGTAACGTAGGACAGGTGTCGAGCAGCCTCGGCTTCAATACGCAATCTGTATGTATTTGAGATAGCTTGTGCTGGGCTGCATGGACCTTGTGGGGGCGAGCTCTGGGTAGCAATGCCAACCACCATGGTACGGAGGAGGCTCCAGAGCTATGTACAAAATGTCGTCACGGCATGCGCTGTCTAAAGTTACGATCGGGGTCTTCGAAGCCATGGTGCAGGCAGGCCTCGCGGCTGGGGACGACGTTTGCCCGGATCAGGGATTAGGATTGGGCGAGGACGGCGGATTGAATAAATGAGGCGCCCAGCTGATTCTCACCGCAGAGGAAGAAGGGATCGGATTAGAGAGCGAAGGATAAGTAGTGAGACCTTTAGATATATTGATACTCCGGTGGCGTGCAACGGCGGGGTTGTTGCATAGAATAACGAGGCGATGTTAAGAACTACTGGACTGTGCTGGCGTACGAAGTAGCCTGCAGCCTGCACTTCGCCAGTACTCCGTAAGTAAGGTAGGCAGGTACCTGGTAGGTAAGTAGGGACAGCCTTACAGGTGAGTAAGTACCTAGGGACCTTAGGTGGGTACGCTGTGTACGGGGGCACGATACATGCCTTCTTATACTTGGTCCCTCCGCACAGTAACCGGTCGACGTTGTCTTTGCGGGCCGGGACGACTCCCCTGGGCCGACCCGCGTTGCTCAAGTATTAGCGGAGTTATGGGTGTTCGCATAATAGAGGGCATAGTTACAGCAGTAGGGGGCATAATCCCTACGGAATAGGGGACGTAAATAGGGGCCGTATGAGGCCTGGAAGCGCCTCTCTAGGCCCAGCAGCCGCTGGAGCCATTGTAGGGCTGCCTACAGACAGTAGCTGGGAATGGGATAATAAATGATCAGCACACACCCCCACGAGTCTATTCGACCACAGCACACTATGCAGGCACAACAAAACTAGATATGGCACATTCTTGGGCGACTTTGGTGCAAAAATTCTTTTCGCCAGTATTATATGGCCCGGTGACTATTGCCTAAATATAAATATAAATCTGATATCGTATAAATATCTTACTAAAATTGGGGTATTCAAGTCACGCGAATATCTCACTAGAATTGAGATATTCAAGTCGTATAAAATATCTAACTGACATTAAGATATCTACGCTCTCTGGATTAGTATGTAGAAATAGTATAGAAGCTCGATATTAGATATACATATAAGTAGGTAATAGCTGTAGGTGCCTGATATTTCTAGCGAAAAGAGTTTTGCATTAAATTCGCCCAAGAGTGCGCCATAACCAGACAAGTCCACTTACTTATTTGCTGCTTTATATTATTTATGATATTCCGATTGTTATCTACGGATGCAATCCTCTATTATTTGGCGCCGCAATAGGGAGGACCGCGGCGAAAGAGACGAGCAGCATGCTGATACAGTCACCCAAATTGATACTCCATTCCTCCCTCTGTCACCGTCTCACATTTTATCTTGTGCAGCCGCATCATATCCCAGATATCGATCGCATCCCGCCCGACAGGTGAAAAATTACTTATACAGAACACGCTCCAGAGGAGAAGGAGGATTTGTCCTCCCCCTCCACCACTACCTCTCATTCTTCGCCTGTTGATCCTGGCCGTGATCCTTCCACCGCCGTCACAACACGATGCGTGCGAGGGTCCCCCTTTTCGTTCTCTTTCGCCCCCAATGGCGACGTTGCTACTCTTCGCCCACGGAGATTACGACGATAGTGGGTAGGGTGCATAAGCCTAGCTATGAGGTGAGTGAGGGAAGCTTGTTTCATCCTTTTTTCCCATCTCCCTCGTGAGAATATATTCTCACCACTTTTGCCCGACTATTACCCGTAGCGTAAATAGTTGCGATTGTCGCCCAGCTAATCAAAATTGGGCCGTCACAGGATGCCATCCACCGCCTCAATTCGTGTCAGTGGGGCTTCGAGACGCTGGAGGCTCGGCGCGCCGCTGGGATTAAGCTCGACGACACCGTGGTGGAGCAGATGCGCGCCTGGCTTCGCCGCATCGGCCACAAGGTACGTAACATTGCTCTACAGCCTCCTTTTGTTGGCATTAGAATTTCCTCCTTGATGTTGGTTTTTTTCGTTTTTTGCCGCGGCGAGCCGTGCGATGCAACAGGGCGTCTACTTGGGCGTTGCACCTTGATTGATATCGTTTTGCTCCTTTCCTTCTCGGCCTATCTAAGCCTCCTCGTTATTGTCTAACTCTCCAGCTAGCTGTCCGATTAACTGCCCCTACAAATTTCTGCTTTGCTCTACGTTCTCTGTATTATCTCGTGAAAATTCTGTCTATTTCAGGCCCTCAATCTTCTACCCTGCGGCCTGTTGTATTCGTTCCTCCAGAAAATAGTATTGAGGCGGATTATTGAACATATAATTTTTGCATATTTTATTCCTAGACCTCCCGGAAGCAGAGGGCCTCCTTACAAACTTACGACGTTATTATTTCTTACTAAATATCACTCTCCGTATCACTCGCTAACCTGGGTCGCCCCTTTAGCCGTCCGACCTCGACCGCCTGAACGTGGTTCATGTCGCGGGCACCAAGGGCAAGGGCACGACATGTGCCTTTGTGAACTCCATCCTTACCCGCTGCAGCAAGACTCTAGGCGTACCAGCTAAGGTTGGCCTCTACACCTCGCCGCACTTGTGCTCAGTCCGTGAGCGTATCCGTATCAACTCCGAGCCACTTACGGAGGCACAATTCACCAAGTATTTCTTCGAAGTATGGAATAGCCTCGAAAAGACCGCGAAACGGCAAGGTTTGGATCCCGCTCTCAAACCAGTGTATTTCCGTTTCCTCACGTTGGTGTCATTTCATGCATTCTTGCGCGAGGGCGTGGACACGGCAGTCTACGAAGCTGGCGTCGGAGGAGAGCTTGATTCTACCAATGTTTTCGAACGTCCCGCCGCGACGGGCATCACGACTCTCGGTATTGATCATGTGGAGTCGCTAGGCGAGACCATTGACAAAATCGCCTGGCATAAGGCAGGGATCCTCAAGACCGGATCCCCAGCCTTCTCGGTGCGCCAGTTGCCGGGGGCAGAAACCGTTCTTCGAGAGCGGGCTGAAGAAAAAGGCGTACGCATCCAATGGGTGGATCCAAATCCAGGACTCCAAAATGTCAAGATCAAGCCAGCGGAGGACTTTCAGGTGAAAAACGCTTCATTAGCAGTTGCGCTCACCACGACAGTGCTTAAGAAGCTTAATGTGCATATTGCCGAGACCCCCGATCCCTTAGACCTCAATGACGAAAAGGGTCTCCGGGCAAAGGCGCGCCTCGTTGTGAGGAAGCCTTCGCCGAATGGGGCGGCCCAGCCCTCCACGAATAATACGCTTTCTTCATCCCAACCGACCAATCTCCCAGACGAGTACGTCAGAGGTCTAGAAGATGTGGTATGGAGGGCAAGATGTGAAACTAAGATATGCGGAGATCAACGCTACTATTTTGATGGTGCTCATACGGAAGAAAGCCTTCAAGTGGCGAGCTCTTGGTTCGGCAAGCTAGCCCTGGAAAGGTAGGCTGCTATTTCCGATTCCTATTATTCTGTCATAGAGTATGTAATGCGGAATGCTAACATGGATTGGCGGCTTCCAGACAAGTGCCGCGGATCCTCATTTTCAACCAACAATCGCTGCGTAATGCAGTATCACTCATCCGTACTGTGCATCATACACTCTATGATACATATAAGGTGGACTTTCAGCATGTGATATTCTGCACCAACATTACCTATAGTGATAACAAGTACAAACCTGGTAAGCTCTGTAGTCGCACCCCTATCCACTTTTAAATATTGACCAGCTATTCCAGATTTCGTCAATCACAACGCCGACCCCGAAGCGGTGAAATCACTGACCCACCAGAATATGCTACGCGATGAATGGCATTCGTTCGACCCCAACGCAGAAGTCCTCGTCATGCCGACGATCGAAGATGCTCAAAAGCGGGTAGAGGAAATTAGCAAAGAGAAGGGCGAAGTACAGACCCTGGTTACGGGAAGTTTCCATCTCGTGGGTGGGTTTATCTCGATTCTTGAAGGGCAAGACTACGGTCTGAAAAGCACCACGCCCAAAGACGAATAAACGCCCGACTATGGAGGTGCTGTGCCTGAAGGGGCGTTTTAGGATGGCTCGTCGAAATAAATCTCAACTATTTCTGACATGGGAACTAGTGCGATCAACTCCCAATGTATTCAACATAATCCGAGTTTGGAAATCAAAATATCTTCTAGAACATTGAATTGCTTCCTAGTGCATCCTTGACTAATGAGCATCTGTACCAAATCCCTGCTTTACCCCATCCCTACATCCAAGTCCGTTGGCTTTAGGGCTGAGAGCCTTGGCAATTTGACGTATGTAACGGGACAGGGAGATGCTAGTGGACTTCAAAATTCGGGAGACTTCAAGACGCTCGAAAGCGCTGCAGGAAAGTTTAAGTTGGTTATGCTTAATATATTCTAATTCTAAAGGAATAAGGTGTCTTTGCCAAGCAACGAGCTCATTTACTCTCTCATGTGCAGCATTTATGCTTGGTGGAAATCCAACCCTTGGCATTACATCCACCACCTTTTCCATCTATCCAGTTGTAGACAAGTACCCTTTTCGCTCCAGACAGTACTTTCTACCAAAATTCAAAAGGTATAAACGGCGCGCTATTCCCCCATATTTTCTAGCTCAGCGGCAGGCTTTAAGAAGTAGCAAAAACGACACCTGATTTCCGCGCCGACCGTATTCCAGAATTATAGGTTACATGGTTTGATGGATAGAATAGAAATTGTATAACATTACCCTGCCCAAGTCGGAGTCTCATCGCTATTGCCTCGATTCCCCAGTATCCATCTCATGGATTACTCGTTGCTCATTGGAAGTACTAGTACTAGCTAACTCGTGCCTCTCATTCCACGGTTGTTGTGAATAATGCTTTGCATGCATTACCGGCTCGTATTTTATGTCCGTCATTCCGTTGCCGTTGCTAGCCTGCGCTGCGGACGCGGGTATCTGCTGCGCAGCTGTTGCCTTCTGGTTCCGACGCCAGCGCCAATAGAAGAACGCAATGAAGACCACAGCGAGGACGCCGAGGGGGACGCCAACGCTAGCTCCTATTATTACGGCGCTGCGGTTGCTGCTCGATGTGGAGGCAGCCGGTGTAGGGGTAGTGGATGTAGATGTAGATGTGATAGATGTAGATGCACTCGATGTGGAGGTACTTGATGTAGAGGAAGCTGATGTGGATGATGTTGATGTGGAAGTGACCGCGGTCAGTGGTATTTGCCCGATGAGCGTGGCAACAGGGTTGATTTGGAATATTTGAGCTTGATCATCGCAGCATGCGGTACTACCAATACCGCCAGTGGTGCCATTGTCGCAGCAGTATTGATTGGTTGTTGTTATTGCGCCGTTGCAGAAGCGGATTCCAGCACTTGAATCAGGTGCAACTAGCATACTTGTTAACGACTTGTTCGTAGAATCGTAGAATCGGGCATTTGCTTACAGTTTCTGCATTGATCTAAACATGCCGGGTCGCGCCATGTCTTGTCTGTACATCCTACTCTTAGATAGTCTTGTACACCGCTGTTGGACTCCTGGCAAACGCCGTTCGAGTAACAAACACCTCCCGCTCCACAGCAGGAGCTGTGGCCTGTGGTTGCATTGTTGCACCTGAAGGCACCAGTGGTAACTTTACCGTTCAGGATGTAGCAGGTTGTTGGCACGTCGGCAGCGGCGCGGGGCACGAAAACCATGTTTGCTCGCAGTTGGACTTATAACAATAGACGCGTGGAAACCGTGGTAATGGGGAAGATGCCAACGGAAAGTATTTACAAGACGAGAAAACCCAACATGTTACAGGTTGAAAGATGCCTAATAAGCAGAGTACCTAGTACTATTTGCGTCCAGGCGTAGGCAGTTGTAATTGGTCTTACCTACCTTAGTTCCTCCAGATCATCTCCAGCATGGCAGCATCCCAGCGCTTCCCACCATATTCAAGACTGCATAAACTCCCAGGCACGAGCTCAGCGGTCGTAGGCGTAGGGCTGCTAGAACCTAGAGGACGAGCAAGGCTCACTCGTGGCCCGGACCTGTTGCTGCCACGATCATCAGAAACATCGATGAAGCAGGAATGGGATTGAGGCTCGACAAGGAGGCACAATGGCTAAGCCCTCCTAGGAGGTGGCGAGGTGATATAATTGGCACTCTTGAACGAGTGCCCGCTTAGCGACCCCTGGGATCTTCGAATCCGTCGAGGCTGAGATTGGTTGCCCCATACGAAGTAAGCGCTTACGGAGGTACAGCCCATAAGTATAGTAATAGCGCTAGTATGCGGGTCTTAGTAGTCCCACCCTACCTAACCCAATTAGGCTGGTGGCAACCCATTAGGCCAGAGGCACCAAAACACCAAAATACCAATACACCAAGACACTCTAACTCGACTCTTATATTGTAACTATTCTAGTACTTTGTAAAGAGCCCATTAGCGTCAATTACAGCTTGACACCGCGCAGGCATACTATTAATTAGTTCCTCAAACTCATGCTTTCCTACTTTATCCCACGCATCTTGTACAGCTACCCGTAAAGCGTCGTATTGCATAGTTTCAGGGTAGTTATCCTGAAGGTAGTTTTTCATAATATGCCACACCCTCTCAATAGGGTTTAGATCAGGGGAATAAGGAGGCCAAAAGATAACAATAATACCTCTTTCTCGAAGGTCCTCCTTTGTATCCGCTGCCGCGTGTCCAGGAGCTCCGTCTTGCATAAGTTTGAGGTATATCCTATCCCTTCCTATTAATTCAATATATCCGTGGATAATAGGGACTGTATGAGCTTGATACGAGTCTTTATTAATCGTTCCCCAATCCTTCTCCCAGAATATACCAGGCCCTTGTGTATACCCGTGGAAACAGCCCCAAAATATCCATCCCTTCTTCCTTTGGTGCCTTACAACTATACAATAGGATCCCATTCTTCGCCGGCCCGGCGAGTAACCCAAGTTCTTGTATGCCGGCCGCCTGTAATCCAAGTCTCGTCCGTCCACAAGATCTCATACCACTGGGCCATTGTCCAATTAATATGCTCAAGGGCCCATTGGAGACGCGTTTGCCGGTTCTTTTCTGTAATTGGAGGTTTACGCATAGCTAAACGTCTATGGAATCCTTCTCGTAAAAGAGCTGATCGAATAGCTTGTTTTTTAACTCCAAAGTCTAGAACTTCTGCAAGTTTGGTAAAGGACATCCGCCGGTTCGCCGAGGAAGCGCAAACGAATTCGACTAGCTCTTCGACCTGAGCTTGAGAAAGGATAGGAGGTCTTCCGGATTTCTTTTTAGGAGTTGCTCGTATAGTACAAGCTAGCCCTATTTGACGGATAGAATAGCTAGTCTGACGATGGATTTGCGAATAGGACCATCCAATAGAGTGTAATAACTGGCAGTCGCGTCGTTGATCTCGAGTAAGCTGGGGAGCCTTTGGCCGGCGAATCGGCGGGCGGGGTATAATAGGGGGTAAAGGTAAAGGCTGTTCAGGCTCTGAAGGCTGTTCAAGCTCCGAGAGCTCTTCGGATTGGTTTAAAACAAGGCCCAAAAAACTAGGCATTTTGGCAAGTCAAAGAACATAAACTATAGTAGTAAAATCATAAGAATTAGATGTAAACGCGTCCAAAGCTGTGTTTTGGTGTTTTGGTGCCTCCGGCCTAATTGGGTTAGGTGGGGTGGGACCACTAAGACCCCCATACTAGCGCTATTACTATACTTATGGGCTGTACCTCCGTAGTAGACGAGTAATTTGGGTTTGCAGGTACTCGGGATACTGTAGTGGGAACCGCGAAGAGCTCTCTCCATTGAGCCCAGTTCAATACCTCGGACCACAGTCCACCCTTGACAATATATCAACAACATAACGTGCATAAATTTGGAATGTGTCGTGATTGAACTCAGAAAGACCGTGGCCATTTTCAGAGCCCACAATCAGTTAATGCTGCCAACATCACGGGCTAAGGCGCATACGTATTTGTGCACGAACTGAATTGTGCAGCCACAAAAGCAAAACAGAACCAGAGGCCTGAAAGTGTTATTGGCAACCCAGAGTAGAAGGTGGGAAGAGAATAACGTGAGGTGAAGGTCTGCGCTGAGGTAAAATTGGCAAGAAGCACAGACGGTATATGGCTATAAAACAAAAATAAGCTTTAGAGTGTAATGCTTGTTTAGGTGGATTAATAATAAATACAAGAAAGCAAGAAGGTGTTTGTTAGAAAGATTCGTGATATAAGATATACCGAATCACGATACCAAATGAATCAATGATAAGGAATATGATTTGCTCGGCATACAAGAGCAGGGCAGCTAACGAAGCAGCTCGTTAACAGAAGGGCATGAGAAGTTGCATGCTGGGATATTTAAATGTGGGAACTAATAAATAAAACTCTGTGCCGGTAAATAAAATCAACCTCCAAATTCGCATTACGTCGAAGTTGTGCTATCTTCGTCCAGCGGCAAGACAGGCAAGCCCAGCTGGGCCCGGGTTTCGTAAGCCTGAAGCTTCCACTTCTTGAAATATTCCGACCGCTCCTCGCGGGTCACATTCCCAATCGACTCGTCGAACTTAATATCCCTTAACCCCTTTGCCATATCCCACTCTCGTTCTAGTTTTCCATCTCGCAAAACCCGGATAGTACCAATCCTTTCATACAATATACTGCCATACTCAGCAGTATGGTAACCCATGTATAGTAGTATGCTGATATATGTTGTTATGAAGCCAACCAAAAGTTCCGACCTCAACGGCTGCGTATCCCATCCGCAGCGAAACTCCTTCAAGCTTTCGGGTGATGGTTGGATTCCTCGGCGCTCTTCTGGAGTTTCAACATCTATCTCGAGAATATTGATCGAAATAAGTTCCTCCTCCTGCAACGCCGGATTGACTGCCGGCCCAACTCTTAGAAATCGTTCCAAAACACCATAAAAACTCAGGGTGATGAGTGGGAATCCACCACTGCCCCTTTGAAATCCGCTCATTGTCATGTCGGAGCTCGTGGTATCAATCCGGAGCGTCGAATACACTATGTCAACAGACTTTGACAAGGCCGGGACGGATAACCATGTGGGCCACAGTGACCTGCCATCTACAACCATAATATCCAAGATATAAGTAGGTTTTCTTGAGAGCAGATCAATCGCTGCTAGCGTCTCATCGTGGAGCTGGCGGTTGACAAGTAGTGTAGAGAATTCTTTGGTCCTATTCATATGCGGACAGTACTGGACATTTCTATGCCATCCTTTACACGGACTATACGGCAAACGTATTCGTGGACCAGCATCCGAGTGACCCGATGGAGGTGGTTTTGGAGTGGACACGACAAAGGTAAGGATTTTATGGCGCACCTCGCGGGGGATATCGAGCAGTGAAACCATTGTGAAGAAACGGGCAGCGGAAAGGTATGATTTGGGTGTGCGCGTGTACTCGATATGATTATTGTATTCCTTTTGTGCATACGGAGTATTGTGCTTCGTACGACAACTCTATGTGCCTATGACTCTATGTGCGGGGCTTTCATAGCCGAGCTATGATTACCTAACATACTAGGTATTTCTGACAAGCATTACTGGCGAACGCGAGCGAAAGTGGAATTGGAACCAGGTGAATAATGTGTGGTTGTGGTTGTGCGGATGAGAAAAATGGTGTCCGGCGTGGACGAGTCTTGAGGCAACAGAGCATTCGCTGATTAGTAAAGTTCCAGCCAATTGAACAAATTGACAAGGTTAGACCATTTTCTAATAGAATATTATCAAACTCAAGAATAAACACCTACTCTCTTATTACTTGAAATTAAGCCGTAATAGGGTAGAACGGTAAGTGGTATTTGTGGTACAATCTAACTTCTAACAAGTCATATGACTTTGGAAGTACAGTGCACTTGATGCAGTGGCTGAAGTCGACGCGTAGTCGCGAAGTACATCCCAGTCTATTGCCTTGATATAGTTATCTACCGAGTACTAGAAATGCGAATTCTCAAGGTAGAAGTCAGTACCTTTCCTATAGCGTATTCTTAAGTAAATTTAGTATAAAACTCTTTTCGCTAGAAATATTAGGTACTTACTACTATTTAAGTTACCTACTTATATACATCTCCGATATCGAGCTTCTACACTATTTCTATATACTAATCTAGATAGTATAAATATTTTAATTTTAGTTAGATATTTATATAACTTAAATATCTTAAATTCTAGCAAGATATTTATATAACTTAACTACTTTAATTCTAGTAAGATATTTACATAGCTTAAATACTTTAATTCTAGTGAGATATTCGTAGAACTTAAACACTTTAATTTTAGTAAGATATTTGTATAATATTAAATTTATATCTAGGTAATTACTATTAGGCTTTATAATACTAGCGAAAAGAGTTTTATACTAAAGTCGCCAAAGAATACGCTATACTTTCTAGTTCTATTCTCGCAAATTCGACTTTATACTGCTGGGCGAGGAAGTTCCCCAAAGGTGGAAATCGAATGATCAAGTTAAAGAACGTCCAAAGAGCACCATAGCCTAGCCGCTTAAAATAAACAGAATACCGAAGTGTCTACATTGTCTTCCTTTTTTGATTTCACCCAGTGCGCCGCAAACGGTGTGACTCAAATTGCCTTCCTCGGATCTAACTCTCGGCCCCAAGTTGTTCGCAAAGACAGACACATGTGAACTCGCGGGAGTCACACCCTGGAAACAAGATGTATACCCAGTAATAATGAAATCCCTCCGTCCTTCGGGACAGATGGCTCAATTGCTTTTATAATCACACACTCACTTACTTTATATACGCACTAATTTCTCTACACAGGTTACTACAACCCGGCGGACTAGATGCCTACCTGTGGTCTTACCCGGGGTTTGACTCCAACATTGTAAAATCCCTGGGTAATCTATGGAACAGTGTGAACCTTTAGTTTATGCGACTGTCCGGGCACTAAGCTCAACTAATAACTGTGAATCAGAGTGGCAAAGAAAAGTCGTAGTTCTTTGAGCGCGAACCTGGGTTCCAGATCAGTTAAAGTCAGATATCCGATTAAAGAATTACATACTGTTGGCCAGGACAGTTCCTTGAGCCGGCCGAAAATGGGACAAAAGCTTTTCGGTCTACTTCGGCCCCTTTATACTCGCCGAGCCATCTTTCGGGGACGACGCTCTCCGGGTCAGGCCAAATTCGGGGATCTTTATCGTTACAGAAATGCCGCCACTACAACCTAATCACCCTAAGCCATGTGGTCTAAATCTGATGTCGATGGTGTTCACTTACCCTTGGGGGAATTTCGGAATCGCAGATCACTGTAGTCTCGGTTGTATACCGAGGTAATCCTGTTTCTATGATTTAGGTTCCATTGCGAATAACATTTTTGGGGGACTAACCTGTAGCTATCGGCATAACTCTCATACTATCATTGATTACTGCATTCAGGTATGGGAGATCTTGCGTTTTAGCAATCGTTATCAGCTCGTCCTTGGAGGGGAATGCTTCGTCAATTTCTTCCACGAGCAGTTTTAGTTTCTCCTGGTTGTTGAGTAGTAGGAGTAATGTGAATGTTGCGGTCGCACCCCCAGTGTCGCTTCCAGCAATCCTTTACACAGGTCAGAAATATCCCAGGAGTTCTATTGCAGGTGCGTACAGGAATAAACACATCTCCTCGAGGACATTCATTTCTGAATATAAGTCTGGATTCGACTTATGCGCATCAAGAAATATTTGAAGGGGATCTTTCTTGGGAGGCCCCTTGTGGGCCATTCGCTTCGCCAGTATGTCGTCGACCATTTCTGTCAACTCCACTCTAGATCATAGTCAGCTTTTCTAATTTGGAATGGTTAAAAGAAAATTAGAGGACAGTTGGACCTTGGCGAGAGGTGACATATCCTCAGAGTAGGTAGATATTGGAATACCGCGGGAGCTATGAGCTAGGTACTTAAGGCTGTGCAGGAGGAGTAAATGGTAGATACTTGAGGAACGGAAACTCGGTGTAAATGGCACCCCTCTTCATACGATCCATGAATATGGTTTTCATTCGCCTGTTACCCGAGGAGACTAAGTTGAATGATCCTCCGAATGATGTAGCGCTCATTATATCCTGAGACGATTTAGCATTTGGCTTACCGTCGAGGGATGGAAGGGAATACCGTCGTCAAATTTCCTAACATCATGTACATATCGATGACGGCCGAGCCATGGCCTTCAGCGCATTTTGCATCCAACACATCCACAAATGCTCCAATACAGCCAAGATAAAGGGGTTCCAGGGAATTTAAAAAGCTGATGGAGAATCCAGGGGCCAGGAGTCGCCTCTAAAAGATATTTTAGTTAGATACTTGTATACAACAATTGCCTCGGGAACACCGAAGTGCCATTCATACCTTTTGTTTGTATCTTGTCTTGTCTACTATAGAGATAAGGTTATCAGCGCCCGTCGGCGGCCGGTGAGATTCATATAGGGGCGCCTTTCTAAGATCCTGCTCGACTAGTACCTGTTGAATACTGTCCTTGCCGGCAACGATAACTTCCGCTGCAGCTATGGTCCTCAGTTAATATTGTTGCCGAGCACGCTTGCATGGCCAACTTGCCTACTCGCACTATATCGCCATATTTCCGAAAAAGTTCCGGGCCCTTATGTATCAAGTTTGCTCGTTATACTCTGCATTATCTAGGGGATGGGGGAAATCTTGTACAAAAAGGGGCCAGGGATTTTGGAGAGCGGCCCTGTAAAGGCGCGCATGAGTACGGTGCAACATCGTCGCACACCCTCGATGAGTATGATCCAGAGCAATACGGTAGTGATACTAAACATATTCAGGATGTGTTATATGGTGAAGATATTTTAGGGTGCGAGGAGCAGTGTAAGGTACTTTGTAATATCCCACGATGGGTTGTTATGTCGGCTTATTACTGCCCTCGCTTGAGGGCGAACGCGGTCGGATACCTTATTCGGTACCTAGCCCAGAACCTCGAGGACACCGTTGCAGTACAGGGCATATAGGAGGTCAAGAAATGGGGAGAGCCAAGAGAAGAGAGGAGCTGAATGTGTCGAGTGCTCTCTTGAGAGGTAAGCTCGCTAGGGATCGCGATGGTGAATACCGGCTTCTGAGAGGGCAAAAATGTCTTCTTCATCCCTAACCCCAGCTTCCCACGCCTTCATATCGTGCGACAAGCTGCCAAGTCGATCAGGGCTCCGGCCTAGCTTGGCAAGGCTTACGGTGTATGCATCTAGTAATCCGCTTACCTGCAGGGAAATGTTGGTATTCCGGATCTCACGATGAGCCTGGTGTGCTATCCAGAATTGCTTTCCTGGTTCGGGTTGCTTGGATTCGAGTCTCGGAGTTTGGGAGACTACATTGTGCGAGTATTGGCCAAACTTCATGCGCAAGTCAGGTATTTAGTGTTATGGATTGACACTTCTTGAAGGGAAAATCATACACGAGAGAAAGAAGGGCATAGAAATTGTATATAGGGATACTCAATATACGCGGGCTGCTTTTAGCTTCCCATGCTGTGTGCCAAGTGTCCTCCACCAACAACGCCAATTAAACCAACCACACAATCTTATGTACAATCCGGGGGGAGAAATAGTAATTAGTCATATATTAAGGGGTGTAATAAGCCTCTGGAGGCCTCGAACTCCGTCCCATGACTGGAGATATTGCCTTTGGTGAAGTGGGTGACCCATAATATGTTTCTGGTTTCGAACCACTACGCGTAAGCGCTGTGCGGCCCGAAAACGTTGACGGGTTCGGCGAAGTTACTGGGGAATGATAGCGAGGATCATGGTCTCGTGTCTCGGCGACAAATCCATTTTGCGGTTCAGGTGGTGGCATCCGATAATGGCTGCCATAAAGCTCGGCAGGCTCAGGTGTTGTTGGCAATTGATAGTGTGTCTTCGGCACATTGTAAGATGTATAGCTTTGAGATTTGGGAGCGGCTTTGGGATCATATGGGGGAGATTTTGAGATTGGGGGCGGCGGAGGCGGAGATGGTGGGGGATGTTTTTGGTTCCTCCGGCGACGAAAGAAATAGCATCCACCAATAATTATGGAGCCTAAAAAGATGGCGCCGCCAACGGAAATACCTGCTATTGCGCTTCCAGGGAGGCGTATGGAAGAGCCTGACGTGGTACTATTACCTGATGGATCTGATACCGCCCGTGTGGGAGTGCGATTAGCGACGTTTGCATGTTGGGCAAAGTACACGTCAAGTTCGGCGTTTTGAAAACCGGTGGCGGGTTTCTTGAGAGCAGCACCTCCCATTGATCTATCAAAGTTAGAACGGAGAGAAGAGCTGGAGAATATAGGGTATCCTACGAGCCTCCTACCACCGAGATCACCTCCGGGGGTACTTGATAAGTAGTAATGTTGGGCATGTACACATTCCAAGCACTACCGCTTACTTTCCCAAGATCCGCATTGTGAACGCCCCATGTGCCCGGGCTGTCACAATCACTGGACAATGGAAAAGTTCCGCCTATAACGAGCATCTGCCCATTATTGACGACATTGCATGATAAAGAATGATGTGGGTAGCCAGTACCAGTGGGTGCCGAGTAATAGTTTATCCATGTGAATGATGGAAGTGAAAGAATCCACATGTCATCAAATCCGGCAGAATCAGCTCCAAATCCGAGGCCGCCGTAAAGGTAACTAGATTCTAGATGTTAGCAACAAAGGCAAGGACTATAGAGGAGCGAAGTGGAGACCGACATGTTGTACGAGGACCGATCTGGTGCCCAAGCGGCATCAGCACAAAATCGCCTTCGGTTTGGTGGGATATTGCCCGTCGCCGTCTGCGTGTACCACTTGGAGCTTTTGATATCATATAGATGGATTGAGCTCATGGGGGAAGCACTTGTGGTCCCGTTGCTGCCCACTGTAACCCCACCAAAATGCACCAACATCCCAACATCGGACGCTGGAATGTAGACCATCACCCCTTCCGCTCGCGGCGTACTGTCTATCCCCGTGGTGTTGCTGAGGATATTGCTGTCCATATCGTATTGTATCAGCCCGCTTGTGGCCAATGGTGGCCCCGTCCAGCCAGGAACAGAGTTATTGCTTAGCCATCCGCCAAGAACAAAACCCTTTCCAATTGATGACACCCCTACTCCAGCTCCCCAGGACACGCTTTGGATAGATCTATCGGTAGGTGACCCAAATGACACCCATTGATCGTAAAGCACATCATATGACAGGAGATTTGGGGGATTAGGTGGGATATTGAAATAATCTCCACCGTACAGGTAGAACCGCTTGTTCACGGAATCAGGCCATAGTACGCCTCCACTGACATCGGGTATCGAGGCATTCTTGGATAAGTTTGCGTGAATTTGAGGCATGTCGATCCGTGGTGGACTTGTCGTGAGATCATGATATGACAACCAAGTATCTGTGACGGTACAGTTAATCACGGCTCACAAATCCCATTCGGTACAAGCTTGAAGACTCCTAGATTTCTAGGGCCCTTACTACCCTAGGTATGGTATACAGTGCTAGATCTCTCGATTCGGCGGATGGAATCGAACTTACTTGAATAGTTGTTGGGGTTCTGTTGAAGGGTATTCATGTTCACTAGCCCTCCATCAATATATAGCCGCTGATCGATAACACATGTTTGGTGCCCAAATCGTCGGCAGAAATCTTTCACGGGGTCCTTCTGCTGCAACGATTCTCGAGCACACAACAGAATCATGCCCAGAATCTTCAGCGCCATTGGCGCCATTGTGGGCAACCGCCGTTTCGATCAGCACTCGAAGGGTTGAGACGTGACTCGTGTCCAGCGGTCACCGCGACACGAATAAACAGATGCGCCGTAAATCAATAGAACCCAAGCTCATGCAAATCCCGCAACGCCAAATCCGGCTACTTCGAAGTGCAATGAAGGTGATCATAAACAGGTACTCAAAAGAAAGAACAAGAGAAGATGCCCGCTGTTCTCTATTTTGGAATGATGGCTGCGAATCGACTTGATCACACCACGGTAGCAGTCGGAGGACGTGGAAGCAAGGATGGGTAGGAAGGATAGCCTTGCTAACATATACGACAAATCTCCCACCACAGTCAGGGTACCCTTCAGCGACTGCTGGCAGCCGCAGTCATCATATTGTTTGCAACAGTCGCGCTCAATGTGCAGTCAGGCGGCAGCGGAAGGATGGCTGGCCCTGGCACAGGGGAGAAGCGAAGATTGGATTGGGATATGCCGCCCAAGCTCCTCAACTGTACATAGTACAGCCCGCCATTTCGCATCTCCGGTCCTTGCGTTTGACCACTAGGTTCGTCCGATGTGGCGGGCTGGGAAAGCCTTCGAGGCCCGAGGCTCGAGGCCTTTCAAACATCACCGCGCATCGTGCGCCGGAGCCGCCAGCACCCAGAATACCGGACGCAATAATTCCAAGTGTACTCACTCATGTAAGGAACAAAGCTGTGGCGGGAGGCCCTGTTTCATGAGCATGTCGAAGGATTTGGATTTGTGTAAGAGGGTGTGCAGCCGGGGGGTCGAAGGGAGAGAGGGGGATGAGCCACGGGGTTTCGAATGAGACATCTCCAACATCATTATTGGGGTCCAGTGCACTGGGACCAGCACTTCTAACACAGTGCTACGAACTACGTAGTTCCTGCGGAGAAAACAAACATGAGAGCGGCACAGAACTAGGAGATCATTCGGAGTAAAACGCAGCTGTGCTGTGCGCATGTTGGCAGAGCTGTCTGTTTGGTATTTCATGTGCGAGTATCCGACGAGTGCCAGCCGTTGAATGTCACATCGCAATATACACACAGTAAAATTGCCAGCATTAAGGTGCAGACGGGGCGTAGTCTGTACGAGTAGGGTTGTCGGATTGGATTGGGCTTGATTGAGTGTTGGTAAGAGGAAGGAGGATCAAAATTACGACGTCCTCGTACTACAGTACGTCCTAGACGTACAGAAGGTCGCTTGCGGGGCCAGCCCTATCTAAAGGCTAGAACACGTCTCCCCTCTGTGAATTCCCATTGATTCCTACCAAGGCACCACGTACGAACCGGCTGTAAACTCCATAATAATAATTTTAAAAGTGCATTTAACTGCATCCTTCCAGCTCCTGTACGGAGTAAGTTGGAGGTTTCCTCAGCCCTGCTGGCTACAAGGCTGGTGTGTGCTTATCCTTGGCCAAGTCAGCCAAGCCACAAACAGCTGGCTTGATAAGTAGCCCTGTTCTCCCCGTTTCTGTTCTGCTTCCAGCTCTGTATGAAATAGTCGGAAATTACCATTAGAGGACTTCTGTGTTTATGGGCTTCTACACAAAACCATCTGCTAGTGGAAACAGATTCCTCACTTATGTGTTTTATGATGGCATTAATGTTTATCCTATAGGCATACTACGTAATTGCCGATCATGTTTGATGTCATAGCAAGAAGGCATTGCACCTCATGAATCACCTGTGGCCCATTATGCTCAAAATGTGAGAGCTCAGGAATGAGGCCCGCCCAAAAATCAAGCCTCACTCAACCGAAATCACCAAGACGGCAAAAGCTTCTAATAAAGTAGTGTTGTTGTCGGGCGGAACAAAACCCATTCTAAATTTAGGCACGTCAAACGGAAAGCCCAATGGGCGCTGTAAGCGCGTATGTACTGCCCCCTTGGTAATTTCAGTCGGGCTTCCCTGCACCCCTTTTTATAAGTACCTATGTAGGAGTGAGGCCCAGCCTGCGATGCTACCCCCTGAGTAAGCTGCAGTTCCAGTTTTCAAACACCACTTGAAAACGCCCTATATAGCTGTTTGGCAGTAACGCTGTATATGGTAGTTTGCGGCTTCGCAAAACATTGTGTAGAATATAAGGATGTCCTAGACATGCACTCGCTCGAAAACGCGCCGCCTGCTCTGGGATTGAAGTTAGTCACATGATGCGACTGTCTGGTCCCAGGTTAAAAGGGGCAAGGGGCTGTTGGTGGAAATTCACGTGATAGAGGTCGGCTTGTTCACCCTATTCTTTAGGTAATATACCCCCTTCACCAACCGGCAGGAATGCAGACAGCAAGCTGATTAGGTCGCTAGATATTTAACAAAATGGGAGAAAGGGGGGGG